TGGGGGCTCCCAGGGAGCCTATCCAGTAGAATATGGGACGGGCATATCGAGACGAGAGTCGCGGTTCGCGCAAGACTACTTTAGAGGGGCTCCAGGATTCGACAGGTATGGGTTATATCACTATGCATATGATCAAGATGATGGTTTAGTTTTGCAAGCCAAACCTCCAACCATTGAATTTCTAAAATTCAATGGTCAAGAGAATGCAGGTCTGTGGTTATATGCAGCTGAGAGATGGTTCAAAAACCATCCTCCACGGGAAGAGAGGAAGGCGCATCTAACGTCTTTCTACCTGGGCGGCGATGCGCTCCAGTGGTGGAAGTGGATGGAGAGGTCTTACTTTGTAGTCGAGACCTTGATCACCTAGCCTATGTTTCAGGAAGAATTCTGTTACCAATTTGGTAAATCGGTGGGGTGGGCTCCAGAGCAGCTAGCCAAGCTAAAGCACACGGGTACCGTGGCAGATTACCGGGCCGAGTTCCTCAAGCTGGGTAAGTAGTGCAAGGGGGTTCCTGAGGACACACTGGTGGGACTGTGTATGGCAGACTTGAAGCCCGAGATTGCGGCTACAATCAGGGTCTTAGAGCTGGACTCCTTGAAATCTGTTTTCCGTCTTGTAGATCACAAAGAGGAAGAGCTCGTGATTTGGAGGAGCACCATAGGCTGTTACCCGAGGCCGAGTGGATGAGGAAGTAGTGGCGGAGCAAGCGGAGGTGGGGGCGGATTAGCGGCAGGAGCGGGCACCAGTAGTGGGGGGACTACCGCTTCCACGGCTCTGGCAGCCAGAGTCAGGCCGAGACCGCTGCCCAAAGGTTTCGTGCGATAGTCTCTGGCGGAGATTGAGAAGAAGAGGCGGGAAGGCAAGTGCTTTAATTGTGATGGGTGGTTCACTGTCGGCTACCAGTGTGCGAGACCTGACTTGATGATGCTCGTAGGCCGCTGGGAGGATGAGGCCGAAGATGAAGCGGTGGGTGCAGAGGCCGACAGGTAGGAAATTCAGTGAGCCAGGGAAAACCTTGGGGACAAGGTTGATTTGAAAGAAGTGGGGATGATAGAAACTCGTTTTATTGCAGTTTGATTATTTGGGAGGATAAACAATTCTAGGTAGTATTAGGGAATTAGTCAGTTATATAAATATTCTTGTAAGTGGACTTTACCCAATAAGCAAGATTAGACCTAAACAATTCCCTAATCCTCTCTCTCTCTCTCTCTCTTCTTCCCTCGGCCGAATGCTCCCTTCCCTTTCCTCACCTTTATGATCACGAACGCAATCCTAGGTCCTCAAGCCGCGATCTTTGCCTTGAGTTTTCCATCTTTGTTCTCGGCCGTGATCTCCACCTCCTCTAGGTCGCGATCATCAGCATTCTACCCTTTTTTCTACACTTGTGTCCTTTTTCGTACCTAATTCGCATGTATTGTCCTTAAAATCACACCATAATTAAATAGGAACAATATAGGGATGCAATCGACGCTATTCAAAAGATTATGCACATGAATTAGCACGAAACAAACCTAAATATGAAGGGTAAATAACACCAATTTAGGTATTGTCAAACTCCCCCACAATTAGGTGTTTGCTTGTCCCCAAGCAAACCTACTCAAACCAATGCAACTTGACAAACAAATCAAGGTGGGATGCACTCTAGTTCTTCATTGCCTAAAGAAGTGTAGATGGAGACGAGAAAACGTTACTATCATCTTATTGTTCCCACACAAACTCTTGGGTAAGGACCATACTTACTACCTTCGGGAGAACACTCATGGTGTGCACCAAGGGATTTCTCAATCAAATAAGCACAAGAACTCTTGGGGGTTCTCTTTATTTTTTCTTTCGATTTAGGAGTTGTCATTTAATGGTCTCCTTTTTCTATGTTTACGTGCATTGCATCAATCTTTTACTAGTTTTCTTACAAGCAAGCATCTCTCCCTCATGACCAAGAGCGGATGGATCATTGCGTTACCTTTCAAGGTCACATGTGGGGAAGTTGATGGGCGGATTTGTCTTAGCCCGAGCAATACTTCCCAGCCTGCACTTCACATTGGGTTGCCACACATGTTGGGTACAAACGAGAGCTTTGAGGTCTCACGAATCGCTAAAAGGTACTTTGTACCTTGGCATACGATTCCATGAGGAGGAAAAATGTTTGGGGGATGGTAAGTTGTAATAGATGGTCGGGACGCGGTAAAGCTATCTGATCCCCAAACATATCCTTAAAGGGCACTCCGAACCTTGAGGGTCACTTGCCTCTCACGTGAGAACTTCTTTATGAAAGATTTTGAGTTCAAAAGCGATAGAGAATCTCGCACACACGTTCTTCTTAAAATAGCAGACATTATCAACTCACCAAAGAGGAAGAAAAGAGTAAAATCCCTCATACATCGATGCTCTAATCATGCAAATACTCCCTAGCGAGCACAACACATCAATCATCTATAAATTCAAAGCATATTGAGTAGGAAATTGCATAGAACAAGTTATTTTGGAACCCTCGAATTCGAAATTTTTTGGGTAATGCATTCAAGGTTCCAAATCACTATCTTTGGCCAACCAACACCACAAACACACACCATCGCTAGCATACACTACCATAATCATTCATCGACATCTTACATTCATAAACAAGGGAGGATACTAGCAATCCATGGCTCAATCAATCATGGAAATCATTCAAACATTCACACACACCCCTCACACTTGAGCAACACATTGTCCTCAACGTGGGAGTGTCAAGATAGAAGATCATGAAGGTTACCATAGGTTGGGTTGTGGGTTGGTGAAGGTACACAAGTGTAGATCTTTGTCTTCCTGGTGGTTTTCACATGAGAAACGATCACTTGGATGATACCCCCCTAGTTAATGTTGAGATGCAATTCTAACACTCTAATGCGATAGAAAAGTTTTTATATACCATTAGGAACGCTAAAGTATCTAAGACTCCCTATTAGAGTACATCCTAGCCCACTCAATCTATTTAATCGGAGGGACGTACCTCATACCCGCAAAAGACAATCAAGGTGATCGATTCTACTCACTTGAGTTAATCTCGAAACAACGCAAAGTAATCAATCACTCTAAATTGAGGATCGACCTGAATTGCCTAAGGAAATCTTCTCTCTCCTAGGTTAATTTGCCCCAAAATTGGAAGATCTGATCAAGAACACCTAATTTCATGAAAATACCTCAATCACATATATAAATCACAACACACATTCATAATAGAGTTCACAACCTACAATATACAACATATTAAACTAGGGTTCCTATCATCCAAGTGAACAAGAGACTACTCCATAGCTAAAAGAGAAACAACAACTAGAATAGAAAAAAAAAACACTATGAGAAAATGAATCTTCTTCGCCCTAGATGCTTAGGTGGGTGATTGGAGATGAAATATGCCTTTCAATTGCCTAGGGTAGGTCCAAATCACCTCCAATTCTTTTTACCTCGTAGCTTTCTCTATCCTTGAAGAACAACCTCTAATCTCTATCTAGAACTCTCCTCTTGAAACTCACTCTCCTTTATATAGCCTGCGAGTGAAGTAGGTAGTGAAATCATTATCTCAACGCATTTCACTAACAAACTTCATGATTTGCTTTATGACTTCACAATTCGAAGATGGTGCTCCGTGCAAGGCCCACAAACTGTAAGAAAGGCTCTCGATGGTATGCAGACTTTACAGTCTGAGCATTGACATCACGGTCTAGGGACCGTGATCCTCACACAACCCATGAAATGCACTCAATCTCCTAGAAGTGTGCATTATTCGCATTTTATACATCCACTTTATGGTTTGCTGCCCGTGATAATCTCTGCATGGCCGTGATCTTTTCACTTTTGTCCATTTCGCTTCCTTTCCCCCCCCCCCCCCCCCCCCCCCCCCCCCCCCCCCCCCCCCCCCCCCCCATTTCGTGTGACTTTCGATCCCGCAACCAATTCTACCTGCTAATGTCTGAAACATGACACAACACAAGAAAACCTAGCGTAAAATAGCTCCAAGGACGGTGCAAACCAAGACAAACGGTGCAAGAAAAGGGTATAAAAATCTGTAATCTATCTCGAATCAATTTTCCGAACTCAAACTTCCTTGATTCCCCAAAAGGGCGTCGTCCATTATGGATTTGGGCTAGTATTAGCGAATGTAGCGAAATCTTGACACCTGGAGCTCGTATGAATATGGGCAGTGGTCACTCAGTGGGTTCCATCCTTACTAAAATTTAGGCTGAGCAATAACCAACGAGATCAATTTTAAGTGTTTGAATGGGTGCTGAATGATAAAACAAACTAGAACATGGACCTTATTCACAATCTTGCAACAATGAGAAGATTAATACTATAAGGAGTATTCCAATTTCACCTAATATTTTTCAAGATCCTTAGGTCTAACAACATGATAGTAAAGGGAATTTCTTAATTAGATTGGCATACCAAGTTGGGAAATAATCTTTAAGCGATAATCAACACCCAAATAAGCCAAACATTGGATCACACAACACACATGATAACATGTGAAAATGGCTTTGGAATCTTTCCTTCCAACCTAAGATAATTTTCTACATATGGAGAGCGACGAAAAATGTATTAGCATCACGAAGAAATCTTTGAAGAAAGAGACGTGCTAGAAATCCTTCTTGTTCAATATGTGAAGGAGTAAATGAAACAATCTTACATATCCTGTTTGAGTGCTCGCATGCAAAGTTAACCTAGCAACATGGTTTTCCAGTAATCAGTCTGCCGAAAGTCAATTCCAGAAGCAAAAAATAGTAAAAGTAGATTATATTATTTATTTGACAACAAAACCGTTACAGAGTCAATCATAAGAGCGGGATTTCAGTTGGGCGGCTCGCCTCACACATATTAAAGTACAGTAGCTAGTAGGCAGCAAATTAAACACTAGTACAAAGTTTGCAAATTAAACTACTCTCTACACCTAAACCACGATATACATATCATCAAAAAGAAACGCATGCCAGAGAGATTTACTATCATTAACATAAAAGTTTTAATAATAAGGTTGACGATGAAAGTGGAACATTATCTCATTCTCAGAAACGCAACTCATCATGCAGTTGGTGTTGTTGAAACGCGGCTCTTTTGGCATTGTGGGCGCTCTGTTTGATCTGCAGCAACCACAAGTAGATCATATGTTTGATTTCTGTTGTGCAACGCATACTAGCTAGCTGTTAAGAACCAGTTAATCCCAATAACTCGAGATGTTGGGAGAGGTTCTATATTGGATCTTATATCATTCACTAATACACCCCCTCAAACGAAAGCCAATCAACCTATGGGGTCACCGGGATTCGAACACAAGACCTCTCGGCCACAACAGGCTCTGATACCATGTCAAGAACCAGCTGATCCCAATAACTCGAGTTGTTGGACTTGGGAGAGGTTCTATAATTGATCTTATACCATTCACTAACACTAGCTTGGTACGCACCTTTGTGGGAAGAATGGTCGGTCGAAGAAAGGCATCAATTGGGCTCTGGGGACCATTTTCTTCCTCAACGACTTCACTTCTTCTTCTTCGATCATCTTATTACCATCATGCACGCCCGCCCAACCCATGATTAAGTTAGCAATTACACGTTGCAAAGTAAAATTCTGATTGGTGATTATATATGTTAATTGGTTAGTTATTTTCAAACCTTTTGCAGCTTGTCTAGTTGCCGTTTCTCATGCTCCTCAACATATATTTTGGTTGCCACCTGAACCGTTATATAGCAAAAGAAAAAACATTAAACCATTTTGCCACTGAAACAAAAAGAAGATAGGATAAGGTATCTCAATAATTATAGTGAGTTGTTGGTTGTATAATATTATACGCACGAAATAGTTGAAGATGGAACGCTTGATGGCTCTTTCTTGAGAATGGAGCTTGAACTCTTGGGGTTTCGTGTTCTCTTTCCAGCAAGCCTTCGGAGTCGGAGGGCTCGTCTTTGCTTTCTCACTGGGGACCTCCTCTTTTCTCTACCAAAACTCATATATACATGTTAATTTTATATTGCTTAATCAATGAAATCTAATTGTGATTCAATGTGTGTGACCAACACATTAATTTTTAATATAATTAAATTATCTATACAACATTTCTATAATTTTAAACCCTCAAAATATATGACAAAAAAAAAAACAAAAGGGCCCACTTACAGGGCCAAATTTGCACAATTTCAACGACACCACACATCAATTTCATTTAAAGTTGTGATTGCAACCCTTTGTGACATCAGCTTGCGGATATCTAGAATTGCACCATTGAAGATGTTCTTAGATGTGGAGTTCTTTTTCTTAAATCAGGGCCCAAACCAATCCCCACATTTTTTTATTGAAAAGGTAATGCCTAGAGAATTTAGAAAAAGTTCCTCGCACTCTTCTTCGATACAATGATTCGAAGAATAAAAATCTACAGAGTCGAATCAGAGTAACATCCCATATGCTCCAACATTTTTGTAAAGTAGAAAAGTTAATGCAAATTTAAGCCAAAGATATATAGCATGAAAATTCAATGTATGAAAACTAATTTTACAAATTTTTCATGGGAAAACTAATTTTAGAATTGGGTATATATTATCTACTCATTTTTATAAGTGTATGTTGGAATTAGGCACAAAAATGAACATGATCGTTAGTGTTCACCATGAACAATCAGACTGAATAAAAGACACACTATGAAGTATTGATAAAAACATCTATAACATATCTCACCGTTCCCCTTGCAGCGGCAGTCCTCCCTGAAACTAGCGCGGATTGGGTGCTGCTCTTCACCTTTATCTTTCCAAAGGATTGGAGGAGATCGAAATCAGTCCGGTAGCGCTTGGACAAGAAATTGAAGGCAAATTTGGCGTTGAATATTAATTAGTACAAAGATGAAAGACCTTTAGATTGGGTTTGCTGCTGTGGATTTTCTCCATGCTTCCAAGCATTAATCAACGCGTACGTAGTTGCAGTGCAGTACTACTAACAGGATAACTCTGATAGATTAATTATTACAAGAGAGTCGAGTCGAGTCGAGATGTGATGAGTTTGTTAAGAGAAATGAAGAGAATTTATAAGCAATTGAGTTGGGAGATTGGTAGCTGTCTGGTTCGGTTGCCATATCACTTGCTTAATTAGTTTAGCTTTGCTTATTAAGTGCTCCCTCATGCTCTGCCTTGTGTTCACTCTGTCCAGTGCTACTCATTCATTCCATATGTCACATTTCAGTAGTGCATTAATAGCTGTGATTATTCCTAGCAAGCTACTGTGACTGCGATGCACATATATGGCTCAGTTTGGCCCTGTTATAGTTTTTGCATAAGCAATTTTTGGATTGAGGTTTTAGAGAAGTACTTTAAAAAAAAACAATTGAGTGTTTGACTGCAAAAACTATTAGAAATGCTTTTTAATATGAGTAAAATTACTATAAAGGACTTATAATATAAACTATGAATAATAAGTATAAACAATAAAATGTAGTCAAAATGGATCTTGTTAGAATTCTTTTATATTAAATAATATGATTTTATAATTTATTTTATTTTTAAAACGATATAAATGTAATAAAATTATATTTTTCTGAAATAAAATTAAAATATGGTAAGGATAATCTTGTATTTTCAAAACAGCTTTTCGCAGAAGCTCCAAATCAGAGCTTCTGCTTTATGTTATACAAAAGCGCTTTTCGACTTTTCAAAAGTCGAGCTTTTAGAGGTGTTTGGCCCTGTTTCAATTTTTGAAGTTGAAAAACCAATGTTGTCAGAACCGAACCGGAGCATGACCCTTTAATGCGAAAGGCTCGCACTTAGGTGGTCCAACCGGCATTAGACCGTTTAAAAACCGTTAGAGAACCGGTACCTAATAAACGTTATCAGTATAAATAGTGGACATTTCTTAATCAGAGCTCATCTCTTTCCTTCGAAATTGTAAAATGGAAATAAGGATTCAGTTTGAGAGCCCGACGTTTTTGGTTTATTTTAATTTTTTCTTTTCTGTAATTTTTTAATTAAATTTAACGGCTGAATGGCAAAAACCGGACGAGCGACTCGATCGGCTTGAGTGGTTAACCACCTCGGCCGCTCGCCAACCGCTACATAAAACCGGAGCGACTTTTAGACTGTTCCGAGCCGGTTTTATGACCGGGTGGCGGTTTTACCGGTCCGACCAAACGGCTCGGCTCGACTTTAATAACACTATAAAAAACACTTCTAAATCCGGGCTATATTATGTTTCTTCCATGTTCTTCTTGATCTTACTTCCGGCCTGTCCCCTCTTTCTTTGTTTCTGCTACCACCAAACTTTCTGATAAAACCTCCCTCTCATCCATCACCACGACTTTAACTACTTCCCTTGTGTTCCTTCATTTCTCCTCTTGCTAACTCAACACTGACCCAACCAACAGAAAGGAAAGGGAATTCATTGTAGGAAGGAAATTAAAGCAAGCACAAAAAATATGATTAGGACCCAACGGAAACCTTCCAGCACAAAATACGAAGCATCACAAAATCGATTTTTCGTGACTCTGAAAACAGTGAGAAACCACCGTATAAAACACTGCACCAATGCTGGCCGCCGCATACTAGTTAACTCAAGCTTCAAACTTTCCCACCAATTGCTCCATCACGTAACTGTAAGATATAGTAATCCTACTATAATGAACCGGTGAACTACCAAAACTAGAGCCGGTACTATTATATATACGTATGGACTCAAGGCAGTTGCTGGTCACTTTCATTTCCCACAACAGATAGCTTTCCAAACCAAAGAAACCATCATTAATTAGGACGACTCTCAAGTGGGTAGTTAACCCTTCCACTGTCAACCTCTTTCTTGTTAAGCCCGTTATCCACCCAAAAGCAACTATGTAGAGTTGGCAATTAGGATCCAAATCCATGAATCCAATCCAATCCATCCACCAAATTATCCACTTAATCCATCCATTTAAATCCAATCCATTTGATCGAAATCCAATTGGATTGGTGGATTCATGGATCAATCCATGGATCCAAATGACAAATTACGATTTAGTACCTATATTTTTATATTTACATTTTGGTACCTAAAATTTATATTTTTTATACAAAAAATATCATTGGAAAATTACATTTTGGTACCTAAAAATTTTCATTAAGACATTTTAGTACCTAAACTTCACAATTTACATTTTGGTCCAAGCCTTAGATGTCATTTGGATTCATGGATCAATCCATTTGATCCATGGATCCACCAATCCAATCCACGAATCCGATCCAATTGCCACCTCTACTCGCATGCATTCTCAATTTACAATCACTTCATTACTTTGATTTAATTAACACGCAAACAAAAAAATATGATCTCAACGCTTTCGATTGATGACATCCACGTGCTCTTATTTTTTATTTGAAAAAATTGGAATTCCACTAAAAAATCAAACACGCTTGTGGCAAATGGATTAGATCCATGTATTAGTGGATTCATGAGTCAAATGGATTGGTGGATTCCTGGATTCGATCATAGATACAAGTGACATCTAATCATTGGACCAATATGTAACTTTTAAAAAGTTTTGGTACTAAAAGGTCATAATAATAATAAATTATGTATCAAATTGTAAATTTTCAATGATATTATACTTTGGAAATTAAAATTTAGATATCAGATGTAAATTATAAAAAGTATAGGTACTAAACTGTAATTTATCAAATATTCATGAATCCACCAATTCAATTACATTTTTTTATGAATCCAATCCAATTACATTTTGATCAAAAGGATTGGATTAAAATAGATTGGATTAGTTTGATATTTTAGTGGATGAATTGGATTGCAATGGTAAATTGGATTGGAAATTGCCACCTCTACACTGGATGCACTCTGCCTATTTATCCTTGTTATTGTAGTAAAAGGGGCAAAATGAGAGGTCAAGGCAAAGGTATGAAGATCACGATCGGGAAGCAGAGGTGCGAAGTAGAGCATGAAGATCGTGGCCTCCATAGCAGAGATCGCGGCCGCGAATTATGGAGCTCCATGCGCAAACTTGAAGAACAAGCCGGAAGGGAGGACCATAGAGTTTTGACAGTCGACTCGCGACTCCTGTTGTCCCAGCCTGCGAGAAAGATCGCAGTTGTGACTCACGAATCGCGATCTCTCAAGCCAGCAAGGAGTAAAGTTGTTGCATCCAAGATTGCAGCCTCTCTCCCCCAGATCACGGCCGCGATCTTCTCTCATCCAACCATGAACTTTCTTTTCATCCTAGAACTCTATATATAGGGGACTCCTCCCTTGAGTAAAGTCGCTTCTATCAGATTTCTTGTTCTAGAGTGAGGTTACAGAGAGAAGTAGAAGTTTGGAGAAAAAGTGGAGGATAGCTATGGAGGAGGATTTCCAACACTTGAGGACCTTTTCTTCATGATTTCTTCCCCTCTTTGGATGTCCCTTCTTTCCCTCTGTTAGTCCAAGCTAGGTCAATAATGGATACTTTTGACGTGGTCAATGCACAAACTAATTCAGATTTCAATAGTGAGAGATTAGCACTAGCTTGATTAAGCAATCCATAAGGACTTGCCAAGAATCTCTCCTGAAGTGATTAATTTGTTGGCACTGATGAATAGAACAAAATTAGAGAAGGTATAGAGAGAGAGAGAGTCGGAACACGCGATTTTAACGTGGTTCGGCCAATATGGCTTTACATCCACGTCCCAGAGATAGTTACCACTATCTCACGAGAGACTCTAACTTTTATTAAAATAAAAGACTCTCTAACCTATGAAATTGAAACAACCTTAACACTTCGTGTGAAGAACCAAATAGGTGCAACTCCACACCTATTCAACCCTTAGCTAAATCCAAGCTAAGCCACCCACTCAATCAATCAAGCCTACACTCTTAGTTTGACTTGATTGGAGAGTAATCCACCTAGTGCAACTTCCAAGAAAGAATCCCCTCTTGCTCTTGCACTAGTCCCAATTACAAATACCCTTCCTACCCTTAAACCCTCCCTAGCTTGAATATCTCAACCCCCAAGATATCAAGCTATTCACACCACGAAATATGATCACACAATTTCGCTATTACAAGGGAGACGAGAGCTTTGCAAAAGGTTCTCTAAACTACAAATGACTCTCCTATTTATAGTGAAAGCAAAACTCCATTTCCTTTCATTTGTAGTCCTTTATATGGCAAGTATCTCCTTGTTTGATATGCTCTTCACTTGATATGGTAACTTCTTGAAGGCCAAGCAATTGCTTTGAATTCTTTCCTTTTCTTAGCAAATCTTTTCAAGACCTTGATTGTGATATTTCTGCAAGAAATGTTAGTCTAAAATAAAAGCACATATTCAAGACAACATAAAATTGCTAATTTAAGCTTTTTGACTCAACAATCTCCCCCTAAGCTTGATTTAGCATCCTATTGCAGCATATGCTTTTCCATATAGCCATCACATATCTCAATACTCATTCAACTAATAAATAGAAACTTCAAATGATATAGACCACGATATTCATCCTGAGTATAGCCCAGCGTTTTTTAAAAGTTTCATTCATTCTAAGCATAGCTTAGGGCATTATTGAGACCATTCGTAGTTAATTTGACAAACTCGGGGAAAAAAACAAGCCGAAACAATTTCCAAATACTCCCCCTAAGAGTCTTAATCCAAACTCCCCCTAAACTATTGCTCTTAATTGTTTTGATCAAGATCCTGATTTTCATACATAACCACTCCCTTGGAGACATTATGTTCTTTGAGACGTTTAAGCACTTTCTTAGAAGGACGAGGTCCTTTGGCCTGGCGTTTAAGCTTGAATGGGTGAATGGAGGTGGAAGCAGATGCAGCAATTTCCACAGACGCGCCGCCTTCAGCAGTTCCCTCTCCATTGAATCCATTAGGTGCGTCCACCACGTTTCTCCCCCTGATGTTAAATCAATAAGGAGGGGGAGCTCGACAGCTCCGAGAACATAAACAAGAGTGGGACTGACATAGTCATTAGTGGCAAAGACAAAGTCAGTGAGAGGAACGCCCACACAATGAAGCAGCTCCGTAACCAAGCCAGCAAACAGCAGACCAACCGCAGGAGACTCGTTGGTAGCAACATCTATTATCGCTGGGCGAGAACGGCGATGAGGATACGATTGAAAATCGTAATCGGAGAAGAAGGGGAAAGGGTCGCGCTGGAAAGCTTCGAGACCTCACTGGAAAAGACGAGGTCGTCGCGCATCGGGGAATGGCGTTTTGATTTTCGTTTTCTTTTTTCTTTTTTTATGTTATGTCGTTAGTGAGGTTTATTATCCAACTTTATTAGAGAGGGTACTGGATCAACAAAAAAAACAAAGGAGTGAATGAATATTCAAGAAAAAGTAAGTTCAGGATTTAAAACTGACAAGATCGGAAGCTTGCTCGTGCGGCACTCTTATAGGAAGTGAAGGAGAAACTGCTTGTTATAGGATAGCGAGCCATAGCAATGAACTTGACACCAAAGAAGAGTTCGACCCAATGCTTTATTTCTGTCCTAGTTGATCCCGATTCGACATTAGAAGTATATTGATTTATCCCCAATAACCGAATACTTTTGTCTGTACATACTGCATATTTTATTCCATCCATAAATTTTTTTTCTTCCCTATGAGTTATAGTCTCAATAAGAATGCTAGTTCTTACTGTTCATATTATAAATAGGAACTGATCTACAGGGAGTGGTTTAGTAAAAATATACGCTAGTTGATCACTTGTAGGTATAAAAGAAATAGACACGGTTTTACTCTGAACAAGCTCTCGAAGGAAATGGTATTTAATCTCTATATGTTTTGTTCTAGAGTGTTGAACCGGGTTTTTAGACATATTAATAGCACTCGTATTATCACATAAAATGGGAACGTTAGGAAGTGTAATCCCATAGTCCGCTAGTTGAGTCATTAACCATAGAGGTTGTTGACAACAACTTCCTGCGGCAATATACTCAGCTTCAGCGGTGGAGAGGGCTACGGAGTGTTGTTTCTTACTAAACCACGAAATTAAAGATCGACCATAAAATTGACAAGTTCCAGAGGTACTTTTTCTATCCGTTCTACTGCCGGCAAAGTATGAATCACTAAACCCTATAAGCTCAGGATTTGTTTCCCTAGGATACCATAGGCCTAGAGTAGGTGTACCTTTCAAGTAACGAAAGATGCGCTTAACGGCACTAAGATGAATTTCCTTAGGCTTGGACTAAAAACGAGCACACATACAGACACTGAACATAATGTCTGGCCTACTTGCCGTGAGATAAAGAAGCGATCCTATCATCCCACGGTATTTACGTTCATCAACATCTATACCACCTTCATCTTTGTCTAATTGAATATTGGTAGCCATTGGGGTTGAACTAGGATTAAGATTACTAAGATCAAACTTGGACAACATTGACTGAGTATAGTTTGTCTGACTAATGAAAATTCCTTTTGAGGTTTGTTGGATTTGAAGTCCTAGGAAGTAGGTAAGCTCACCCATCATACTCATTTCAAAATTTTGTTGCATGGAGGAGGCAAACTCTACACACATAGCTTCATTAGTAGCACCAAAAACTATGTCATCAACATAAATCTGGACGACCATAAGGTCATTGGTATGTTTCTTTAGAAATAGATTTGTGTCAACAGAACCCCTGACAAACCCTTCACTCTCTAGGAATTGAGTTAGACGTTCATACCACGCTCGAGGAGCTTGTTTTAAGCCATAGAGAGCCTTTTAAGTTTGAAAACATGGTTAGGGAACCTATGATCTTCAAAACCAGGAGGTTGTTCTACATAGACCTCTTCATGAAGGACTCCATTCAGAAATGCACTTTTGACATCCATTTGATATAATTTAAAATTCATTGAGGAAGCAAAGGCACATAATAGTCTAATTGCCTCAATACGAGCTACTGGAGCAAATGTTTCATCATAGTCTATTCCCTCTTCTTGATTATAGCCTTTAGCCACCAATATAGCCTTATTCCTATTAATTATCCCTTGATCATCTGTTTTATTGCGATAGACCCATTTAAGTCCTATAATAGTTTTACCTATTGGTCTAGGAACCAAATCCCATACTTGGGCTCTAGCAAATTGAAGCATTTCTTCTTGCACGGCTAGAAACCAACTTTCATCAAGTAAGGCTTCCTTAATGTTTTTAGGCTCAATTAAGGATAAATAGACTGTAGCAAGAAGTGAAAAGTAAGAAGTCTGACCTTGATGCAAGTCCTTACTTGATCTTGTTTTGACTCCATCATTAATGTTCCCAATGATTTGATGCGGAGGATGTGCCTTGGCAATATGAGGTGGTGCACTTGGCTCTTGGGATTTGGATAACTCATCATGCGAAAGCTCCGCTTCTTGAGTGACTGAGGTTGTCGTCGTTCGAATTAGTTCCAAGTCATCTTTATCATCGTCCTGTTTTCTTTCATGCTCAGAGATATAGTCAGTTTCATCAAAAACAACATGTATTGATTCCTCGACCTTCAATGATCTCTTGTTGAAGACTCTATAGGCTTTACTACGAGTAGAGTAACCCAAAAATACTGCCTCATCTGACTTTGAGTCAAATTTTCCTAGAGTATCCTTAGTGTTGAGTACAAAGCATCTACACCCAAATGGTCTAAGATAACTAATATTTGGTCGCCGATCTTTCCAGATTTCATAAGGGGTTTTTTCTATGATGGCCCTAACCAATGTTCTATTTAGAACATAACAGGCGGTAGCTACTGCTTCAACCCAAAAATATTTTGGGAGCCTATAGTCACTAAGCATTGTTCTAGCTAGTTCTATAAGAGCTCTATTTTTCCTCTCCACTACACCATTTTGTTGGGGAGTCCTAGGAGCTGAAAATTCATGGGAGATTCCTAGTTGATCACAGAAGTTTCCAAAGTTTTCTGAATCAAACTCTCCTCCATGATCACTTCTGATGCTTTTAACACTGAGGGATTTCTCATTCTGAATATTTTTGACAAGGATCTTGAATTTCTCAAGAGCTTCATCTTTGTGAGTCAAAAATATTACCCAAGTATATCTAGAAAAATCATCTACTATGACAAAGGCATAATACTTTCCACCAAAGCTCATCACATTCGTAGGCCCAAACAGATCTAGATGTAGGAGCTCTAAAGGTCTGGATGAGGTGAAGTGAGATATACTCTTGAAGTAGGGGTGGCTATACGGTCCGGTCTGGTTAAATTGGCCCAAATTGATCCGGTCCAGTCCGGTCTTTTTGAAAATATAAGGACCGAAGATTGGATTGGATACAGTCCGGTCTTGATCAGGTCCGGTTTTGATCCGGTCCGGTCCCAATTCGATCTTGATTTTACATTGAGATTGTGGGATTTGAGTGGCCTAAGGCCTTAAAGGATGAGGAGTTGGTTAAGTTTTGTACTAAGTGCAAAGGTTTCTGAGTCAAAAATCTTACCCAAGTATATCTAGAAAAATCATCTACTATGACAAAGGCATAATACTTTCCACCAAAGCTCATCACATTCGTAGGCCCAAACAGATCTAGATGTAGGAGCTCTAAAGGTCTGGATGAGGTGAAGTGAGATATACTCTTGAAGTAGGGGTGGCTATACGGTCTGGTCCGGTTAAATTGGCCCAAATTGATCCGGTCCTGTCCGGTCTTTTTGAAAATATAAGGACCGAAGATTGGATTGGATACAGTCTGGTCTTGATCCGGTCCGTTTTTGATCCGGTCCGGTCCCAATTCGGTCTTGATTTTACATTGAGATTGTGGGATTTGAGTGGCCTAAGGCCTTAAAGGGTGAGGAGTTGGTTAAGTTTTGTACTAAGTGCAAAGGTTTGTGACCGTTTATGCAAATTACCCTTAAGTTTTGGGTGTTGAGCTCTCTTATCCGGTCTTTATCCGGTTTTTTACCTCAAATCTAAGCCCAAAAATTGGATTGGATTGTATACTATCCGGTCCGGTCTCGGTCCGGGTTATACTGTCCGGTTTCCGGTTTTTAATCCGGTCCCGGTCAAAATAGCCACCCCTATCTTGAAGGTTGCTCGAGTTTGTTTTCCTAGAATAAATGCATCACAAAAGAAGTCCTTTGATTATTTTAATTGAGGAAGACCGTCTACTAGACCCAATTTAGATAATTTAGCCAATCTCTTTATGCTAACATGTCCTAGTCTTCGATGCCATTGAAATTGCTTGTTCTTACCTAAAGAGAGAAAACAAGTTTCATTTGAATGAAGCCTTTTTACTAAGGTCAATGACATAGACATTGTTTTTCCTAACCCCTAGGAATAATAATTTGTTGTCTTTGATTCTCTCAATAAGACATGTCTCCGGTTGAAACACAACTCTATTAGTTGTACCACATAATTGACTAATAGATAACAGGTTGTGCTTAAGACTATCAACAAATAACACTTGAGTGAAGGTAGGATTTGGAGGCTCTCCAATCGTACCAACTCCAAGTATTCTACCTTTACCATTATCACCAAAGGTTACTTTTCCTCCCTTTTTAAGAGTCAACTCTGAAAAGAGCCTCTTGTTTCCCGTCATATGGTGAGAGCATCCGCTATCTAGATACCATTCATTTGCTACAGCTTTCTTAATGACCGGCAAAATATTTGGAGTATTGATTTTGGTACCCAGACTTGCTTGGGTACCTTTTTCTTGGGATACGATTGATATGAGCTATAATAGTTATTGTAGTAGCAATTTCTCCTAATGTGTCCTTGTTTATGACAACAATAGCATACAATTCTTGAATGACATTCTTGTTTAGTGTGTCCTTTTCTAGTACATTTACTACACCTCACATTTTTCTTGCATTCTTTATTATGGTGACTCTTTCCACAATTCATGCACCTAATTTTGTCATTATCTCCACTATGAGCATTACATTTAACACACATAATTGATTTATTATGAGGTTTTTGCACCTTTTCTTTATACTTCTTTTCCTTGTCTTCTAATCACTCTATCTTGGTATTTGCTTCAAGAAGTTTAGTCCTAGAGTCTATAATCATTCTTTCCAGTTCATTATTTCTAACTCTCATATCTTCTAGTTCTTCAAGGGGTCTATTATTCTTGAGTTTACCCTTTGATTTCTTCAGAACTTGATTTTCATCACGTAATATTGCGATATCCTCTTTTAATTCCTTAATTTCATTCTTGCTTAGTTTCAAATCCTCTTTTACCTTGTAGTATCTATCTTTTAGTTTTTCAAAATGATTTTGCATTTCTTCATATGCTTCAACTATACTAATACGAAGATTTGAGCCACAATCACTATCAAAAGTTGGAAAGGATGAACATACCTCATCTTCATGTGATCTTGACGAAGAGGATCCATCATCACGGTTGGCAAACGCCATATAGCCTTGTATTTCACTTTCGTTATCTTCACTTTCATCTTCTGATCCACTCCAAGCCACTGCATAAGCCTTTTCTCTACTCCCTCCTTTGTTAGGACATTCAGCCCTTACATGACCACTCTTTCCACATTTGTAGCATTTTGGTAAACCTTGATCTTCACACTCACTTTCCACTTTATTTTTCTTCTTTTGATTATCAAAAGATTTTACCTTTCCATTTCTATTATTCTCACGAAAATAGAAAGAACTACCCCTTCCTTGTTTTCTTTCTAATTTTAAAAACTTTTTGAAATTTTTTGAAATGAGAGCAAATCCTTGATCGAAATCATCTCATGATCCTTCATCATTGGTGACTTTCTTCTCTCAAGCCTTAAATGCTAAACTTTTATTTTTCTTGTCATTATTCTCATCACCTTGAGCTTTTAAGGCAATTTCATGACTAATTAAAGATCCTATTAAATTTTCAATACTAAGAGTAGATAGATTTTTAGCCTCTTCTATGGCAGTTTTCTTAGGCATCCATTCTTAGGGTAGACACCAAAGAATTTTCCTAACCAGTTCAACATTATCATAAAATTTTCCTAACGCACTAAGTCTACTTACTATTAAGTTAAACCGAACATATCAGAAATAGACTCACATGGGTGCATTTTGAACATTTAATATTCATGCACCAATTGATATATCATGGATTCTTTTACCTCAGTTGTCCCTTCATGTGATACTTCCAAGGTTTTCCAGATCTGATGTGCCGTCTTGCACATGTTCACCTTATTGAATTCATCTGGACATATTGCACAATATAAGACATTTGTTGCTTTAGCATCTAACTCCATCTTCTTTAGATCATCGTTAGACCATGTGTTGGGATCATCTTTGATATCACCCACGCTATTCTCAACCACATTCCAAACATCAAAACCCATCCCTTTAAAGAAAACAATCATACGTGTTTTCCAAAAGGAATAGCTGCATCCATCAAACCATGTTGGTCTAACATATGAAAGACCCTCCATATGAGTAGAATTAGAACCATGATTTGTAGATGACCCACTAGCCATGCTTGGTATATCGGATCTCAGTTTCCTCGCAGATCTTTCGATCTTCTTGAGGGAGCCGAGCTCTGATACCACTTGTTAGTCCAAGCTAGGTTAATAATGGATACTTTTGACGTGGTCAATGCACAAATTAATTCAGATTTCAATAGTGAGAGATTAGCACTAGCTTGATTGAGCAATCCAAAAGGACTTGCCAAGAATCTCTCTTAAAGTGATTAATTTGTTGGCACTGATGAATAGAACAAATTTAGAGAAGGTATAGAGAGAGAGAGAGAGATGAGTCGGGACACGCGATTTTAACGTGGTTCGGCCAATATGGCTTTACATCCACGTCCCGGAGATAGTTACCACTATCTCACGATAGACTCTAACTTTTATTAAAATAAAAGACTCTCTAACCTATGAAATTGAAACAACCTTGACACTTCGTGTCAAGAACCAAATAGGTTCAACTCCACACCTATTCAACCCTTAGCTAAATCCAAGCTAAGCTACCCACTCAATCAATCAAGCCTACACTCTTAGTTTGACTTGATTGGAGAGTAATCCACCTAGTGCAACTTCCAAGCAAGAATCCCCTCTTGCTCTTGCACTAGTCCCAATTACAAATACCCTTCCTACCCTTAAACCCGACCTAGCTTGAATATCTCAACCCCCGAGATATCAAGCTATTCACACCACGAAATATGATCACACAATTTCGCTATTACAAGGGAGACGAGAGCTTTGCAAAAGGTTCTCTAAACTACAAATGACTCTCCTATTTATAGTGAAAGCAAAACTCCATTTCCTTTCATTTGTAGTCCTTTATATGGCAAGTATCTCCTTGATTTGATATGCTCTTCACTTGATATGGTAGCTTCTTGAAGGCCAAGCAATTGCTTTGAATTCTTTCCTTTTCTTAGCAAATCTTTTCAAGACCTTGATTGTGATATTTCTGCAAGAAATGTTAGTCTAAAATAAAAGCACATATTCAAGACAATATAAAATTGCTAATTTAAGCTTTTTTACTCAATACCCTCTTGATGGGATAATCCCTCAAGGTACTTTGGGGCCTAGTCCCCTAAACCCTAACCTAGAGTTTGAACCTATCTATCTATGTCTATTTGGTGTTTGTTCTTTCTTGCATCAAGTAGTGTGGGATTGTCTGCATCTCATGTGCCCTAATTGCAACTTAGGTGGTAGGGGATTTATCATTATCCTTCTTCTGGTTTATGGATGAATTAAATTTACCTAGAGTTTTTATGCCTTTATCTATGCTAATTATGCTTTCAACCTTGCCTCTCTGATTCTTTTCGTGATAGCCTACCACTTAGGATTGTATGAATTATAGTGGATTTGAGCACTTTGGCGCATCAGGGTAGATGAATGATCTGGGAGTCTAGTCACAAGGCGACCATACCCATGCCTATTAGACGTCCACTTAGGTAAAGCTATGGCATCGAGTGCATGATCATTGACTCGACGGACTAGTGTGTGTATGGGTAAACCCCATTTGGAGGAGATAGGTTTTATCCCTACAACGTGAAGCTAGCTTAGTTGACATTGGGCTAGTGGTTCTAGGTAGGACTAGGATTGGTTGCGTGACCATTTTGTCGATCCCTAGATTAGCAATCTCCGCACCTCGATAACCATGGATCGTCCTTCCATCCTTTGTATGTTGATATGATCCTAATTCTTAGAGAACCTCGAACTCAAACCAATAAATCATAATTGCACAATTTCGAACTCTTTTGGGATTTTCTTCTTTCTTGAATAACACAAAAATAAATATAGGATGGAAATCGATCAAACAATCCTGAACCTGTGGGAAGGACCAATCAATATAGTCGAACTCGCCACAACTATTTGTGATCATCTGGTTTATAAGAGACACTCAAACCTCCCGAATCCTCAAAGGAAATTTAAGCAAACTTTCTCAAAAGAACTCGAGCAAACACTCATTATATTTTATAACCAAAATATGAATGTCCATTACAATGGTTCGACCCCTTTATATAGGATTAAGAACCCAAAAACTAAACTACAAAGGATAATAAATCCTACTCTAAAAAGGATAAAGAAACCTTAACAAACAGACAAAGTCAAAATCTCTCTTAATTCATGTCTTCAAATATGTCCACTTGTGTTCACACCTATGGTTCCTTTCACACCACGGGAGATTCATCTTAGCCTTTGCATGAGTTAATGGACCAAAATCTTGAGCAGGCTTGGTCTTAATGACCTCATCAGTCCCTCTCTCTTGAAAAGGATTTGCTCTCAAATCTGAATCATCATCCAGAAATGGTGCAAAATCATAAACATTGAAGGTTGTACATATTCCATACTCTTCTGGTAGGTAAAAACTTGTACGCATTACTCCCAACCTTCGAAATCACTTGAAAGGGACCTTCACTTACCTACAGAAACTTGGATCTCCTTTGATGTGGAAACCTTTTCTTCCTCATATGTACCCACACCCTATCTCATGCTTCTAAATGTTGAGGCTTTCTATGCTTATTGACGCTCTTCATAATCTGCTATATTCTCCTCTCAATGTTCATTCGTGCATTCTCATGGAGACTCTTCACATACTCGGCTTCTTTGCTTCATCCATGTTGACTTGCCCCTGCAAAGGTAAAAAGGTTGCAAGTCCAATGGTGTAAGAGGATTGAACCCATACACGAGCTCAAAAGGTGAGTATTTTGTCGTTGAATGCACAACCCTATTGTAAACAAACTCAACGTGTGGTAAGAAGTCTTCCCAATCTTTGATGTTGCTTTTGATCATTGCTCGAAGCATTTGGCACAGAGTACGATTCACCACTTCAGTTTGTGACTCACTCCAACTACCACAATAAAATCCCGCCTAGAGCCCTAGTATAAACTCTAGTAGGGTGCCGTATAGGGTAAGCGTTTTAAAATGTCAACCCGGTCCGGTCCATGTACCCTTACTTCAATCATTTAAAACGCTATCTAGCAATCGTTTTTTAGTGAAAACTAGGTCTACAATTGAAACAAGCAAGAAAGTAAATTGGTTTTAGAATCTAGATGAGCAAGCTTCACCCGGGTATTGCTTCCCCTAGCTATATATCAATCGATCAAATAAAATGCCAATGTGTCGGAATGTGCTCATACACCGTGAGGCAAGCGCAACTAGTGAAAAAACTCCACTCTCTTGCCTGATAGCCCAAGGCACAGCAATTGAAACTAGCAAGCTAGCTCTCTTGGTCGCTCAACCAAGGGTAGATAAGGCTACTCCCTCAAAACTTAATTCGGACGGCAAGATAACAACCAAATCAAAGCTTGAGGCTTGCTCGAAATTGCCCTAGATGGGAGACAGAAATGGCCAAGAAACCCATCTTTTCAAAGCCTCTGCAAATAAGGAGGTTTCTCTCCACCTAGGTCAAATTGGCATGGTAATGAGAAATGAAGAACACAACTCAAGCATTCTGAAAATATCTTAAACTTTGCATTAAACACAAACCAACACACATAGCATTCAATTATTACAATCTATCACATATATAAATCTAGGGTTTACAATATCAAAGTGAAAAAGAGTACTAATCCATAGTCAAACTAGGGATTACAACAAAGAGAAGAAGAACCATTGTATGGCTTGTGGCTTCCTTCCTTGTTGTAGAAATCACCATTGGGAGGTGATACTCCTCAATCTTCAAGTTTGGAGCAAAACCTAGAGCACCTATTCTCTCATGGGTCGTAGTTTCTCCCTCTAAAATATGAGGAATAAGAAGGTATTCTCTCACTACGCTTCCCCCTCAAAATTTCAGCTCCATCCTCCTTTTATACCCAGCTCGTGTGCACTTTACGGTCTCAGATCACGGTCGTGATTTGGAAGCTAAGACCGTGATCTCGGACAAAAGTGTGTCGTTTCATTTATGGTCTTCACGGTCTTTGGAAGATTATCATGGTCTGACGAACGTGATGTCGTTTAAGACTGTGAGGCACAAAAACTTCTCTGGTCTCCATGCGTTTAATGAAATTAAATTAATATATGTCATGGAAATCACAAAAAAACAACATGTTACTCGAAAGGTTAATTCCACGCTATTGCTCATGTGACAGCTAAACTACACTGGATACACAACTTGCTTAATGAACTCCACCAACTCCTCACATGAAGCATCACGTACTCGACTATTATTTTGATCACCAACTCATCCAAAGTTAGCAACTTTCATCTTCAACATATCTCTACGTATTTTTAACTCACCGAGGACCTTATAAAACCCATGTTTGCTACTCGCTACTCGACATTTCTCTTCCCCGTTTCAAGAATTTTGCTCAATTGAGTAGGTAAAGATGAGTGGGTTGGATGGCACGGAGAGATTTTATTATATACGGGTACTTCATATCGATAGTTTTGCGCTCTATTGCTACTGGTAGTCAACCTTGTCTATCTCTATCTGACTTATTTCCTACATTCCTACACTCAAATACTGGATTGGGTTTAGTCAATAGCCAGCCTCAACCTTCATACTCAACCACCATTAGACCATATGGTTTCAAAATTCCCAAATTTTAGGGCTAGAACTCAAAATCTAGCCCCTTCAAAAGTGTTTTTGTATTAGTGGGGAGGTCCAAAAGTCCAAAATTCAAGAATTTGACATTAACTCATAATCCAGTTTAGTGTATATTTCATAATTCTAATTACAAAAAAATTCATTATTTTTTATAGGTACTAATAATTAATTGAGAAGAACATTTCGATTTTTTTTTTTGAATTCTGACAAATAATTGTAAATATGACGTAATTAATGACGAAAACAACATTATTGGTTCATATACCCATGAATCCATCACATGCTTTTCAAAATGAGTTGTGCCATCAAGTATCCATTCAACTTTATATCATAATGAATGGTGCCATCAACTGTTCATTCAGCTTTAATCACACTGAATTGTGTCATCAACTGTTCATTCAACTTTAATCATAATGAATTGTGTCAACAATTGTTCATTCAACTTTCAACATTGGTGTAGTGGGAATCATATCGGGTTTCTATAAATGAACCACCAAACTTGGTCTCTGAACTCATCCACCATTCAACCTTCTTTATTGAAAAAATCCACTGAGCCTCCATTCTCCTCCCTAGCCACCCAAAACTATTTTGCCTTAATGGATTCCCCTGACAGAGAAGTTTATGAGAAGGAAAGAGAAGTTGATGACAGGCAATGGGAGTACGAGTGTCACCTTGAGCGTGAACGCATGGAGATGTTCACGATGTACGTGAACCATCATCACCAACATTAAGCAAGTAGACCTCGTGGCAGTTCATCAACACAAAAAAAACAGTGAGACGTAACAAGGAAGACGGTCACAGACTCACAGGTGCTTGATGCAAGACTACTTCAACCCAAATCCAACCTACGATTCTAAGGCCTTCACAAGGAGATATCGGATTCCCCTGGCTTATTCAACCGATTCGTGAACGATGTTGTTCAATATGATGACTACTTCAAGCAAGGGATACATGTCGTGGTTCGCGACTCATTCTCCCCACATCAGAAGCTTACTATTGCGTTCTGCATGCTTACCTATGGATGCTCGGCAGACTCTTTTGATGAATCCTATCAAATGGCTGAGAGCACTGTACTGTTGTGTCTGAGGAAATTATGTTCGGCTATCACCAACATTTATAGTGCTCAATACTTGTGTGCACCAAACGTAGATGATACTCGTCGCCTCCTTCATCATGTTGCACAGCGTGGCTTTCCAGGTATGATTGGTTCTATTGAGTGCATGCACTGGGAGTGGAAGAATTGTCCAACTGGGTGGGCTGGCCAATATACTGGACACAAGAAGAAACCACCATTGTCCTCGATGCTGTGGCGTCGTAAAACACATGGATTTGACATGCCTTCTTTGGAACTCCTGGATCGAACAACGACATCAACACTCTGGAAGTGTCCCCATTATTCGATCACAGTTCGAGGACTGGTTCCCATGGTCAGTTATGAGGTAAATGGTAAAACGTATGATCAATGTTATTACTTGGATGATGGAATTTATCCTGAGTGGGCTACATTTGCAAAGACTATCAGCAATCCAAGTAACCAGAAGAAGAAGTTCTTTGCAAGGTGTCAAGAGGCTTACCGGAAGGATGTTGAGAGGGCCTTTGGCATACTTCAACAAAGATGGGTCATTGTCAGGGGCCCTAGTCGTCTTTGATATGTGCAAGCATTTGGTAATATCATGTTAACCTGTATTATTATGCATAATATGATAGTGGAAGATCAACGGTACGAGTATGGGGATGGGGAAGAGGTGAACATTAAGTACGAGAGTAATCCAAATGTCACATGGCAACCACCAGAACATAACATTCCTACTCTCATGGAGTACATGGCAAGGCATAATCGGATTTGTGATCGACAAGGACATCAAGAAGCATTGCAGAACGACTTGATTGAGCATTTGTGGACCATACATGGAGGAGAGTAGTCATAGGGTGTGTCAAAATAAAGAAAGTGATCTAATGTATTTCCTAATGTATTTTATATATTTACTTGATGTATTTCCTTTGTTTTCCTGGGGTTTTTTCTATATTTTCTTGATGTATTTCCTATATTATCTTAATGTATTTCCTCGTTATGTTGATGTATCTCCTTGTTATAAGACAATAAAGAAAGTACGTGCATTAGCAATTGAAGGAAATCGTACATAAAACATAAATCAACTACATGAAAATTACAATGAAAACCGTACATCAAACATACCACTACTACATGAAAATTACACGATAAAAGCGTTCATCAAACATACCACAGTACTACATAAAGATTACATATCCAGATCATCTTAGTAAGAAGCCATAATATCATCTTTTTGTCTCTGATACCAAGCCCAAGATCGAGGACTCATTTGAGAAAGATCATTATTCATTACCATCATCTCATGCCTGTTTTTCTCCCTTAATTCCCTTGCTCTATCCTTTGCCTCTCTTTCAACTTCACGTTCCTCTCTAGCAAGGGCTAGCCTCATGTGTGTGTTCGAATAATAAACCAAATTGGCCATATTCTCGTCCCAACTTTCCGAGGAAGAATATGGAGTTCCTCTTTTCTTCTTCTCTTGCTTTTCCCGAACTTCGAGACGATTGATCACAAATGGAATAGCTTGAACGTCGCGGCTATCACTCTCACCAGATGGCAAGCCCAATGAAGATCCACCCATTGGTGGAATGGGTGGCACCGGAAAAGTAAATTGTTGAATAAACTTTGAACAATGTTGATAAATCTCCCAACAATGTTGCAACTGGAAAGGCTTTTCGATGTCTGCCTTGTAAATTTCGTTAGCTCGTTGAACCTATACGAATTTAAAAATTATTTTTAAATAATATGAACAAGCTAATTAATTAACAAATTAATTTCATAATAATTCTTAATTGTACTTGACTCACCACATCATTGAGGTTTTCTCCACTCATTGGTGTCACGCTTGCTCTCCTCGATGTTGCATTCCAGGCACCACAATACTTGATTACGCTCTTCCATCGATTTTACATGCTACCGTCAGGACGTGAAATCCATGTGCTTCTCTTGACAAATATTACCCCAACACGCCTCCAAAATTCACTTCATGGCTGATAATGACCGACAGAACCGTCTTCCAAAATTTCAATCGATCAGAGTCCTTCCAATTCAGCGAGCGATTGCTTTGAGACATAATCGGACGAGTGAGAGGAAGATATTTTTTATGGGAAGATGATGAGTATCAGAATTGATAGAGAATTGGGAGAGGAAAATGGAAGTGATGAAGTAGAAGTGTGAGGATTGGTTGTATTTATAGAGAAATTTGGCAAAAACTAGTGGGACTGAAAGAGCCGTTGGGGAATAGTGTGGGTGCGAAAGGTATTTTTTTTTTTAACTAGACAACGGCTCTATTAAAAGGAAGGGTTGTGCCTGACACGTGTAAGGAATGAAGGAGCAGGGTTGGCAGAGCGCACGCCTGCCGCTTAACACCCACCCCCCCCCCCCCCCCCCACCACGTGTGTAGTTTCTTTCAGATGTGCCCCAACCATAATTTGGATTTTTAATCAGTTTCTGGTCCAAATATGGCCCCAAAATCTAGCTCGTTCTAAATTTTGGAACTCTGGAACCCCACTAAAGCTGCTTTGGTCCATTTTTTTGGCTTTTTGGACCTGAACTAAAGCTGGTACATGCAAACGACCCCTCCTCAAAAGAAGTTAGCTAGACATCCTATAGTCAGTGGGATGGCAATAGGGCGGGTTTGTCTACACCATGTTAATCTCCGTTTTCAAATACCCAAGCCCATACCCGCCCCATACCAATGCGGGGGAATGTTTTGCAAAACTATCCCCATACCTGTGGGTTACAGGTACCCATAGGTAATACCCGCCTCATACATCCAACATTATTATACCTGAAAATTTACAAGAAATTTTTTAATTATAACACTAAATGTACCTACTATATCATGACGTCAACAAAACACAGTCATTTTCTTAATACAGTTCAAGGAATATGATCCAAAAACTTCCATTAAAACATAATATAGAGTATAATATTTTTCAAATTATTATGCTCAAACTTTTTATGTATCTACTAAATGATAATTAACTAATATAATCTTGTTGACAAGGGCGAAAGTGAAGAATGAAGGGAGACTTAAGAGAAATGAATGAGGTTTTGATTAGAATGTTCACTCAATTGCATTATCATTGATAGGTTACAATTTTGATTCCACATATTTATAGTCTTTTTTAATGTGAAGTTCTCTTGGTGAGGCGGGTATGGGTATGGGGTGGGGGAGGCTAAAACCATATCCGCCCCATACCCATCAAACTTTTTGCGGATTTACTCATACTTGCCCCATACCCAGTCAAAATGGAAATTTCCTGCGTTTACCAGGTTGGAAGCGGTCGGATATCTGCAGCCATGAGTTTGATTGCCATCCATAATAGTTAGAAACAAAACTCAAACAGCCTTATCGCCCTAAAAGTGAATAAAAGTGAGGCCGAAACTTTAGTTCTTAAAATTAGACACCATGCTGCGCCAAGGATTACAAGAAAAGTATGGCTATCACAATGAGCCCGAGAATCTGGTTTTGAAGAGTTGCTAAGATAAAAGTTAGCCTTGCTGGTGAAACAAATCACAAATGATACACATTGACACTGTCGAATCAATGATACACCAAATTCATCCGTCTACAAACTATTTCCACTTCCAACTAGAACCCCCTAGTCTAATCACCTCTTCGCCGCCGTCATTATCTCTTATAGGACCCCTCTCCGTTGCCGCATCACCTTTTTTCTCATCACTCAGATCGCCATACAGATCCTTTAGTTTCGCAAGATGGGTGGAGGTACTTATCTTCTTCTCCTTGTTTTCCTCCCGATCAAATGTTGTGGGGACTCCTCCCTGCATGCTTCGACTTCTGCTCCTGCTGCGACTACGACTCCTACTCCGACTTCTATGACTACCGCTGCGATCCCTGTGATATCTGCTATCATCTCTGCTGCTCCTTTCATAATCCCTTCTACTTTCTCGGTCACCATAACTGGACCTCCGGTCATAATCGTACCTCCTCTCCCTATCTCTGTTTCTGTCTCTCTCCCTATCTCTGTCCCTGTCTCTATCCCTTTCCCTGTCCCGGTCCCGGTCCCGTTCCCTATCTGAAAGGTCTCTGTCACGGCTCTGGCTGTGACAGCTGCTGGGAGATCTACGTTGATCATTGGTACTTCTCTCATATGCAACAGGTGGTGGTAGTGTTCGGCGAACAGGTGATGAGTCCCTAGTTGATGCACGGTGTGGAGCACGCTGACCAAATGAAACTGAAAGTGCAGCCTTCACAGAAGGCGGCCGACGAGCAGTTTCCTCTGAGCCATGGCGGCTATTATCCCCTGTTGAGCCTGATGATTTGGCGGGGAGTTTCATCTTTTCAAGATTAGACACCACCTGACGCATTACAGGGACAGGAACTCGGGGGAATAGGGTATCAAAGTAGTACTGCAGAAAATAGTTAAAATCGTATTCATTACATAATTCTGCCTCAGCATGGGATTATGATTCGAATGGAATAGAATAGAGGTGGAGGGTAAAGTCACCTACCTGTCCAAGGATCAGATCGCGAACATAAACACCCATGGTAGTTTTCCTTCCGCTGGATCCTGGAGAAAATTCCTAGCATGAAAGTACGAAAAAAAGGTAAGAACAACAAGATGCTCTAGCACAAATAAAAAATAGTAGCTCTAAGTGATGAAGTCATGATGCAAGTAATTAAGAGAGCTGGTACAAGCATAGCAGAAGGCAGGTGCATATGTTCCAGAACATCCTAAAGGGAGGTTCTAGAGTTTTCAGCAAGGATCAGGAAACTCTAAGTGAACGAGGCACTAAATAATTATTCAGGAAAGAAGCTCTTCAGCACATTACACTATCGTCAATTCACGATGTAAAATGAGTCATCTGGCATTCCTTTTCCAGCTTTTGGAGTTGAGAACTTGGCAACATGCCACATGATTGATATGAAGTTGCCATTCCGAAATCAATCTTAAGCTATGGTTAATTGGCGTTGAACAATAAAAACATAATGTTCTCTGCAACCTCGCTACTTAAAAAAATGTTCTACCAAGTATCTTATGAAATAAGGCTAACCGAATCCTCTGCATGGCAAGTGACAAGGTGAAACTGTAACTCAAAAGGGAAACATTAATCTAGTAGTTTGTTCAAATTATAACAGGAATCAAGGATGGCTGGAAACTTTCATATTCAAGAAATAGCAGATAACAATTATCCACGTTTCCTAAAATGTCTGTTTAGACATCAATGTCACATTTGATAACCTCTTACAGATAAACTCAATCATGTATTGACAAAATCCAAGCAGAAACGGAAACATTCATATCAAGATTGTGTCACAAGAAAGTACCTCATCATCCTCAATATATGGTTCATACCAGTTCCACAGTGTCTTAGGATCTGCAGCATATCTCAAGTACAGGAATCCAATCTGCAATCAAATTACAAGATACCAATTACACAACAGCTAAAGTAAACATGAAGTATGTATCTGCTACATGATACACTTATGCTGCAGCAGACCATCAAGTATAGAGACGTTAGGATATCCAATTAATACAAGTGAATGCCATAAGTACATATGCAGGAGAAAGTCTCACAATTACTTAGTCTCAAGTGAACATGAGCATTAATTGATCCAGCTGACAAAGAGACAAATTTCAGGTTCTTGGTTTACACATGTCTGGAGTTAGCAACAGCAGATAGATTAGCAAGATGCTGGCCGAAAATAACAGATGGATTGATTAACCATTAGAAATTTTTAAGAGTGAGAAGAAGACAGACTCCCCAAACCTTGTATTGTGAACATCTGCTCAGCGTAACAATGGCAGCATTATGCAGAGGTGAGAACATCTAATCAACTAAAAGAAAGAAGGTCAATCTGGAGGTACATAATTAGCTAGGTGGAACAAGGATATGATCTGGCTTGCCACTGCATCATAATATCAAGAAAAAGAATGTGTCTGCCTTAGCAGGGTTTTTGTTCCTCACCCTTCCAACACAAAATAGCTACATAGGTCGTTGTGTATTCTGAACAATTACAAGTACCAGTTACTTGTCATGGAACATAACGGTCTGGTGCTTGGGATGAAAAGAAAAATGTAAGGGTTAGAAGAATCCACCCAGAAAAGAAAACATGCAAATGGATGAGAATTGCAACACATCGTTCACCATTTCCATTATAGAATGACTATCAAATACGCCATTCACTAAGGACTCATTAATCAAACAAGAAACATAAACAGAGAACTGGGGACCAAAATTATTAACTGTAACTCGTCTCATTAAATACTCTGATTGCAACATAGTGGCACCAAGTATCTACAACCTTGTCAGGCTAATGGTGGAATGCTAATGACCCAATACTAGTGTTAGCTTGAGTTAAAACGTTCCCACACCCAAATGACTTCCATTCTATAGAGGTTTCTGAATCAGCTAGGCTGCTAAAAAGTTCCCACACAAAATTGACTTACATTCTATTGAGGTTTCTGGATCAACTTAGGCTGTTATCGAAAGTTGAACCCAGTGAACTTCTACACATCCTGACCAAACAAGACCATTAATGTGACTACAGTGCTAACTTCTTCAGCTTATCCATCTAATGAAGTCGGCACAAAAGGGTAGCTTCATCAAAAAAAAAAAAATTATGAGAACTGGGTTCTGCTATGAATCCCAACTTAAAATGAACAACCGGGTGGACCATGTAAACCAAATAAATGAGAGGAGAAGGTGTAGTCCCTCAGAGACAGCAACTAAGATAATATTAGTTACTGCTGTAAGTACTCGCAGTGTCTAAATTCCAGCAAAGGCGCCTATCCTACTGCCCTCTCTTACCATTACAAAATCTTATTTCAAGAAACATTTTAGCATTGTGGTCCAGCGGTATCACAAGATCAACCCTTTTGATTATGCATCAGACTGTACATAGGATAAATAATAGGAATTCAAATCATTCGGCAATTCTGAATTCTAACCAGAAAACAGATGGGAATAGCAACATTACCGCTCTAATATAAGGTGAATCTTTGTGCTTTAATAGGCCGTGCATCTGCTTGACTGTGAGTTTCATGGTAAAAAACTTGTATAGAAGACAAAAGGCTGTTGACGGCCCACGACAGTTACCCGTCATCCATGGTTCCACATGGTCAACTTGATTGTAAATTTCATCAATCACTTCATGGTACGTCTTTAGCCTGTAAAGCTCTTTGAAATAATCGGAAGAGAGAATGTTCATACATAGGACCCTCTCCAAAAGCGAGTCAATCGGCTTGCCGCTTGTTTGTACCTCCATCTTTCCTGATCGCCCAAGTTACCTATAGAGACAAAAACAAAACCAAATAAGCAATTATCGTCATTGAGCAACATCAGGAAAGCAAAATGTCTAAAACAGTTCCCACGGTGCCCACTCGCAATTGGCACAATAAAAGGCATTTACCCCCATACAGCACTAATCGGCAACAAAAATTCATATGGTGCTTAAATTACTTGGCATCCGCCAAGCTTTTAAACTAAAGCTATGGAATGCGCAGCGAAGGTTCGGAATTGAAAAACCCTAATTGTAACGTACAACGTAAATCTCACCAGCTCAAGCAGCGCCCTCCCTCGTGATCCTCGCGAAGGAGAAGGACAAGCTAGGTTAGAGGAGAGAGCAGATCTGGTGGATGCGGCGCTGAGGCTGTGCAGAAGAATGATTCGGAAGAAGATAGAGGAGCGTCAAAAGATGAATCCACAGGGAAAATGAAGGCTCGGAACTTCGAGACCGATGGAGAAGGGAGAGGTGGCTTAAATTGCAGATTCAACGGCGTAACCCGTATAAGTTAGAAGCTGGTGATCTAAACGACAGCGTAAACAAATTGGACGATGGTTATTGGTTTGACCAAGGTTGGTCAATCCACGGGTCGACCCCGGTTGACTCGGACCCGCCCACAAAAACGGACTACAAGCACCCATAGTAGTCGATAGAGCGGGTCGGCGGGCTTGGTCCCGTGTGGCGGCTGTTTCTCGTTCTGCCACACTGTGCGGCGCATTTCACTTCATTGGGGTTTCTCCAAGAGGCGTTAATGGTCAACATTTCTCTTATGATCGTATAGTAAATCGTTATCCGTAACGGTCAATGAAATCGTCAAGACATAAATGATACAATTATCACACATTAGGACATTTTTAGAATATTGAATAGGTGGTGACATAATTGAAATTTTTTATAGTTCGAATTTTATAATAGTATTAGCCCTAAAAAGATAAGAATTGACATGGAAGTTGATAAAGGAGGGAAAGCGACAAAAGAGAAGTGTTCCTCCACCCAAGTGCTATAGAAGGTCAGATAGGAAAGTTGTTCTATTTTAGGAGAAATGATTAGGTTACTTGAGTTGTTTTCGAAGATCACATATATTTTTATGATTATATTTTGTGGAACTTCTCTATCTTCTTAGCTTCGTACATGGGAGAGGTGGTGTTCTTTGTAAAATTAATGTCAATATGACCATCGTCTGAACATTCATCGTAAGTGATGGGCATTATACCATTAATGAAACTAGGGTTACGGTGCAAAACTTGTACTTTAAGGATTGTCCAACCCTACTTTAGGATTTGGAGGTGACTCGTTAGCTACTCAACTACTTATCCCAACCGTAGGACAAGTGCAACCAACGATCATGTGTGGTATAGCGAAAGTAAGCTTTAATTATCAAACCGGGCATCAAATCTACTATTACTTCGTAAACTATATTGTTATCTAGCAAACCAAGGATTGAATTAAACTATCAACTACAAAGCAAAGCAAGTAAGGTTTGATTGAAATCTAATCCGTTTGGCAAGCTCACCTAGCTACAAATTAGACCGATGATTGACGTTCCAAGCTTGCCAACTCAAGATTTATACTGCAAAGAATTCTAATCCCGTTTGAACTCCCTCTCGATTTATTCAAGCTCACCTAGAATGGACGATCCGAAGGGAGAATTTCCACATCCGACAAAATAGAACAACTAGGATATGCCAATTAGATTTGCACTAATGGATAATAATATGACATTGTAGTTCGATTTCATACTCGATCCATCGACCTACAATGAAGAATATAGAAACTGCTTTAATCAACTAATAAGATATACCTTAGGTTAATAGCAATAATTGGTAAGTTTGATCAATACACAAACCACATCCATGAAATACTTCAAATCTATACATAATCGAGAGTTCAAACAAGCAAATGAATCATTCAATCATCTAAATCTAACATACATGGCTATAGTTCTACACCACCCAAGTGAGATTGGGTTTAGCTCAAAGTGAGAGAAAGAGAGACAAACACAAATTCAAGAGAAGAAATCATCATTGGGGAGTAGGTTCCTCCTCTTAATCTTTAATCTCCAACCCTTGATGATGAGATTAGAATCAAATTGAAGTTTGAAGCTCCAAATCACCACATAGGGATGTCTTCATCACTTTCTCTCTCTACCAGCCGCTTTCCACTTTCTCACTCTAAAATTCCTTTACTCAAATATGATTTCACCTCCTAATTATAGTCAGAAGTGTCATGTCAGGGATTAAATGACTGAGGAAGCAATCACTCTGACCGTTAGCATGAAGATAATCATAATAGAAGATCTAAGAATATTTTAAGTAGAGAAAAAAAAACTTTATAATTATGACCAATATATGTACTCTGATCTGGTGACGGGAAATTATATACATGTATGCAACCACTTTAAAGAAAAGACTAAAAACAGAGGGGTCGGAGAAATTGTGAAGCTTCTAACCATCGTAGTCGAGAGAGCGAGATATAGAGAGGTCGGCGATAGATTTTATTATTGCCAGTCAGAGAAAGTGGGACTGGTGGTGATGGCAGCACTGGTGGAGGTGGAGAGATGAACATAAACTGACGAGAGAGAGTGAGAACCCACTGCTACCATCTCTAATTATCACATTTATTTTGGTCTAACCATTAATAATAATCGACTTTATCAAATGATACACTGTCAAGAAGGAATTTGATATATAATGTAAGTTCACAATTGAACAACTAAATAATAAAATGATACTACGATCCGTAGCAAAGCGCGGGTGTTTTTCTAGTAAGCGTATAAATTCTATGTTTATCATTTAAACACACGAAGAATCATATTCTTCTAGGTGAGTGTGGTGAAGAAGAAAATATGTGATTGTTGTAGTACATGTTTATTGAAATATGTGATATATAATGTAAGTTCACAATTGAACAACTAATGTCAGGTCGACCACTCTCTCGAATCGATCAACCTCTTTGGATAAAATGGTAGACATCTTCACTGATATGGTCGATACTTTTGGACAAAATGGTTAACCTTTTTGCTGATATGGTCGACCTCTTTGTTGGAATAGTCGATCTTTCTACTCGTGAGTCTCTCACAAATGGCTGACCAATTTAGTTAAATGATCGACCATATTTTTTATTAGAATGGACATATTTATGTAAGTGATCAACAATAATTTTTTCCCAATCCGACCATTTTTTTCAAGTCATCATAACTTGCAAATCACCATAGGCATACCCTCCTCAAATCTATTCCAAGAATGAATGATTAAAAATGATTACCCTCCTCAAATCTATTCCAAGAATGAATGATTAAAAATGATTTAGTACGGTGATAAAATCATAACTTGTAAATCACCATACGCATACCCTCAAATCTATTCCAAGAATGAATGATTAAAAATGATTTAGTACGGTGATAAACTAACATTTTATCACCTTATCTTCTCTCGGAAGCCGGTAAACGCTGAAAAAAGGACGCGAAGCTGAAGTTGACCGTTCTGGATCCAGCTTCAATTCCATTAATTCCACTCTCTCACTCCTCCAAAGCTCCGCTCACTTTCGCCATGGCTCCTCCAAAGCGTCACCCCACCGTTCTTCTACTATGCGGCGATTACGTGGAAGATTCCGAGGTAAATTTTCCCGATTAAAGCATTATCCATGTTCTTTAAGTTCCACCAAATGTCGCTGATGATGATTAGTTCGTTGGATTCTGCGTTTCTCTGCGTCTGATGATTCTTGTTTACCAGGCCATGGTTCCTTTTCAAGCTCTGCAAGCTTTCGGAATCACAGTTCATGCCGTCTGTCCGGGCAAGAAGGCCGGCGAGTTTTGCCGAACTGCCGTCCATGAGCTCGGTAGTCATCAGGTTCCCTTCCCCACGACCTCTCTCGCTCCTTTCTTATTGTTTAATAGCTTGGAATGAGAGGCTAAAAGTTTCATAAGAAGGGAAGGAAGCTACGTATTCGTTGAGTTTTAGCTTGTGATTCTAACTTCCGCTGTAACTGCTGTAGCTATTGTTGCTATTGGGGATATCTTGTGTTGATTGCAAGAGCAGCGCCTGCAACGCAATAAGCAATTAGTTGAAACAAGCAGTATCTTGTAGGTTTCACTTGTGTAATCGTTTCCGTGACCGAGGTAAACCCCAACCTGGTACTGGTAAGGTGAATTGGGTGTTATAGTGGCTACTGAATCATAGCATAGATTCACCCTGTAAAAAGATAACCTCATTCGGTGCCAAGTCATAATTAGGCGTGCTGGGGATGGATCAAGTTTAAGTTTGAACATTCAAATGATGCATCCTGGTGTATGTTTGTACATGGTTTAGGATTAGAGGTTGAGAAATCAAGTTGTATGTGTGCTTCAAGGCTCACTTCCTTACAACCGTAGCTCATGCGCCAATGCAAGGGCAGGTCCAATTCGGAAACTTCTAATTTTTATACAGTTGCTCAAGGGTTGCATTCTCAGCTTCCAGGAATATCCCAATAATAATTGATCATTTCATCCATTCCCCTCCTTTCCATTCTGCAATCTCTTTCTCGGTTCCTTTCGACAGTTGTTACCGCCCTGGCTTTCATGCTATAAGTAGTTGATGATTGTACATTATTGCTTATTTTGTTATAGGTTCCCACCGTTCATTTCGTTATTGCAGACCTATACAGAGTCCCGTGGTCATAATTTCACTCTAAATGCCACATTCGGAGAAATTGATTATGGAAAGTATGATGGGCTTGTCTTACCTGGTGGACGTGCTCCAGAATATCTGGCAATGGACCAAACTGTGTTAGACTGTGTGAGGAAGTTCTCAGAGTCTGGAAAACCAATTGCCTCTATATGTCATGGACAATTGATCTTGGCATCTGCAGACATTGTAAAGGGTCGAAAATGTACCGCATTTCCTGCTGTGAAACCAGTGCTGCTTGCTGCTGGTGCAGAATGGGTTGAGCCTCGAACCATGGCGACTTGTGTTGTAGATGGGAAACTCATTACGGGGCCAACATATGCTGGACATCCAGAATTTATCAACCATTTGGTGAGAGAACTTGGAGGTGCAATAACTGGTGCTGATAAAAAGATCTTGTTTCTGTGTGGGGTAAGTTTCTTGATCGTGATGAAATGAATTGTGTCAGTTTCTTTGAGTTTCCAGGTGGTTTATTCCTGAGTTTAGTCGGGATTCATGCAGGTCTTAGTAAAGTGACATATCATTAGGACATGTGGTCTTGTTGCCATCAGTTGAAAGTTTTGTCTCTTTTCTTCTGCAGGATTTTATGGAAGATTATGAGGTGATTGTTCCTTTTCAATCTCTTCAAGCTCTTGGGTGCCACGTTGATGCAGTTTGTCCTGACAAGAAAGCTGGGGATACATGCCCTACTGCCATCCACGATTTTGAAGGCGACCAGACTTACAGTGAGAAGCCTGGCCATACTTTCACTCTAACAGCCTCGTATGATGCGGTAGATGCCTCGAGTTATGATGCGCTTGTCATCCCTGGCGGTCGAGCTCCAGAATATTTGGCACTGGATGAGACTGTCATTGACTTGGTGAAGAAGTTCATGGAATCCAAGAAACCGGTTGCCTCCATCTGCCACGGACAACAGATCTTGGCTGCTGCAGGTGTTTTGAAGGTAAGTTTTGGTGCAGATGCCGTCTACCTTAACCCATGCGTGAATTGCTGTACATGCTCTGTCAGGCCTTTTCGCCCCCTTTCATAGTTGAATTTGTAATGGTTGAATGCGCAGGGAAGAAAGTGCACGGCTTACCCAGCTGTGAAGCTCAATGTCGTGCTCGCTGGTGCGGAGTGGCTGGAACCTGATCCAATTGATCGATGCTACACTGATGGTAACTTGATTACTGGAGCGGCGTGGCCAGGTCACCCAGAATTCATCTCCCAGCTGATGGCATTGCTTGGTATCCGTGTTTCATTCTAGTTGAGGTTCGCATATGTATCATGTATCCGGCGGACCTTGATGTCTGTTGATGCCCAAGTGTAACTTGAGAGAAAGCCATCACTGACCTGTTGTTTCAGTATACTATCCCTTGTCTGCTGTTTTTTCTCTCCCCTTTTTCACCCAGTACTTGAAGCCGGAAGACGTTAACTATCTCTGGTGTGACTTTATTGCAAATGATGGCCAAAACTAGACAGAATGTCACGCAGTTTCTCCGGTAAAGCTGGTTATCACAACAATCTGTTCCGCCAAGAAAGGAAACGAGGCCAAACCTCACAGCTGCGGAATATGGCAGAGAATCGACACCCTCCGGACAAAATTCATGAAGTTGAAAATGAACGCGAAGTGTTTGATAATTTACTTGCAAATCGGCTGGCAACGGTTCTTCCACTAGTTATAGGTAAAGCTCAGTCAGCATTTGTTAAAAGGTCGTTAATAAGTGACAATATCTTAATGGCAACATAACTGGTCAAGGACTATCATAAAAAGATCATTTCTTCGAGATGTGTGTTAAAAATCGATCTTATAAATGCGTTTAATTCTGTGGACTGGGATTTTTTTGTTCAAGGTTCTATTAGCAATGAATTTCCCAGCTGAGTTTGTTAGATTACTAGAAACGTGTATTAGAACTCTAATATTGAGTGTATGTTTTAATGGAGGGTTATGTGGCTATTTTTCTGCTTGCAAAGGGCTTAGGCAGGGTGATCTCTTATCGCCTTACTTGTTCACTGTTGTGATGGAGTTTTTTCTCGTGTCTTTTATACCATGCTGCTACAACCAATCATGTGCCCTATCATCCTAGGTGTAAGACTTTAGAGATCTCCCACTTATGTTTTGCGGATGATCTCTTAGTCTTCACTGATGGATCAGTCAGAGGAGTTATGAGAGTTAGACGGCTGCTGGATGGGTTCTATAGGGATTCAGGACTGCGGTGTAACATAGAGAAGTGTCAGTTGTTCTGTGCGGGTATACCTGAAGAAGAGAAGAGAATGATATCGAGGGTGACGGGGTTTTCCTCTAGGGGAGTCGTATGTTCGTTACCTTGGTGTGCCTCTAATCACGGGTAAGCTTTCGTCTACTGACTGTAAGATGCTAGTGGACAAGATAACAACCTGTATTTCTACATGGTAAGCACATTTTGTTGAGCTATGCGGGGCGATACAATTAATCTCCTCGGTCATCACTAGTACTATGCAGTACTGGATGGCGTTATTCTTGTTACCAATGAAGGTTCTGAAGGATATAGAGAGAATCTGCAACCAGTTCTTATGGGGAGCTGGAAGTATGGAGAAGAGGAAAAGAGCATTGGTATCAAGCTCGACTAATTATATTAAGCTGACAGAAACACAAATAAGAGAAGCAAGGGATTTAAGATCGAATAACAACGAACGAAGATCTCAGATTGTGGAGAGCGGATCGAATTCGGTTCTATGGTCGGCAAATCAATACGACTACTCCGTCCCACCAAGCAGATCAATGTTACATTCACATCCAAAATAACACAAATTCAATCGTTCGAAACTAAGAATCTGCTAAATGCATAGCCAATTCCAACCATAAAGGCGAACAGAAAGCTTACAGATAACGAAACGAAATCCAGTCGGCAGCCTCAATTAAACTTTGTAAACCCAATCGTACGGCATAGAGTCGCAAGAGACAGGGTACAGAGATTCAAATTCCAGGAAAATAAGAACAGACATGGGGGGATAAATCTAGAACTCGAGCTTGAGCTCTTCCTTCTCGGCGGCGGAGAGATAATGGAGGAGGTAAGGACTGATGCGGATGACGGCGACCCAGGCAGTGAACATAGCGGCGTGGACTTTCAGCTGCTTGTACGCCTCAGCCTTGTCCGGCTTCTTCATGAACATCCCGGGAAACATGGTTGAAGATCGGCGTCGCTTCGCTTATCGAGTTCTTTTTTTGCGCTGAGCCTTAAACCCTAACAGAGAGTAGTAAAATTGTGCAAAAGGGGGCCGAACCAGTATTTTATAACCTCCTGGGTCCTGCCACCGCCTCTCCACGTCATCCTCGACTTGGTTCGAAGACCAAGTGACTTCGGCCCTTCGCCTTTTATTCAACCTCGTTAAATTTTGGCGAAATACACTTTTATAACCGCACCTTTCGACAACTGTGACTGTTATAACTAGGGATGGCAACAAAAATCGAATGTGCGGGTACTTCACTTGACTCAACTCGGTCAATACGGGTAAAATTCGTGATGATGGTTTTCGAGTCATGTTCGAGTTTAAACTCGTTACATTGTTCACCAGATTGTATTTGGTTTTAGGTATACCCAAACCATAGATATCCGCCTGCACTTGTTAGCGTATTAAGAGTAATGGGCTATGATTTATTGTGATGTAATCAGGTGTTCAGTGAGGCCCATGTTGTTAAGCCCATCGTAGAAGCCATACAGGCCCATGTACAGGTTAGAGTGACGTGACCTTGTGTCTAACCTAGGCATGTCGAGGGTATAAGGTGTAGGAGAAGGGGAGTGCCGCCTGTAACTTGTGTGTTCTCTGATCATCTCAGTAAATCAGTAGCTGAAGAGCATTCAAAGCTCTTCCGTGGATTAGTCCTGGATAATCTCCAGGGATACCACGTAAACTCCGGTGTCTGTGTTCATTTACTTTTCCGTTTAACCACATTCAGTTTCTGCATCTGTTAACATGGTATCAGAACTTTCCGCGACTGATTCGGAGAGGCCAATGGTACGCCTCACTTCAACAAACTATGCTCTGTGGGAGTTTCAGTTTCGAATCTTTGTGGAAGGAAAGGGATTATTGGGAATCTTGGATGGAACTGTTCCCCAACCTGCTGCGACGGCAACTGATCAGGAGAAGGCTTCTTGGATGCAAAGTGACGCCCGCATCCGTTTGTGGCTCACGGGAGTGGTCGATCCCACGACCTGCCTGAGTCTTCGCGTGTTCCCCACCGCCAACAGAATGTGGCGGCATTTGGCTGGTTTATATTCCACAACCAGTGCAGCTCGAAGATTTGAGGTGGAGACAGCACTTGCAAGTTTGGCCCAAGGTGATAGGTCAATTACTGAGTATTTCAACGCCTCGCAGGAGTTATGGACAGAGCAGGATATGCTGCACCTTGCTCTCCAACCAGAAGCGATGACTGAAGGAATGATAGCGGATCGGCAACAATCCAGAATTTTGCAATTCCTTATGAGGCTGCGACCCGAGTACGAGAATATTCGTTCCAACATTCTGAACAGAGAGCAACTTACCTTCAATGGGGTCATAAGCAGCCTTGTTAGAGAAGAAACTCGTTTAAGAACCCAAGCCCAGTTCGATGTTCGCCCGGGTGAAGGTGAGACCTTTGCCGCAGCTGCTGCCCACTCACGGTCAGGTTTGGGACATAACTCCCACGTACTTGTTGTCACACGTCCTTAATTTTATAATAGGGTCCCTAATGCCGAGCTTGAGTGTCATCATTGTCATGAGAAAGGGCACCTCGTGAAGCATTATCGCCGAAGAAATTATTGTGTGTACTGTAAGCGAATGGGGCATATTATTTTGGAATGCCGGACACGGGAACACAATGTTGAACGTAATGGTGAAAGGACTGCTGGGAACCTGCCGCTAGCTGGGGGTGGACGAGGTCCACAAGGCAGGTACACTCGCCCTGCATATCATGTTGAGGCAGGGGAATCAAGTGGGTCGGCTCCTGGGGGTGTTACAGCAGCCCAAATGGAGCAGCTTGTCCAAGCAGTGGCCTCCTTGCAACAATCTCTTCCTGAGCAGGGTTGTTGTGTAATGTTTGCTCCTACTGGTTGTGTGATACAGGACTTGAGGACAGGGAGGCAGATCGGAAGGGGGAGTAAACAGGGGAGGATCTTTCACTTGGAGGAGCTCCAAGCCAATGCAGTGTCGTCTTCGAGTCAGCCATTGAGTAGTCAGTCTGTGTCTAGGTCTGTCAGTAGTCCTTCTCAGTTCTTTGACAAATCTTCTGTGATGAATCCAGTCTTTTCTAGTTTATCTAATAAGGTGTGGGAACTGTGGCATGCTCGTTTGGGGCACCCACACTTAGGTCGTCTGTCTGCTATGTTTAAACAATCCCTTTTGGGAAAGAATCTAGTTGGAACTCCTATCAATCACTCTTGTACTAGTTGCGTGGAAGCCAAAACTTCAACTATTTCTTTTCCATCCAGTACTACTGTGATAAATGAGCCTTTTCACATTATTCATACTGATCTTTGGGGGCCTTCCCCCACCATTTCTCGTCTGGGATTTAAATATTTTGCTCTGTTCATAGATCATGCTACTCGGTACACCTGGATCTATTTTCTTCGGCTCAAATCTGAACTTCGTTCTGCTGCTATTGAATTTCTTGATATGATCCAAACTCAATTCAATAGAACAGTCAAAATTATTCGTTCTGATCCTGGCGGGGAATTTAGTTCAATTCCTTTGCACGAAGTCTATCGTTCCCGAGGAATTCTTAGCCAAATGTCTTGTCCCGGAGTTTCTCAACAAAATGGCCTAGTTGAAAGGAAAAATAGGCATGTGATAGAGCTTACTCGGGCCTTACTCATTCATTCTTCTGTTCCTAGTCATTTTTGGCCCGAAGCAGTAGTGACTGCAGTCCGGCTAATCAACTATCAACTCACTCCCGTGCTCAATCAAAAGAGTCCCTATTTTTGTCTTTATGGTCATCATCCCGATTACTCTAGATTGCGAGTATTTGGTTGGCTTTGCTTCGTTCTTCTTCCCAAACGTGAGCATACAAAATTAACATCCAAAACTGTTCGTTGTGTCTTTCTTGGGTATAACACTGTTCACAAAGGATACCTCTGTTTTGATCCCTCAACACAACGTATGAGGATTGCGGCCTCTGTTGTTTTCTTTGAGAATCAAAGTTTTTATCCTACCACATCTATCTCTGACATTGCTTTTCCTAATGGTATGATGCGGCTGCCCATTTTTGGTGATGATTTAGAGGATGATCCTCTTATTACCAATGATCCTGCGGAAACTCCCTCCTCTCCTGATCTGTCCTCCCATGCACCGAGTACCCCTGGATCCTCTTCAGCATCTTCCACTTCCAGCGGCCCTTCATTGTCCTCCTCGGCTCCTTCCTCACCTGATGACCATGATGCACAGATTCTTCCCAGGAGGTCTTTGCGCTCCAATAAGGGAGTGCCACCTCCTAGCATGCATGATTATGTGACTTATAGTGTGGATACTCTCATTGTTCCTACTACCTTTAAACAGGCTCATGGAAATCCCATATGGGATCGAGCAATGCAGGAGGAATTCGGAGCTTTGGAAGCCAACCGTACCTGGACAGTGGTTGATCGTCCTGTCCCATGTCCTCCCACTATCGGTTGTCGCTGGGTTTATGCCATCAAGGTCCTTCCCGATGGCACAATTGAAAGAAACAGAGCTCGCCTTGTTGCTCTAGGCTATACTCAAGAACATGGAGTGGATTACAATGAGACCTTTGCACCGGTAGCTAAGATGTCCACCGTACGTACCCTGCTCGCTATAGCTGCTCTTTTTAACTGGCCTCTTTATCAATTGGATGTAAAGAACGCATTCCTCCATGGTGACTTGGAGGAAGTGATATATATGGAAAGACCACTTGGTTACACTGTTGGGAGGGAAGATCAAGTTTGTTTATTGCATCGGTCTCTCTATGGTCTCAAACAGGCACCTCACGCCTGGTTTGAAAAATTCCAGGCCACGATCATACAACTGGGGTTTCAGCAAAGTCTCAATGATCCATCTCTCTTTACTCAGGTAACCTCAGTTGGCATTGTTGTCCTTCTACTCTATGTCGATGATATGGTGATTACCGGAACATATCCAAAGGGGATTTCACGTCTTAAAGATGGACTGAAACAAGCTTTCAACATCAAGGATCTTGGGAATCTATCCTACTTTCTCGGTCTGGAAGTTAGTCGCAATGATCGTGGTATTCTTCTCAGTCAACGGAAATACATATCAGACTTGCTCAGTGATCATAATTTTGATAACTGTCATCCAGTTAAGACTCCCATGGAACTGAATTTGAAGCTGCAGAAAGACACATGTGGGGATCCTCTCCGAGATGGGTCTCAATACTGCAGTATCGTGGGAAGTCTTATCTATCTGTCAGCTACTCGTCCTGATATTTCTTATGCAGTTCAGGTGGTTAGTCAATTCATGACTACACCATGTGTTGATCATCTTGCAGCAGTGCATAGGATACTTCGCTATCTTAAAGGCACACAGGATGTTGGAATTCTTTTTCCTTCGACTGGTTCTCCTCAGCTTACAGCTTATTCTGATTCAGACTTTGCAGGCTGCCTTGACACACGGCGCTCAACGTCCGGATGGTGTGTTCGATTTGGTGGCGCTTACATATCTTGGCGCTGCAAGAAACAAGATAAGGTATCCAAATCCTCCACTGAACCAAAATACCGGGCAATGTCAGAAGTTGGGTTCGAGTTGGTATGGCTACGTCGTCTCCTCTCAGATTTTGGAATAACCTGTCCTGCACCCATGGATTTGCATGTAGACAACACCAGTGCCATTCGTATTGCGGAAAATCCTGTGCTTCATGATCGTACAAAGAACATCGAGATTCATGTGCATTACATACATGATCTAATTCGAGATGGCACTCTACGCTTACATCACATCCAGACAGAAGAACAAGTGGCAGATCTTTTCACCAAGGCTTTTTCTACTAGTCGTCATTGGTACTTGGAAAACAAATTGATGCTGACCGATCGACATCAATTTGGGGGAGGATGTTAGCGTATTAAGAGTAATGGGCTATGATTTATTGTGATGTAATCAGGTGTTCAGTGAGGCCCATGTTGTTAAGCCCATCGTAGAAGCCATACAGGCCCATGTACAGGTTAGAGTGACGTGAGCTTGTGTCTAACCTAGGCATGTCGAGGGTATAAGGTGTAGGAGAAGGGGAGTGCCGCCTGTAACTTGTGTGTTCTCTGATCATCTCAGTAAATCAGTAGTTGAAGAGCATTCAAAGCTCTTCCGTGGATTAGTCCTGGATAATCTCCAGGGATACCACGTAAACTCCGGTGTCTGTGTTCATTTACTTTTCCGTTAAACCACATTCAGTTTCTGCATCTGTTAACAACACTTATTCTGCCGCCCTACTCTCTTCAAACCTTACCCTAATTCTAATTTACTCCAATCTAACTTTCAATACTCACCTACCGCCTACCCAGTCCGTATTATGCTCTCTCTTTCCCCAAAACCCTCTCTCTCCTTCCTAATTCTCTCCCCCCAAAACCCTCTATCCTTCCTGATTGGACCCCAATGAGCCAATCCTTCCCTGCTTCTCCCATAAAGTTGACTGTATATTTTTTTTATAATGGTGATATAGGTTTTTTTTGTGATTAAGATTCTAATTAATGGATTCGAACATGTGACCTCCAGGTTCTAAACTAGTGGTATTACCACCAGACCAATGCCAAGGTATTGTTCCTTTTTTCCCAAAAGAAGTAGGAGAGATAATTGAAGTTGAACACACCATGTTTGTTGGTTTCCTGCTCTCTCACAAACAAAAAGAGAATGAATGAAAAACAAAGATTTTTCGATTTTTTTTAGTGTAGTTGTGTGATTTTAACAAAGAATTGTGATTTGCTTGAATTTTCTAGATTGGTGGTGAACAATTTGTATGGATAATTTGTGTTTTGTTTGAATTTTCTAGATTGGTGTTTTATATATGGATAATTTATATGAGAAAATTGATGTTTGACATTTATTTTGACAGTAACTTGTTATTGTAAATTTTTTACAACAAAACCCTTGGGTACCTATGAACCCACGGATAACCAGCGAGTTGGGTTTGAGTTTTTTTAAACCGTGTGGGTTTTATCACGATTTTTTTACCGATAAACCCATGGGTTTAGGTTTGGGTTTAGAATATAACTAACCTGATCGATTGTCATCCTTAGTTATAACAATAATTTTTGAAATACACAAAATAGCCATTCGTCCATCCATTTAACGGTGTCACTTAACAGTATGAGTGAACTGGCGAAAATGCTGAGTTGGTGATATTTTGTCCCACCAATCCACGTGGATTAACAAAAAATAAAATTAAAAAAGCAAAATACACTTCCATAGCCCAAACGGATTAACAAAAAATAAAATTAAAAAAAGCAAAATACACTTCCATAGCCCAAACTTTCACGTTTGTGATAGTTATAGCCACAACTTTTGAAATACATGAAATATCCACTTTCGTTCATCCCTTTAACTATGTCACTTAAAAGTATGGAGAAGGACTTATTTCCCAAATTGCTTATTCATATTCCTAATCGCTAGATTGAAGAAGAAGGCCTCCAAAGCTTGATAGGGACGCAGAAAACGGCGATAAAGAGGCCAAGAAGGCTATTGGGAGGAAGCTCAACGACTGCTCGAAGAAGAAACATCGGGGACGACAGTGAAAGAGGAGACAGTGTCTTCGGTGGCGACAAGAGCTGATGGGTCGGGAAGGAAGGATGTGGCGGCTCGTAGTGCATTTACCCCTCCAATTCCTCGGAATCGTCGCGCCTCCGGTTGTTCTTATTTCCGGTGAAACCCAATTCATCACAGTCAATTAGCCCAATTTGTTGCATTCCCTCTAAAACAAAACCCTAAGAACAAATCGAGGACAAGGCCACAACTGTTTCGTGTATCTCAAAAGTTTGTATAAAAATGGCTAGATTTTTCAAAAAACCATCATAATTTTTTCATTTCGTGTATTTTGAAAGTTGTGGCTATAACTGTTAAAAATGTGAAAGTTGCGGCTATGGAAATGTATTTTGCCTAAAATATTTGTAAAATTAATTATGGCGTAACATCTACGTGGCAAGTGATGTTGAGTTCCGCTGACAGTAATAGAGGAGTAGCTTTAGCCCGAGCTAGCCCTGAATTTGTCTCTCCTTAGCAAAACAATGTGTAAAGTTGGATTCAGTTAGAAACTCAGTATGCTTATTGTTTAACTATTCACTGGATCAATAGGATTATAGGAAGACTGTTATTCGAGTTTGGCCATGTATTTTTAACAATTTAATCATGGACCCATTAGAACAATAATAAACACAACTTTCGATAGGATTAAATTTTAATTGCTAAAGCCTCTCTCGCGAATATGCCGTGAGCCATGTCCTAGTTATTTTTAGAAGAAGGCACCAAAACTGCATTGGTTGTCAAGCCGGTGGTATATGTTGGCTGGTATAACCGAGTTCAACCGATGATGGTTCAAAATCATGATTGATTTTTGAAATTTAAACAAAATGACGTTGTTTTGGTAATTTTAATTAAAAAGTAATCACTTTTATTTATTTCCCGAATATGTTAATGTTGTTTGTTGGATTCAAATATGAATGTGTAGATGATCCTGGTTTAGGATGAACGATTGCAGCATACACATGTAAGTCGGACATGGTATATGTAAATATTATATTTAAATATGAGAATTTTATTTTGTTTGAAATGTTGTGTTTACTTAAATATGTCTTCTCTGTAACGTTCCAAGTTTATCGGGTATCCCCGAAGGAATGTAGTTTATTTATGTTTGAGCCCGGGCGACTGGGCGTCACTCGGGTCCAAGGGGTTTGGGGCGTCAGCCATGACCTTGAAGGGGTAGGCGCCCCGCCTCGTCAGAAGTAAGAAAAGAGAAGAAGTATATAGAGAGAGAAAGTAGAGAGAAGTAATAGTAAGAGTAGATAGATTGTCATTTATGAGGAGAGAACTCCTATTTATACACATTTGAGGGTTAGGTAGTGGTCTGGGCGCCTGCCAAGCCATAAATGCTCTGGTCGGGCGCCTCAGACTCTCTGACACTGTTCATAGTCCTTTTGGCAGAGGGTGTCCCCCTGCCCCTTGTCCTTGCTGATGTCAGGTGCCTGGGCTTGTCTCTTGTCTCCCAGCCTTGTCTTTTTGCTCTTGTCTTCTTTCCTTCTTTATGCCATTAGCTAGGGTATTATTTCCTTAGTTACTAGGTCTTGGCTTCTCTTGGACTCTTCTTGTAGACCTTCTCCAAGTATTATACTTTACCTTCATACCCTATCATTGCCCCTTTGACGTCGGTATGAGTATCATGGCGGCGTCAACATAAAGTGAGTGTTTCACTAACCTTGCTTTCTCGTCTTCACAATCAAGTGCCAGCTCTCTTTCTTTAGTTAATCGGCACCAGGCTCTTCCTTTGAAGTGGGTGCTTCATTCCCTTATTGATCTTCTGATCTGTTGAGCGCTTGTGCACCCGTGTGGGTGTGCTTGCTTCCAAATAAGGTGTAGTAAAATGAGGAAGAATAAACACATGTCTCAAGTAACGGAGACTATCAAAAGAAGCAATCATGCCCCTTTTATCAAGCGCTTGACGCTTGCATTCTTCCGTTCTTCATCAATTATTTCCTAAGTGACTATTCTTTCATCTTAGAGGATGTGCCTACGCTCGTGTTAGAGTATTCAATCTATCTTGACAATCAAATGAAGTTGAAACAAACTTGTCAGTTTTCCTTTGATTGTGCCTTGCCCATTTGAAACGAGCGCCTAGCGCTCTTTTCCCATTTTTTCTTTTTGCCAAAAGATACCACTGATATTGAAATGCTTTCCATTCATTGTCTAAGATGCTCCATTTTTCTTTCGATTACTTGTGCTCTTTTAGAAGAGTGCTTGTTTCAATTCTTTGGCTAAGCACTGGTCACCGAGCTTGTCGTTAGTGTCCCTAAGACCCAAACTCAACGAGGTGTCTGGCGACTCGCTCATTTGTCGATGTGTCTGACCTTCAGTTGGGCGCCTGACATCTTACTCCTTAGCGAGGTGCCTGACCTTCAGTGGGGTGCCTGACGCCTCACTCCTTCGCTTATGTCTTTGGTAAGCATTTGTCACCCAGCTTGTCCTTTGTTGCCGTAAGATCCATAGTCAACGAGGTGCCTGGTGACTTGCTCATTTGTCGAGGTGTCTGACCTTCAGTTGGGCCCCTGGCACCTCACTCCTTCAGCGAGGCGCCTGGAACCACACTACTTCAGCGAGGTGCCTAACCTTCAGCGGTGTACATGGCGACTCGCTCCTTTGTCGCGGTGTTTGACATTTGATAGGGTGCCTGACACCTCACTCCTTCGGTGAGGTGTTTGGCGACTCGCTCTTTTACATAGGTTTTTGACATTCAGTTGAGCGCCTGTCACCTCACTCCTTCATCGAGGCGCCTGGCACCACACTCCTTCAGCCAGGCGCCTAACCTTGAGTGGGGCACATGGAGACTCGCTCCTTTGCCGAGATGTCTGACCTTCAGTTGGGCGCCTGGCACCTCACTCTTTTAGCGAGGCGCCTGGCACCGCACTCTTTCATCGAGGTGCCTAACCTTCAGTGGGGCGCCATGCACCTCACTCCTTCATCCAGACGCCTTCAACTAGACGCCTATCCTTCATCGAGGCGCCTGGCACCACACTCCTTCAGCCAAGCGCCTAACCTTGAGTGGGGCACATGAAGACTCGCTCATTTGCCGAGATGTCTGACCTTCAGTTGGGAGGCTGGCACCTCACTCTTTTAGCGAGGCGCCTGGCACCGCACTCTTTCAGCGAGGTGCCTAACCTTTAGTGGGGCGCCAGGCACCTCACTCCTTCAGCCAGGCGCCTATCCTTGAGTGGGGCGCCTGACACCTCACTCCTTCAGCCAGGCGCCTAACCTTGAGTGGGGCACATGGTAACTTGCTCATTTGCCGAGGTGCCTGACCTTCTGTGGCACCTCACTCCTTCAGCGGGCGCCTGGCACCACACTCTTTCAGCGAGGTGCCTAACCTTCAGTGGGGCGCCAGGCACCTCACTCCTTCAGCTAGGCGCCTTCAACTAGACGCCTATCCTTGAGTGGGGCGCCTGACACCTCACTCCTTCAGCCAGGCGCCTAACCTTGAGTGGGGCACATGGTAACTTGCTCATTTGCCGAGGTGCCTGACCTTCAGTTGGGCGCCTGTCACCTCACTCCCAGGCACCTCACTCCTTCAGCCAGGCGCCTTCAGCCAGGCGCCTATCCTTGAGTGGGGCGCCTGGCACCTCACTCCTTCAGCCAGGCGCCTAATCTTGAGTGGGGCACATGGTGACTTGCTGATTTGCCAAGGTGCCTGACCTTCAGTTGGGCGCCTGGCACCTCGACAATGGAGTGTGGTGCCAGGCTTCTTCTCGACGGAGGAAGCGAGCTATATGAGCTCCATCTGTCTAAGCAAGGATATTTAGAGGGATGTGTTGGGGACATCGGCTCTCATGGGGACCTGGGATCCAGGTGCCCGACGCTCAACTAAAAAGTCGAGCGGAAGCTTTAAGGTTCTTACTCTTTGGCGAGAAAGAGAGCGGTTGGGCTCCACACCCTTGTCCGTTTGGTGGTACTCCCCACATCATTGCATTGGCGCTCCTGAAAAGGAAATAATGCACCAGGGCTTCTCCTCGACAGACGAAGCGAGCTATATGAGCTCCTTCTGTCTAAGCAGAGAAATTTCGAGGGATGTGTTGGGGACATCGCCTCTCATGGGGACCTGTTATCCGGGCGCCCGAAATTCAACTAAAGAGTCGAGCACAAGCTCTAAGGCTCTTCCGTGTTTGCGGGAAAGAAAGCGGTGGGGTTCAACACCCTTAATCGTTGGTGGTGCTCCCCAAAGCATTGCACCAGCGCTCCTAAAAAGGAAATAACGCGCTTAGCTTCTCCTCGACAGAGGAAGCGAGCTATATGAGCTCCATCTGTCTAAGCATGGAAATTTAGAGGGATGTGTTGGGGACATCGCCTCTCATGGGGACCTGTTATCCAGGCGCCCGAAATTCAACTAAAGAGTTGAGCACAAGCTCTAAGGCTCCTCCGTGTTTGCGGGAAAAAAAGCGGTGGGGTTCAACACCCTTAACCGTTGGTGGTGCTCCCCAAAGCATTGCACCAGCGCTCCTGAAAAGGATATAACGCGCTTAGCTTCTCCTCGACGGAGGAAGCGAGCTATATGAGCTCCATCTGTCTAAGCAGGGAAATTTCGAGGGATGTGTTGGGGACATCGCCTCTCATGGGGACCTGTTATCCAGGCGCCCGAAGTTCAACTAAAGAGTTGAGCACAAGCTCTAAGGCTCTTCCGTGTTTGCGGGAAAAAAAGCGGTAGGGTTCAACACCCTTAACCGTTGGTGGTGCTCCCCAAAGCATTGCACCAGCGCTCCTGAAAAGGATATAACGCGCTTAGCTTCTCCTCGACGGAGGAAGCGAGCTATATGAGCTCCATCTGTCTAAGCAGGGAAATTTCGAGGGATGTGTTGGGGACATCGCCTCTCATGGGGACCTGTTATCCAGGCGCCCGAAATTCAACTAAAGAGTTGAGCACAAGCTCTAAGGCTCCTCCGTGTTTGCGGGAAAAAAAGCGGTGGGGTTCAACACCCTTAACCGTTGGTGGTGCTCCCCAAAGCATTGCACCAGCGCTCCTGAAAAGGATATAACGCGCTTAGCTTCTCCTCGACGGAGGAAGCGAGCTATATGAGCTCCATCTGTCTAAGCAGGGTAAACGATATCCTCAAAACATCACGCCATGTTGGGGTGGAGGCTCTTTTATTTATTTATTTATGTTTTTTAAGATTGACCAAGGAGATCATTGTCAGTGTCTGCTCGTTTTGACCCACAATTGTTGCATGCCTGCATCTTTCGGTGAAGGTAGAGGGAGACACTTTGTAAGGGATATGTAGTTGCATCTTCCGAAAATATTTCTTTTATGTGATCCTCATGATCGGTCCTCCCTTCGTACGAGGGATACTTGGACTTGCAAGGTTAGGTTTGGCTCTTCCAATATCCCCTTAGACTGCATTTGTCAAATAATGTCAAGTCATTTGTCTCTGGCGCCTCTTCCTTTTGTCAGGTGCCTGTCACCTGCTGCAACCTTGAATGTAGAGGTGGCTCTTCGATTATTCATTTTCCACCGATTGAGCCCTTTGCGAGAGATGTCCTTGAATGTCATCTTTCATCTTTGTTTCCTTTCGAGTTTGGCGAGGAGGCACCTCAAGCGCTTAAGGTAGGCAATTTTGGGGAGAGGTAGGGTAGATTGGGCTTTGGGGGCGGCCGACTTTGGAAACCGTGCGCCTCCTTCTCTGCTCCTCTTATTTAAGCTCCTTCTCATTTTCCTCTTTCCCCCTCCCAACTTGACCGCTCCCCTTCCTTTCGGTGCCTCTCTAAGTGCTTTCCTTGGCCGGCGCCACCCCTGCGATTTAGGTAGCTCTATTTTGTACCCAATTTTTGTAGGCGCCACCCTTCTTTCTTCCTAGGCGCCACCCTTTGTGATTTTTTAATCAGGGGCGGCGTCGCCGTGCGCCTCTTCTTCAATCGGGGGAGGCGCCTCCGCGTCCTCATCTCTAAAATTATTGGTTTTCTTTTCAGGCATCGTTCCTTCAATTCGTTAGGCGCCTTCTGATCTTGCGTAGGTAAGTTTTACTTCGTCTTTCTTAGGTGCACCCTTTGCGATCTTTTGAATCAGGTGCGGCGTCGTCGTGCGCCTTTTCTTTAATCGAGGGAGGCGCCTCCCAGTCTTTGTTACTCTGTCATTTTTTCTTTTGCGAATTCTTTCTTGTTTGTTGAGCGCCACCCTCCGAGCTTTTAATAGGCGTCATGCCCTGTTAAGTCGGGCGTACTTCTCTAGGTAGATGTCGGTGTCAGCTTCCATTGCGTCTTCATTTGGTGAGGCGCCCACACCCTCCCGTGGGGAGTTCGTGGGTGCCGCCTCAACCTCCTGCATCTTCCCTCGGAGGCGCCTCCTCTCCTCTATGGCTTCTTGGGGATTTGGAGGCGCCTGGTCGTTGACCTTTGTTAGTGCCATTAACGCGGTCATGACTTGGTCTAGTTGGCCTTGCATGCTTGCCATTTGAAGCGCTTGCTTTTTCCGAAGCTCCGCTAGTTGCCCCTCCAGGCGCTCCGCGCCTTCTCCGTCTCCTGATGGGTCGTCGTCGTCGGACGCTTCTAAGCCTTGGATGGTGAGCGGTTGGGGGTTGATCGCTTCGCGACCAACCACTTGCTTGAGAGGGGTCTTTGTTGGTGCCGGACTCCTTTCTTCCCCCTTCTTTGAGTTGGAAGCGTCTTTCAAAGTCATGCTTGGCCCCACGGTGGGCGCCAATTGTTTGAGCCCGGGCGACTGGGCGTCACTCGGGTCCAAGGGGTTTGGGGCGTCAGCCATGACCTTGAAGGGGTAGGCGCCCCGCCTCGTCAGAAGTAAGAAAAGAGAAGAAGTATATAGAGAGAGAAAGTAGAGAGAAGTAATAGTAAGAGTAGATAGATTGTCATTTATGAGGAGAGAACTCCTATTTATACACATTTGAGGTTTAGGTAGTGGTCTGGGCGCCTGCCAAGCCATAAATGCTCTGGTCGGGCGCCTCAGACTCTCTGACACTGTTCATAGTCCTTTTGGCAGAGGGTGTCCCCCTGCCCCTTGTCCTTGCTGATGTCAGGTGCCTGGGCTTGTCTCTTGTCTCCCAGCCTTGTCTTTTTGCTCTTGTCTTCTTTCCTTCTTTATGCCATTAGCTAGGGTATTATTTCCTTAGTTACTAGGTCTTGGCTTCTCTTGGACTCTTCTTGTAGACCTTCTCCAAGTATTATACTTTACCTTCATACCCTATCAATTTAAATATGGATGCATATTTTAGAGATATAGTTTTCGAATATGTTATATATACCTAAATTCTTTTAGTATTATGATTTTCTACTTTTCTATAGATTTTGTTAAACTCGATATAAATTGATATCAATTATATCATCGATCGAATCATACCACCTACCAAATCGAAATAACTACGTAAACCGGTTTGACAGCCTTACATAATAACTGTGTAAGTTCGTGCTTAATTTAGTTTTCCTTTCATTTTTTTTTTTTTAGAAAGATTGCAACTAATTTAGTTTTCCTTTCATCAAACTTAAAAATTGCAACTAATTAAATACCCGGACGCGGCAGGTGTTGCATTACTATCACTCTCCCACCTCGAAGAATCAGCGCCTTTCTTCGTTTCCAATCGCTTCCTTCAGCTGCCCGACCCGGCGTTTTAATTCAATTTCTGGATCTTCTCTCCCAATTCTCAAACCCTAGCTCCAAATATTCCCCACCAGCAGCACCAAGCAAAGCAATCTTGGGGGACTCCGCGTCTCTTTTCCTGTTTTCTTACTCATGATAATGGCGAACCTTGGGATCTGAAAAGAATTCAACAGCGGAAGCGGCCGTAAGCTTCAATTCTACCATGTTTGGTGGTCTGCAGTTTGGACTGTTGCTTGCGTGTATTGTGTTGTTTGTACCTATGGTAATGGCAGGCTGGCATTTGAGTCGTAACAAGATGCTCTTCTTTAGCGGCGCCCTTTTCATTAGTCTCGCGGTATGCGTCCACTTGACTCCCTATTTCCCCTCCGTCTCTGATTTCGTGACCTCTGTACAATCAGTAGTTATATTTGATAACCGCGACGATTCTTGCATTAACTTGGTGAACGAAGTTGTGTGGGATATGAAGCCTATGCGGGAAGAACTCCTTGTTGCTGAACCCGATGGTGATAACGTTGGTGGTGTGTCATCGGCGGTAGCGTTTGAGAAGAATTGGGGGTGGTCGAAGTCTTGGAAAGTGATGGCTTGTGAATTTCAGAAATTGGGCAAGGGTGATATCTCCGATCTACTCAACGGATCCTGGGTTGTTGTGGCAGGGGACTCCCAGTCACGGTTAGTCGTTCAATCGCTGTTGGGTTTAGTTTTGAACTCGGAACGAATGGAATCGATCAAAGAGGAGTTGTTTAGAAGACACAGCGACTATGGAATTGTTGTTGAAGAAATGGGAATGAAATTGGATTTTGTGTGGGCCCCTTACGTTGCAAATTTGAGCAACTTGATGATGGGTTTTAAGCAGAACAAAAGTTACCCCGATGTCTTGGTAATGGGAGCAGGGCTGTGGCATATGCTGCATTTCACAAATGCCTCGAGTTATGGTGTTGATTTGAAGTCATTGAGGAGCTCTGTGGTGTCGCTGCTGCCATTGGCACCCGAATTGGGAACTGATGGCCCTGTAATGGGTACAGTCTCTGTAAGATCGCCACACTTGTTTTGGCTGGGCATGCCGATGTTGATAAATGGGATGCTAAACACGGAAGAGAAGAGGGAGAAGCTGAGTGATGAAATGTGGCATGCTTATGATAAGGTGCTGCGTGACAGTAGGCTCTTGCATAGATATGGCGGGCCGTGTCTGTTGCTTGATATTCAATCCTTGAGTTGGAATTGTGGGCCTCGTTGTACAGTTGATGGAATGCATTACGATGGAGCTGTTTATGAAGCAGCTGTACAGATTCTGTTGAATGCATTGCTGATAGAATCTCATCAGAAGCTCGCTACATAGTGTGGTGTCCTCCCATTTATCGGTTCTTGGCTTTCTAATGCAGGGAAGAGGCTGTTTATCTTGTTGTATTTTCAATTGTTTTTTACCAGGTCCTTCCTTCTCCTTAAGGTCTATGAAGCCTTTTCTGGGTGCATTTTTGTAGTCTTGTTAACATTCTTGAAATGTCTTGTCCTGTTCGTGGTTTCTTCTTTTTATTCCATTGATATTGAGTACTTTCCACTCCTTGTAGCACTTGTGCAATATATACATGTGAAATTTTTCAATGAACAGTCAATACACTTTTGTTAGCAGTATGGACGAGCAAAGAGTATCCTTTCGATGCAGTCTTGCCCTAATCAATCCGGTTCTTGGAATTGGAGTTGACTTGAGATTTGAGAATAGTGCTGCTGCTGCATGTTTCTAAACGAAAGGTAGAACACATGAAATTGCTATCACATTTGTGGAAAAATGATGAATCGAGATCAATAGGAACCTGTCAGGAAGAGACCTGTTGATGGTTCTGTGAGTTACTGGTGAGGTCTAATGCCCTGAATACACCACTATTAGCGCTGACTTGATGACATAACCATTAACGGGGGCAAGTTTTTCTAGACATGGAGCTTGGTGAGTGCAAGCTAACTTATATATCTGCTTCTTTGTTTTACGTTTCTAAGATGTCTTTTTTAAATTGGTTAAGGTCTTGAACCTTGTGAGTTCAATGAACTCAAGTATCATGTATTTTGAAATGGTGGTTCGTTCGTTTGACTCTTTTTGCAGGCTAAGAAGAGACATTGATACCTGCTGTTTTTATACTATAGGTACATGGAAGACTTTCTTTTTCAGCTTTCTTTAGCTGTTTATTTGTGAGTGTGTGATAGTTGAACCAAGTGGGGAGATTCGAGTTTCATTTTCCTCTTTCTTCTAGTTGAAATTAGTTTGATAATTTAAACATAGAAGTGTGTTGAATCTTTGCTGATCCGTATGACGATGATCTAGGATGGGAAAACTCAACAAAACTTCTTCTATCGAATTGCTTACATTTGCTTAGTAGTTATGGACAAGTAGAATGTTAATCCCTTTGAAGTGACATACGAGGCTTACATAAACTGACATGAGAGCTGAAGAACATACCTTTTGATAAGGACATTGAAGAGTCTTTTATTAATGCTTTGTAGTTGGATAACTTACCTTTTCAATTATTTCATTGATATTGAATACTTTCCACGCCTTGTAGCACTTGTGCAATATATACATGTGAAATTTTTCAACGAACAGTCAATACACTTTTTTTAGCAGTATGGACGAGCAAAGAGTATCCTTTCGATGCAGTCTCGCCCTAATTTATTCGGTTCTTGGGATTGGAGTTGACTTGAGATTATAGTGCTGCTGCTGCATGTTTCTAAATGAAAGGTAGAATACATGAAATTGCTATCACATTTGTGGAAAATTGATGAATCGAGATCAACAGGAACCTGTCAGGAAGAGACCTGCTGATGGTTCTGTGAGTTACTGGTGAGGTCTACTGCCCTGAATACACCACTATTAGCACCAACCGTTAGTATATTTGACTTGATGTGATAACCATTAACGGGGGCAAGTTTTTCTAGACATGGAGCTTGGTGAGTGCAAGCTAGTAGCTTCTATATCTGCTTCTTTGTTTTACGTTTCTTAGCTCATGTTTTGCAATAAGCAACCTCTCTATCTAAGATTTCTTTTTTAAATTGGTTAAGGTCTTGAACCTTGTGAGTTCAATGAACTCAAGTACCATGTATTTTGAAATGGTGGTTCGTTTGTTTCACTCTTTTTGCAGGCTAAGAAGAGACATTGATACCTGCTGTTTTTATACTATAGGTACATGGAAGACTTTCTTTTTTGCAGATTTCTTTAGCTGTTTATTTGTGAGTGTGTGATAGTTGAACCAAGTGGGGAGATTCGAGTTTCATTTTCCTCTTTCTTCTAGTTGAAATTAGTTTGATAATTTCAAACATTAAGTGTGTTGAATCTGTGCTGATCTGTATGACGATGATCTAGGATGGGAAAACTCAACAGAACTTCTTCTATCTAATTGCTTCCATTTGGTTAGTAATCATGGACAAGTAGAATGTTAATCTTAGGAGCAATGTTACAAAAAGTTATATACGAGGCTTACATAAACTGACATGAGAGCAGAAGAACATACCTTTTGATCAGGACATTGTAGTTGGAGATAACTTCCCTTTTCAATTATGCTATCCCAGGTGAATTTGTTGTTATTACATGTGTTCTGTAAGCTGTTGCCAAACTTATAGCACCTTTGTTTGTTTCCTATAATTGTGGATTAAGTACTTGTGACTGCAATAAAAAAAAAAAAAAAAGTTGATGAAGACCAGCACGATGGATTTCGTTATGCTTGGCTTTAGCAAGAATGAGTTCTTTGTATGATCTCGCCATGATATGCAAAATGGGATGACAGAGCATCTATTAGCACTCTCTCACCCCCTAGCTTTTCTCACATTCTTATTGTGCTTGAAACAATATGGTTATGCAAGGTTTCAATGGATTCTTCTTGTTAGTCAAATTATATAAAAACAAATTATCTAGATTTTATTAACACAGTTAGTTGTTTTAAGATGCGCCAAACAACTGTTGAGTTGTATGACATAAAGCTGAGTCACTCAATTAATCAAATTTAACTCAATCCAAACTAATTTGACCGTCTATTCAGTCTGACCCACCAATTGACCCAAACTGAAAATTTGAATTTTCTTTTACTTTTTGTAATAAAGAATCACTCAAATAATCACATTTAACCCAACCCAAACTAACTTGACCGTCTATGCAGCCTGAAAACCCGACCCACCAATTGATCCTAATTGAAAATTTAAATTTTCTTTTACTTTTTGTAATAAAGAATTTTTTTTATAAGGGTGATATATGTTACTTTTTGTAATTAGGTACTAGTTAAGAGATCGAACCCACAACATGTCGATTAAATAGAGGCTAGTAAATAGATGCTTACGTTATACTTCAAAACAGACCATTTACCAGCACTCTGCCCTAAGGGCACGAGTAGCAATCCATAGAGAATAAGTGAATTATTGTAGGAATTCGACGTGGAGTCTTCACCATCAATGCATGTATCTGATGTTTTTCTATTCTCTTTTGTATTTCTAGTTATCATTGTTTAGGGATGTGAATTCATTGATGATTAATGCATCTACTTAATATGATTTAATGAGATGTCTTTTGTGTTCAATGCTTTTATCATTGATGTTTTGAGTCAATTTGTGCTTATACCATCTAGTTCTTGAGATATCAACCATCTATACCTTGAGTAGTATCAATGCTTGATTGTTCGATCATAAATGCTATAGACTATGAGCTCAAGAGGCCCACACTTAAACTTATAACATCCTAACCTCCTTATTCTTCATTAATAAGGTGATGGCATGAAGTGAAAGTATGCATTGAATAGTCAAGTTCCTATTGCATGTGGCGAAAGCTCAAGTAGGATGACCTTAGTGGAAGGGATAAGCCATCATAATACAAGTAGGATTGTAGCATATTATTAATAAGTTAGTATGCATGATCATCTAAAAAATGCTAATGAAACAATTATTGTACTTTCTTTGATTGCTTTCTATATTTGCTTTAGCATAATAGATCTAAAAATCCAAAGCCACCTCAACCCACTTGCTTTACTTTTCTTACATTGTTTTATCTCGACATAGGTGATTAGTTTTGCGCATTTACTACTAAAAGACTCTATGGAATACGACCCTATGCACTCCTAGGATTTATAACTTGGTTTACTGCATTCAAGTTTTTAGCATCGTTTGCAGAGAGTTTTGAGAGTATTTGAAAGAAACTAACCTCTTGTGTTTGATTTATACAAGAGAAGACATTACGCTCTAATTGATTCGGTTTTACAGGATTCTAACTCGAGGAAGCCAAAGGATTCATAACTCGAAGAAAGATGTACATCCTATTTCTATTCTAGTACTTTAGGCCAAAGACATCGAAGGTTGAGGCAAACAACAACAATCCTACATTACATTACTATGGAAAAGGATTCATGTCAACTGGGATAGAAAGGGAATGGGTCTAGAAGATTTGAAGCTCCTAAGAGAGGCGTGTATAGAGGAGATGGAACAAGCTTTCAAAGTTCTTCATGAAAGATGCTAGATCAATTCAAAACCTCCTCGCAGCATCAATGCTAGTATCAATGACGTATGGCTAAAGCAATTGCTAAAAGATGTTCAAATCACCTATGAATTTGATGAAGAAGAAGATGGATTTATAACTCAATCTTTGTAAGAAGAAGAAGAAGAAGGCAAGAGAGGTGGAAAGCAAAGATCCTGAGCTATGCGACCCTCGGAAAGATGCGAAGGATGAAGGAAACTACTAGGCAAGAGAATCTTCAACCTATCCAAGAAAAGAAAAATGACCAACCTAACAAGGTACCTCAAGAGGAATATCATCTGAAGGCCCAAATTTGAAGAGGAAGAAGATGATCTACAACTCAATCTTTGGAAGGAGAAGACGAGATACCTTCCCTAGAGGCTAGAAGTGGCAATGGAGGAAAAAGGCTGCAGTATTGAAGAACTTACACTGATCCAAACTTTCATATATTCGTGGAAAGATGTTGAAGGCTTTACACTCGTCGAGGGCTTCCAATACTTCCCATTCCTTCTTCAATATGCATCCACGAGTGATCCACCAACTGAGGCATCCACAAGAATTGAAAACATCCAAGAGGGAGAGACCAACTGTGATGATCTCCCTGCACTTCTTATTCAAAGTTTTACAAGACCCTTGAAAACAAACATCAAACAAGAGATCGTGGAGGAGAAATCAAACAAGGATGATCAACCTCAAATGGAGAATGAAGGTGAAGAACCACTAAAGGAGAAACCATCTCATCCTATCTAATAAAAGCAGGAGCTTCAAGAGGAGCCACATATCCAAAATTTTGATGATTGGAGCGACATGGAATCCAACCAAGGAAGGGAGCAACATGCCACCACCATTGAAGAGATCGTGGAGGTGTTCATCAATTAAAAATGGGCATCTAGCTCGATGGAAGAAAATTCAAGCCACACTCATCTTGAGTTAAATTTGACTTGGGAGAAAGAAATTGACGATGACTGCAACTTCAATCTTGGAGAATAAGGATCATATATTCATCCTCTGCAACAATGGACGAAAATCAAAGAGTAGAAATCCAACCTACTCTAAGAAATGATGTTATACGCATAGAAGATACAGACCTTGTAATTGATGGACCCCTTCAAGATCCCCTTATATCATGTTCTCAAATATCTGCACAACCCGCAGAAAACAAAAACTTTGAGGAAGAGAAGGTAGAGCATGAAGAATTCGTCATTTCCAAGCGCACCCTTCATGAAAAGATGGAGGATGGCATTCCTGAAGTTGGAAACCATGAAGAAAACTACAAAATCTTGGTGGAGATACATCATGGAGCCAAACATGACCTCACTCGAGTCTTGGATGAGGATCCATTCACAACATTTCTAGAGAGCCATGAGACCGTAGTGTCTTATATAACCCAAAGAGGGGAATAAAAGTGTCCCTCCTTGTATTGTTACTTCTACAACATTCACAATGCTCACAAATCAAACTATGGGATAAAAGGTGCAAGGTGGAGACTAAGGTGGATTATTCTTCATGGTCCACCAGTAAGCCTAAAGAAGGATGACAATCAAATAAATCCTACAATCAAAATGATGGACTTTAAAGAAACCCTAAGTTTGAGAGCTTGATGAACGAGGAGCTATGCCTAGCTCAAAGGCATAAACGAAAGAGCATTTCATGGGAGGAAACCCATGTTGGCATCCAACTTAAGGATGCAAAATGAAAGTGCTTTCGAGGAGACAACCCAAATTTTCTAGATCAACATCATCTGCATCATGTGCTTTCCTCTTTATACATGCTTGTAGTATCGATCAAAATAAAAGGAAAAATTATACATGACGATCCAATGGTGCAAAAACCCTCTCAAATGACGAATCTAACAAGAACAAGGAGAGACAAATCAGAAAAGGAGGAGTAGCAGTGGGGCCCATATTCGCCACTCAACCGCCGCTAGGAAAATCACCCAACCGCCAGTTCTATTCCTTTTCCTACACGAAGAAGGATTCCAACTGGATTGTTTTCCATAATAAAAATGATGGTTGGTCCACCCACCACTCCACCGCCACCAGCTACCATTGTAGAATTTCTTATTCCTACATGAAGAGTGACTCAAAAAAGTCTGTATCCGAGAGAGAGAAAAGAGGTGGTATCACACACCACATAACCGCCACACTTCTATAAAATAGAGGAAGCCATATAATTCTTTTTCCCCACATGTACTCATGAGATCTAGAGCATCCAGAGCCAAAAACCAGTGCAAAAACTCGTGGGAACTCTATTCTAAGAAGATTTTCATGGAAGGGGGAGTTGTGAAGACCCATCCTTGTGATATGGTGGAGGAGAAACAAGGAGCGTCAACTCAAGGACGCAAGAGGGAGGTAGCCACCCAAGAAGGTAAGAATAAGAATTGGAGGAAGTCATTGATGCCTGCTCATGCACACACAATGGAGACATTCATGCCATAAAGGAGGACAAGGAAAATGACACAATCTCGATAGAGAAGATTACCATCCTTGAAGAAGCCTCTCAATACTTTCCAATTGTGCATAATTTGATAGATTCGTTTGGAAGGGAAGAGAATGTCATGTCCCTATTTGAGAGCATTACTACTATGAAGAAACCAAGGGAGAAACTCGAGCAGCTACTTGGGGAGAAGGAGAAGATTGAGAAGACCACCATCCAATCAACTCCTTATGGACATAATGAACTCATTCAAGTATAAAAAGAAAAGGAGGATCTTGGTCATTGTACGATCAATTTTCCCATAGATGGCCATTATCTAGAGCAAGGATTGGTGGATCATTGATTCTAGTATCAACATCCTACCACTTTCACTCTATGAATATATAGGTCTAGTCGACATGGAGATTCATATGGAGATCAAGTTATCATATAACACCCCATGACAACCTTTTGGAGTAGTTTTAGGATTGAGCATCCAAATTGGGACATTCATATTCTTTCTAGACTATATTATAATCAAGACGAAGATAGAAACCCCATATTTCTTGATATTAGTAGCCCATTACTGGCCAATGTCGGTGCCATGATGAATGCATCAAAAGGAAAGGTCACACTGCATGTGGGAGAGATCATGCATCGGGTAAGAAGGTCTACTGAAGCTAAAACTATAAACCAACCCATCAACGTTTATGATTTTGAGAAGAACGAAGAGACTGAGTCGTAGATAGAGATCTAGACAAGATTGATATCTCTAAATGATGATTCCTTAAATGCAACATATCATCATTACTATGAATATCTAATATGGGGAGATGAGTTGAAAGAAGCTTCACCAACTCCATATTGGAAACTAGCACAAATGGCACTCAAGATAGCCAGTACAAGACCCAAATCAATACTAGAAGATCGAGGAGTTGTAGTACAAAAGCATCAGAGGAATATCAAGAGTTCATTCACCACCATCGATAAAAATGGATTAAATCCACATCTCATAGTGCCAACACTGATCAATTCCAGCAGATGGGGTGATGAATGGACATCAAAACTCGATTGGCCATCCGATTAGAGCATGTTTTTGAAGAATGATGGGAGTATCAAGCTCCTTTTTGTTTTTATATTTTGGATTTCATTTAGGATTTGAAGCATTAGCTCTCTCCATTATCTATCTTTGTTTTGTTTGTTTATTTAGAATCTCACTAAATAAGATGAGTGTTAGTGGCTTAAGCCATCTATATTGAAATAAGTATGACAAATGAGGTAACCCGTTCCAACCTTTGATATAGCTCACTATCTTTTAGTCCATTGAGCACATTGTTCATTTTAAGGTGTGGGATGGAAATGTGTTGTAATGTTTTACGTGATTATGCTTTATAGATTCTATATCTTTCGTCGTTCAATTTCGACATTTTTATCCAATGTTTTTAGTTATGTTATATGTGCATTTTTCAATAATTCTAAAGATGTATCATCCATTTATTGGCTTGAGTGGTCGAATTTTTTTTTTACATGATAAGATTTTAGAAAATTTTCTTCAACTCTTGTCATCTCCTACAAGAATGTTCACTGCTCATCTTACTTTGAATCAATGAGTCTATGGAATGTCATCTGATCTAGAGAGAATAGTGCAGTGACTATGAAGGATGTGATATTCAATGAGATATAATGAACATTTGATATGTTTGAATGCTATGTTTTTTATTCATTCATAGATTTCTTATTATGGGAAGGAGCCTCACTTTTTAAAAGTTTTTTTTACATAGGGTGAACTATATCTTCTACAAAATGTAAGAAATACATATCAAGACATGTTTTTATCATTCAAAATTGCCATGTTATGTTAAGAAATTCAAGTATGGGGTAAACCCAAAGTGTGAGGCATCTTTTCATTTCACAAAATTGGGTTTTTGGAAAATATACTAGTTGAGATTAAGTGGTGAAGTCCTACTAAGTTATGCTAGTTCCTCTCTAGTACAAGTAAAATTTCCACTTGTTGAATGGATAGCCAACTTGAGGATGTGTCCTTAATGGCACAGATAAATCTTCCGACACCCGTTAGTTTCATTGACCCTCCACGCGAATTGATGTATATGAGCTTCTAATTATTGCTCAACCAATAAACACCTAACACTCGAGGAAATAACTACACAAGAAAATCACAAAAAAGTGATGCCCTCTAGAAAATCTAAGAAAATTTTAAAAGTGATGGTATATGTGTTCTAATAAGGAAACATGTGCTTAAAGAATATGCCAAATGGTATAATCATTCAAAGCTCAAAAAATGTTTATCAAAAGCTTCACCCTATGTATTTTGAGACTCTAATGCATGATTAGTTGTCTGTACTCTGATTGGATTGCATGTTGTTCTTTCATGTTAACGTGGTTAGGATTCCTCGTGCTATAGTTGACCTTGTAAGAGAGAACCATATCGAAGGAGCTCGACAAAATGACCCCATAACTTCGGGAGAAGTAGCTCAACTGAAAGGGGGAATATGTGAACACGAACAAACAAAGTTGCTCGACTGAAAGGAGAGGGGTGATGACTCGGTATTTGCACATGTTTTCCCCTTTGTTTCTTGATTGTTTGAGCTTGAATTATTGCGTCTTTGGCCTATTTTATGCTAGGTTGTGTTCCTTTGTCCCATTTCAGGTCCTAGCACATAAATTGAAGCATAGGCGCAAGTTTCAAGTCAATCAGAGATCAATTGACGATTCGAGAGAAGAAACTCGGGCATGACCTGAAGAAGAATGGATTTCTACCTCTCTTTATGGACAAAGAATCATGCAAGCTTGTTATGAAACGAAAGAGGACGAGACTACGAGCGTCTGGGATCAAACGGCGATTGATTCGGAGTCCGGACGAGGGAGAAACGAAGCATTAAACAGAGGCTGAGCAAGCTGCACGGGCAGACCAGCGTGGCCACGCACGGCCGTGCAATTGACCAGTTTGGCCGTGCGGGATTGTGCGTGGGCACGCACGGGATTGTGCGTGGCCACGCACGGCCGTGCAACATACAATTCTGGCCGTGCGAGTTGGCTGAGGTTCAACTAATTGATACGCCGAGTTTTGAGGTGCACGGCCAGAATGGTGATGTGCACGGCCGTGCACCCTGGCCGTGCGAGTCGGGAATGGCTGTTTTTAACCCAAATTCGAGCCAAAGGAGAGGGAGAGCTGGGTTTTGGATCCCAAACACCCAAGGGACGAACCCTAGAGAGAGAGAGCGACTTGGAAACATTCTTGGAGCTATTTTGGAGGATTTCTTCGCCATTGGAGCTCGGGAATCAAGCTTGGAGATGGAGATTGAAGATCTAGATCAGATTTCTGCAGTCTCTCTCTTCTCTATGGAGTAACTTCCCTTCACTTAGGTTTTGAGGAACCCTAGTTCCATGAGTTAGGATCTTTCTTGTATGAAGTTTTGGATGCTATATTGTTTGATTATAATCGAATGATGCATGTTTATTGAGTCAATTGAAGTCTGATCAACTTTTCCTGATTTCTGCTGCAATCTGAGATAGATAGAATCTGATTAGGTTGCTAGAGTCTCATCATTCGGTAGTAGGAGATTGGCTATACGAGAGTTAGCCAGTTTACTGCTTTGTACTGGAATCCAATTCCAGTAGTGGAGTTCTGTGCTTATTGCTTCAGCTTTCTATCCCGGTGAAGGCTAGTCGTCTGCCGGATAGTTAGACTGAGAGGGCTTGGTCAGCTTAAGAGATTCCAAGCTACTGTCGGATCTTCCGCAGTTTAATCAACAGTAAATCAACCAAAATGAATTACAACTTGGACCTAATTGAGGAGCTAGGGGGAATCATACCTAAGTGAGTTCCCAAACTGTAATTAGTAGTTTTACTTAGTTTAGTTAGTAGAGTAGTTTAGTTAATCAATCCTTAATCTAGTTCGCTAGATAATGAACTGAAGCTGAGTAATAGTAACTCTAGAGACCCGTGGATTCGATATTTATTACTTGTGCCACTATACTGCAGTCCCTTTCATTGGTTACACTTGGCCATTGTTAGGTGTTGTGTTTTAGAGCATCAAGTTTTTGGCGCCGTTGCCGGGGACTTTCTAGAGTATTAGGAAAGGCAGAAGTTTGTTACTTTAGCGTTTTTCTTTTCTTTTCTTTTCCACCCTTGCTTTTCACTTGGGTATTTTTGTTTTTGTTGGTGCAGATCTGAATCATGGATCCTAATGGCTTCTCCAACCAGTGGGGGTATCCACCACCATCCGAGTGGTATTACCCTGAGACTCCCTGGAGCAATCAAGGAGGAGAAGACTATGGATTCGGATTCCAGTACCAACCCCCTTTCTACGGAGAACAACCAGACCCCTGGGCATATCAAGAACAATCTCCTTATCAAGAAGAATTCCTCCCACAACAAGAAGGGCCATCGGATCTGGAGTTACCCATGGCGGCCTTCACGGGCCATTCTGCAGAGCCATGCTACACTCCACAGCCAGATCCAAACTATGAATTGAGGCTTCTCGTGGAGCAGATTGCTCGAGTACCTGAGAGATCTTTTCCCGAGATGGATCCTCATATCCAGGCCATTGCCCAAACTGACTTTTCCTTCCCCCATGAAACAGAGGATACCATCCGGAGCATAAAGAAGCACTTAGAGGTCATTGAGAAAGCTTGTTCACAGTTTTCTCAAGACAACCTTTATGCTGCCATACAAGTAGAGGAGGAGGAAGAAAGAGGCAATCATGAGGATGTTGAGGAGCATACAGAAGTTGTCACAGAAAGCTCCCATGATAATCATGATCAAGTGTATCCTCTGGTGGTAGATCATAACTTTCACCATTTCCGCTCTGACATGCTGGGCTCGAGTGAGGAGATGCAAGCTGAACTTATCGAGAACCTTGCATGGAGACTTGCTCTCCGATTCGTGCTGGAAGAAGAAGAGCAAGAAAGGGTGCAGAAAGAAGTTGTGGAGGATGACAAAAGTGAAGCAGAAGGAGTTCTTGATCTTTTCTCAGGGGTGATACCACATGAAGAAGAAAGGGGGGTTGAAAAAGCAATTGGCGTCCAGGCTGAGGACGGAGTTGAGGTGGAAGAGGCCTGCACCGGCCATGAGTTACATGTGATATCTCCACCAAGCTTCGAGGAACTACTTAGCAAGGACCCATTTGCAGTGTCTCTTTGCCAAACCAAGGCCACATCGACATCGGTCCCTCTTGGTGGACGCGATGGTGGCCAATCGATGCTGTCATATCTGGTTTGGGGCAATGAGACGAGAGAAGAGAAGAAGAGGTCTCGAGGGTGGAGACTTCATCTGCATCAAGTACACGAGCCTTCATCACCTGCCACACCACATGCTCGTGACTTGAGACTCCACCTCATCGACGAGAACCTCAACTTCAAGGAGGTTCTAGCATGGACCGAAACTTAGGAGCCATCGTCCGGCTCACGACGTGAAAGAAGCGCTTGTTGGGAGGCAACCCAACCAGTCGGTTTGCATTTCTTTCTCTATTTCTCCTCGGTTGAGTCAGTTTTGTTATTTGATTTTAGAGTCAATAACTCAACCTTTGTGAGATTTTGTGTGGTGTTTGTGTTCTGATTACTCTCTCTTCCTGGAATGCACCGCCTGACCCATTCATCATCATTCACCCTTGATCTGGTAACTTCGTTCTACCCTCCTTATCTTTCCTCCATTGAGGACAATGTCGTGCTTAAGTGTGGGGGGATGTTCGATTATGTATGCGGATGAATGTTTGGCTGTTTGTGTGCTTGGAGCCTAGTCCACTGTCCAAATTTTTAAATTTGAGGGCTCCAAGTACGTGTTCCATGCAATTGCCTGCTCAGTATGCTTTGAATTGACAGTCTTTACAGTAATATGCAACCTAGGGAGGTAGTGTAGCACTATGGAGGATGTTGATGCATTTAAGAAGTCTCATTTCTTCTTCATATTGAGTTGGTTGATTGAGTGAATTAGTGATCTTAGGACCCTTGAATTGTGTGGTGTTGTGGATTCTCTACCTGTCATGGACTCTTGTATCATGTTTTGAGTTTAACAGGTGCTCGAAAATGTGCTTCAAAATAACGTCTCCCGTGCGAATAGGGCGAAAGTGTGTAAGGGGAGACGGGAATTCGTTCCCAATTTCCACCTACTACCTCCAGCCCCCTTACATGTCTTTCCCCCGCACGAGGCTCGAGACATCCGCTCCTGGCATGGCCGGTAAGAGCAGGTTGGGACCCTTGAAAAAGAAAAGAAAAGAAAAATATCAGAAAACAAGCAAAACAAAAAAAAAAGGGGTCTCAACCATCTTCAAGAAGCAGAAAATAGAGCACCTTGAAAAATGTGAGTCCATGATCTGTTGTTTTTGAGAATCTCCTCATCCACAATTCATTTGTCCTCTGTTCACTATTTGCCATGATGCCGACTCGCCGAAGAAGTTATGAGATGACTTGTGCGTCGGTTGACCTTGTAAGCTGCTAAATGATCTAGGAAGTCCTCTACCTACGATCTGGGTTGTTTGTTGCTATAGAGGTCTGGAGAGTTGCATTGGTTTGAGTTAGGTTTGCTTGGGGACAAGCAAACAGTTAAGTGTGGGGGGATTTGATGACTCGGTATTTGCACATGTTTTCCCCTTTGTTTCTTGATTGTTTGAGCTTGAATTATTGCGTCTTTGGCCTATTTTATGCTAGGTTGTGTTCCTTTGTCCCATTTCAGGTCCTAGCACATAAATTGAAGCATAGGCGCAAGTTTCAAGTCAATCAGAGATCAATTGACGATTCGAGAGAAGAAACTCGGGCATGACCTGAAGAAGAATGGATTTCTACCTCTCTTTATGGACAAAGAATCATGCAAGCTTGTTATGAAACGAAAGAGGACGAGACTACGAGCGTCTGGGATCAAACGGCGATTGATTCGGAGTCCGGACGAGGGAGAAACGAAGCATTAAACAGAGGCTGAGCAAGCTGCACGGGCAGACCAGCGTGGCCACGCACGGCCGTGCAATTGACCAGTTTGGCCGTGCGGGATTGTGCGTGGGCACGCACGGGATTGTGCGTGGCCACGCACGGCCGTGCAACATACAATTCTGGCCGTGCGAGTTGGCTGAGGTTCAACTAATTGATACGCCGAGTTTTGAGGTGCACGGCCAGAATGGTGATGTGCACGGCCGTGCACCCTGGCCGTGCGAGTCGGGAATGGCTGTTTTTAACCCAAATTCGAGCCAAAGGAGAGGGAGAGCTGGGTTTTGGATCCCAAACACCCAAGGGACGAACCCTAGAGAGAGAGAGCGACTTGGAAACATTCTTGGAGCTATTTTGGAGGATTTCTTCGCCATTGGAGCTCGGGAATCAAGCTTGGAGATGGAGATTGAAGATCTAGATCAGATTTCTGCAGTCTCTCTCTTCTCTATGGAGTAACTTCCCTTCACTTAGGTTTTGAGGAACCCTAGTTCCATGAGTTAGGATCTTTCTTGTATGAAGTTTTGGATGCTATATTGTTTGATTATAATCGAATGATGCATGTTTATTGAGTCAATTGAAGTCTGATCAACTTTTCCTGATTTCTGCTGCAATCTGAGATAGATAGAATCTGATTAGGTTGCTAGAGTCTCATCATTCGGTAGTAGGAGATTGGCTATACGAGAGTTAGCCAGTTTACTGCTTTGTACTGGAATCCAATTCCAGTAGTGGAGTTCTGTGCTTATTGCTTCAGCTTTCTATCCCGGTGAAGGCTAGTCGTCTGCCGGATAGTTAGACTGAGAGGGCTTGGTCAGCTTAAGAGATTCCAAGCTACTGTCGGATCTTCCGCAGTTTAATCAACAGTAAATCAACCAAAATGAATTACAACTTGGACCTAATTGAGGAGCTAGGGGGAATCATACCTAAGTGAGTTCCCAAACTGTAATTAGTAGTTTTACTTAGTTTAGTTAGTAGAGTAGTTTAGTTAATCAATCCTTAATCTAGTTCGCTAGATAATGAACTGAAGCTGAGTAATAGTAACTCTAGAGACCCGTGGATTCGATATTTATTACTTGTGCCACTATACTGCAGTCCCTTTCATTGGTTACACTTGGCCATTGTTAGGTGTTGTGTTTTAGAGCATCAAGGGGGAAAATATGTGAGCCCAAAAAGAGGGTGAAAGTTTATCATATGTGAGCCCTGGATATGAAACTTTTGAGTATTTAGATAAGCTCGTGTTACTCCCAATAATATGGCTCGGAAACCGATTGTTTCTTCCAAAGCGAATCATATTCTTTCTGCTCGCAATAATCCAATTAGTTCTCCTGATGAAAAAATGTTAGACATTCCATCTTATGAAACCAACACTTTTGATGTTATGTGACTGATTTGGGTTAGATTACACACTTTTGTACCCATTGACTTGTGATGTTTGATGTGTTTTCACCGCCTTTGGAGCTAGTTTACGCTGGGTTTGTTCGTGTTTTGTCATGTTTCAGACCGAAGCAGGTAATCTTGGCACCGGGATCGAAAGTCGGATGAAAGAGGCCAAAAAAGGAGCAAAATGGTCAAAGTTGCGAAGATCAAGGCCAGGCAAAGATTATCACATGTGGCATATCGTGATGTCAACACTCAAACTATGAATATCACATGTTTCCAAGAAGGATGGCCTTAGTGGAAGAGATAGGACATCATAAATTAATGAGTTAGTATGCATGATCATCTAGAAAACACTATCTAAACCATCATTTACTTGCTTTGTTTGCTTTCTTTATTTGCTTTAGTAGAATAGATCTCAAAATCAAAGGGTCCATCAACCCACTTACTTTACTTTCTTGCATTATTTTACTCGAGAAATGTGATTAGTTTTGAGTAGTTACTATTAAAAGACCATGTGGAATACGCCCTATGCACTCATAGGATTTATAATTTGATTTACAACAATCAAAACCATAGAGAGAGGAGTTAGAGAGAGAAGTAGTTGCCTTGTGGAGGAAGAGTAGAAGGAAGATGTTGAAGAAGAATTTCTTTGCACAAGAACAAGCATTCTTTCATGTTTTCTTCCCTTCTTTCTATGGCTTTCCTCCCCCATTCATGGGGTAGTTTCCTAAGGTACTTGGGCCTTTGCCCCCCAAACCCTAACTTAGGGTTTGAGATGTAATTGAACAGGTATTGTGATTTTATGCTTAATTTGAGTTTATCTATAGTTATTAATTCCTTTATCTGAGTTTGAGTGTATGAATGTATGTATGACTTTATCTAGCCTATAGCACCTTAAGTTAGTTCTTAATTATATGTGAATGATTGCCTCTAGCTTTAGGTAGTTGATATTGAGTCCTAGTTGGTGGACGTGGTTACCATCCCCAGCTAACTAGGAGCTCACCTAGGTAATGCTTGGAACTCGAGTGTATGACCATCGACTCAAAGAACTTGTGTGCGGACGGGTAGAACCCGTTTAGAGCAGATAGCTCGTTATCCCCGGGTTGTGTTGACATTGGTTCGGAGGACATGGCTAGGAGAGGGGTCGAGAGACATGAATATTGCATTGAATCCTAGTTTAGTGATCTGTGCACCTCAATTGCCATAAATACTTTACTTGTCAATTGCATATCTGCCTTAGTACTAAAAACAACCAATTGTAGATTAGATAACAATAAGACTTAACAGAAGTAGGCTAGGGTATCAGCAATCCCTAGGGAATACGAGCAAGCCGCTATACTGCAAAACTAATAATGATTACTTGCCATTGTTAGGGTTTGCAGTTGGTGGGCACCATTCTTAGTACTCAATCTCACACCTTGTCGGTATCACCAATCCCTAGGGAATACGAGCGAGCCGCTATACTGCAAGCTTAATAATGGTAGACTTGTCATTGTTAGGGTTAGGGTTAGCAGTTGGTGTCCATCGTTATTAGTACTCAAATCTCACACCTTGTCGTGCGAGTTAGAAGGCCACTTTGACGATGATGGTGAATTGATGATGAGAGGTACATCATGGGATAGGGATGAAGGAAGAAGAAAAAAGATATGGAGAGTTAGTTTTGGGTTTAAACAAAATCAATGAGGCTAGTTTTGGAATAAAAAAGTAAGAATGTAATATTTAAAAATATTTGAGGGGGTCAACTATTTCAAAACTTGAAATTGAGGATTTTTTAAATTACGCAGGGCCAAATCTGTCATTTTACGAAATCCCTCATCATGAGATTTGAGCAAAAATTCCACGCCAAAACCATCATCCAAAGGGGTCGGATACTATGTCTACCCCAAAAGGGGTTGGTTTTTTGACACCCTATTCTTGATTGGTCACTTCTTCATTAAATTATTTGGCAAGTTGTATTAATGGAAGTTGTTTTTTATTTAATTTTTTGTAATCTTGTAAACTGTGATAATAATTATGAATGGGGAATGGGCAATATAGCTTGATGGGAAACTTGACGGCTCCCATAACAATTACAAAAGTGCCTTTTCATCTCCATATTCCCTCCAAAAAATAGCAACACATCCCTCTCCTCTACAAAACTTGACGGCGACCCTCTCCCCTCTCCTCTGCAGAAATCGATAGCGGCCGGAAACCAAAAGCATCACCATGGTGGGATTGCCTCCGAACCGCCTGATGGGTTGCTCGCCGGCGGAGTACGAGAAATAGGGGATATCGCCGGAGATAGAGCCAACGAAGGCCGCGCTGGGACGGAAAATAGATATGAGATTCCGTGCGACGGTTCTGGGCATGCCAAGAACGGCGACTCTTGTGACGACATCGAATGAAGGAGAGGTGAAGATGAGATCAGACTCTCCTTCTGACAACAGGATGGACTGATGGCCGCCGAGAGAGAACCCACCGGAGAAGATGAAGAACATGGAGGGCGGTGGCAGGTCGTTTCTTACCGCTCCCTGTCGCGAAGTGCAACCCTACAGTGTCTGGGAGACGACGGCACTGCCGTGAACATGTACCACTGATCTGGTACATATACCACTGATCTAGTACATATACCAGTGAACTAATACATGTATCACTAAAGTGTTATATGTACCAATGACCTGATACAAGTACCAGTGCAACTATTCAAGTCATACTTTTCACACCAAAATGTAACCATCCACTTGCAGTGTTAGATATATTGTACTTGTACCATTAGCAAAATCGAAACTCATTCTAAATATTCTCATTGCAGTGTTAGATATACTTTGGAGTGGTACCACTGAAATGGTACATGTATCACTGAAGTGATAGATATACTAGTGAACTGATACACATACCATTGCACTGATACATGTATCATTGAACATATACATGTATCACTGAACTTATAAATATATATTATTGAATCGACACACATACCATTGCACTGATACATGAACCACTTAACATATTCATGTACACTACCAATGAAAAGATATATATACAAACAATCCGATACGTAAACAAACCAGGAACTTTTTTTTAAGTATCACCACTAACCGTGTAGCATAAGGTGTTCTCAAAAAAGGGAAATGTCGACAACAAAAAATATCCATCAATGTAATAAATAAAAATGAAGTCACTATGTAATTGTTTGTGGGAAGCCTAAACAACGATAAATCAGGTGCCAAAGGATGACTGAGTCACTTTGGTAATGCGACGGAAAAACAAAATTTGAATTATAGAGTTGGGGATGCACTTCTTGCCACTAATATAATGAGTACGTTTCCTCTTCCCCCTATCATGTTGTCCATTATACCGACTCTCACGGCGTCACTTCTTGCTGGTATCAGCACTCGAGGAATGATTCTGACAACTTCTACATGACGAGGAACATAGGTTCCATGCATCTTCCCTCTAGGCACCCATGGATACAGTCTCTTCGTCCTATCCATTCTTGCACCCAAAGATACTCAGAACTATCAACTCAGTGATATATATAAGAGATCAGCACGTAAGAAAACTATCATTGCAGAAATACCAAATTAGTTGTACATCAAAGAAATGACACTCCAGCAAAACTATCACGATAGTGGTACTATTATTAGCCATACTGAAGCATTTCATACCATTCCATTGATAGCTACACAACGAACAATGCCAAATCAAAACTATCATCGGAGTGATACTTTTACTAGTCATACACAACATTATATACCACTGCAGTGATACACACACCTTCGACAAATTGGATACATAACTACCACTGAAGTGGTACTAATATTAGCCGCAATAAACATTTAATTGAAATACGAGTTCGATAAGTAAGACAACTATCACTGCAGTGGTAGAATTACTAGTACATCTTTGCACCTGCTGACTCCCTCCTAGCACCTGCAAAAAAGTACCAATGCACCGGTAAGACATGTCACTTCACCTGTACAAATACCATTAGAATTAAAAGCTTACCACTGATAACATTCAATAGAAACTCAGACACTGGCAGAATTATCATTGCAGTGGTAATAATTCACTGGTATCAATACCAGTACACTGGTTCTAATACCACATGAAAAAAATTCAGATTTGGGTAATGAAAATACCATTGAACTAGTACTAATACCACACGAAAATCCAGATCTAGGTTTGGGAGAGAGATAGTGGGGGGAGAGAGATACCTCAGATTCTTCCTCGTCGTTACCGCCAGGAAGGGGAGGAGGGTCGTCGTCTTCGCCGGGAAGGTGAGGAGGGTCGTCGTCTTCACTGTCGATCCCTTCGCAGTGTCAAGTTTGTGGAAGGAGATGGAGAGTCGCGGCGGCAAGCGTGGTGTTTCTCGGAGAACAGCAGCAGCTACCATCGAAAACGTAGCCCACGACAGAGGATGAGGGACGGATTCGGAGGGAGAGTATCTTGTTGGTACAGCGATGACCGGAAAACATGGACCGTGGCAGGGAAAATGCGACGGCGGCGAGCAGTGGAAGAGGGAGATCGAGGGAGAAAGGAGGAGACGAAAGGGAGAAAAAAAGGGGGAGACAAAAATGGGATTGAATTTTGAATTGGGGGTGATAACGTTTTTCCCCAGATTATTTCCCTAGAGTCCCGATTTTCTTTCCCTTTCCAATGTATGTTGAGTTAATTAATTACATCATTAATGATCAATTACCAATGATATACCCCTATTCATTAGATTACCACTATTGAGAATGGACGGTAAAGAGCAGGGGTGTCAAAATTCATACCCCTTAGAGGGTTGTCAAGCTAACCGGTCCCTCATCCAAAGCACCCCTTAAAGTTTTTAGCCTATTATGATTAATTACGGTACATAAGCATGAGAGTGCCCAATAATTTTCCACGTCCACCTGAAATTGGTGGTGGTGATTAGGGTGGAAGTTTAGCACTGGTATTTGGATTTATCGAATACTGTAGCGAATTTATCATTGTTTGGTATTATCGAATATCCTTATTTTTAGGGATTGAGATTTGGATTCATTTTAAAGTGTTGTTTGGTGTTCGGGATTGAGAGGTAAATACCAAAATATCGAGAATAAATAAAAATTAAAAATAATAAAATAAAACACACATACTTTGGTTCTTGCTCACTCTTTGAAAACTCCCCCGGCATTCGGTCGGTTTGGTTTCGACCGAACCAAAATTATGAATACCGGGTCCCCGAATTCTCCCAAATCTCAAACTGAATTCGAATCGAAAACATGGACCGTGGCAGGGAAAATGCGACGGCGGCGAGCAGTGGAAGAGGGAGATCGAGGGAGAGAGGAGGAGACGAAAGGGAGAAAAAAAGGGGGAGACAAAAATGGGATTGAATTTTGAATTGGGGGTGAGAACGTTTTTCCCCAGATTATTTCCCCAGAGTCCCGATTTTCTTTCCCTTTCTAATGTATGTTGAGTTAATTAATTACATCATTAATGATCAATTACCAATGATATACCCCTAACCATTAGATTACCACTATTGAGAATGGATGGTAAAGAGCAAGGGTGTCAAAATTCAGACCCCTTAGGGGGTTGTCAAGCTAACCGGTCCCTCATCCAAAGCACCCCTTAAAGTTTTTAGCCTATTATGATTAATTACGGTACATAAGCATGAGAGTGCGCAATAATTTTCCACGTCCACCTGAAATTGGTGGTGGTGATTAGGGTGGAAGTTTAGCACTGGTATTTGGATTTATCGAATACTGTAGCGAATTTATCATTGTTTGGTATTATCGAATATCCTTATTTTTAGGGATTGAGATTTGGATTCATTTTAAAGTGTTATTTGGTGTTCGGGATTGAGAGGTAAATACCAAAATATCGAGAATAAACAAAAATTAAAAATAATAAAATAAAACACACATACTTTGGTTCTTGCTCACTCTTTGAAAACTCCCCCCCCCCCCCCGGCATTCGGTCGATTTGGTTTCGACCAAACCGAAATTATGAATACCGGGCCCCCGAATTCTCCCAAACCTCAAACCGAATACGAATCGAATTATAATTTGGTCCGATCGGTTTAAACTGAATTATAGTTCGGTTTGATTCGATTTTTAACACAAAACCAAATTTATGAGGCTACTTATATCTTCTCACTTTTAAATTATTTCTCACCCTAATATAAACAATAAATATGCAATTATATGCATCATCAATAATAAAATCAAACATTTCAACACATAAGCCATAAAATATTTCAAATATTCAAGTATAAAAACAACTACAAACAAAAAAATCCACCATTTGGAGGTTGCAATTATAGTATTTTGGTTTTTCGCTCGGAATTTCGATTCGGTTGAAAGAACCCTGGTTTCCAAAATATCCATATTTTCCTTTCGAATTTCGAACCGAATAGCATTATTTCAGTTTCGGTTCGGTTTAATTCGGTTTTGGTTCGGGTCGGTTTGGGTTTACCGAACCGTTTGCCCACCCCTACCCCCCCCCCCCAATCCAACCAAATTTTGACTTTTCAATTTAAGTCACGCTAGTCTCTCACTCAATTTCTAGTTATTTTCATGACACCAAAAAGTGAAAAAATTTCAGTAGTCTTCTCTCAACCTCCAATACATAGAATTAGAGATTACCAGTATTTGAGTTCTACGTATAATATGCCCCTATACTATGTCGTTTTATCAAACATTCCCATTTACTATTTTTTACATCTAACATGCCCCTGTACTTTGAAAAAATTATGAAACATGCCCTTCTATTAAAATTTCTATTGAAAAAATTATCAATCATGGTTGAACCGAGATTTAGACGACCCGACATCGGCAAACGGGAGGAAAAATGTCAGTTTAGTTCCCTGTTTAATTTCTTTGGGTCTCGTCAATGTGAAATTATTAGAATTATTTGGCTATACAAAAGAGCCAAAAAAATTCTAAAGTGAAATTAGTAGAGATATTTTAGAGATTTGTGTCGTCCAAACCAAAGTTCGATCGTGGTTAACTGTTTTTTATGTAAATTTTGACAAAAGGCATGTTTGATCATTTTCCCAAAGTACAGGGACATGTTTGATGTAAAAAATAGTAAATGGACATGTTTGATAAACTGACATAGTAGAGAGGCATATTATACCTATAACCCTAACAAGAAATTGTGTTATCACAATCTCATCCCTTCTCCTTATCCATGTCCTTGCACTAGACGAACTCAAACCCTTTACCTAGTCTCTTTGCACTAAATGTCCTTGCACTAGACGAACTCAAACCCTTTACCTAGTCTCTTTGCACTAAATATGAACCTATGATGAATAAGTTTGATGGAGACTTTATTGAATTCAATCAATGATGACTTCGATTAGTTTTTACTAGATTTTTCTCACCTCCAATTCTCATAATCAAAACTTTCAATCACGAAGTTAAACTACAATTTACATTATATAAAATACTCGGGATTAGGGGGTGTTCTAACCATTATTTATTGATTTAATTATTAATTGTAAAAGTAATTAGCTTCATATTCGAGAATACCGATTAAGATAAAGAAAATATTTTGAGACTGCATTGAGATACCAAATTTATTGTGAAATTGAGATTAAAATTAATTTTATAGTGTAATTTCATATTTGAGATTTTGATATTTGATACTATTGATTTCTATCCTAGTTGTGAACTTGTGATGAAGTTTGACGTTGTTCTGATGTGACCATATTTTCCATCGTCTTGACTTAAAAGTTAAATCCCATGGCTTTGCAAGGGTATACCTGTCTCTCCATCTAAATTTCGAATCGGAGCGGGAAAGTTGGACAAACGACGCCGCCTGGAGCTCCTGACTGGCCGACTCAGACTCTCCCGTAACAAACTCTCGACTTCCGGTTAAGGAAGAGTCCAGCGATCACTCTCTCACTCACTCATACCTCCAAGCTTCCAACAATGGCGGATGGTAAGAGTGAAACAGAGCAAAAGGAATAATCAAACGCAACTCTCCATCCGAGAAAAAAAAAATGTTGATCCCAATTCTCGACGTCTGCAGAAAGAGGAAGCGAACCCCCAAGTGCTTCGACTTCCACATCTTCGGCGATCCAGGCTCCCCGATCGCATTCACCTCTCCTTTCCGTGATAACATCAGAATCTTCGTAAACGAGTGTGCAGAACTTGAAGATTACGAAATTGCAGGAATGCCCATATGGTGCACTCTATTGACCACCACAAGCAATGTCGTCCTGCCGCTGTACACCGTCGAAGAGAGCGTCCATTCTTCCCAGAACCCTTTCTGCGATCAATGCAGATGCACTGGTATAAAAAAATCCGATCCATACCCTTTTTTCTCTGTTTCTGATTCCCTTTCTTGGTAAAACCAACTGGGTCTCCGTCGCTTTCCGCTAAGAAATCTGGGAATTTGTTAGTTGCGAGGAACTTTCTGTTTTGGATATAGATTTGCTGGAAAAGGAGCCTCTGATATCCGTAATCCATCACGATTCTTGGGTTCTTGATCTTGCTCTTAGTTAATAATAGATTATGCTCCACTGGGTTGCAGGCTGGGGCAACAACTTGGTTTCCAAGAGAAAGTATCATATCATAATCCCAGTCCGCAGCAGCTGGAACAGGCAACTAGAAGAAGGATCACTCGATCTCGAATCCCATCTCCTACACGGACTGATTCACTGCAACGGATTCGGTCACCTGCTTTGCATCAACGGGATCGAAGGCGGCGGTTCCAAGCTCCTCTCCGGCAGGGAAATCATGGACCTCTGGGATCGGATCTGCGGGTCCCTCCGAGCTCGTTCCGTCTCCGTGGAGGACGTCTGCAAGAAGCGATCAATGGATCTCCGGCTTCTCTACGGCGTCGCCTACGGCCACTCCTGGTTCGGGAGATGGGGTTACAGGTTCAGCCGAGGAAGTTTCGGGGTAACGGAGCAGAGCTACAACAGAGCTCTGGAAGCCCTCGCTTCTCTCCGGCTCGATCCAATTCTCGCGGATTTCGATACCAAGGGCCAAGGAGAGGAATTGAGGCGTATGGTTCGACATTACAGGGATCTCTGCCGGACCCGATTGACGAATCTGGGAGAGCTGCTCCGATTCATGCTCGATTTGAAGTCCTGCCGCTGCGGAAGCAAGAAAGAAGCAATCCCTAACGGCGTCAACTCAACTCCGTCGTCGAGGGTTCTGATCAGGAATCCATCGCCGTTGACGAGGAAGGCACAGAATCGATGCAGGAAGTTCAGCTCCGTAATCGCGACGATGGACAGCAGATGGTCGGCGAAGAGAATGGAATTCGCGGCGGGAGTAATCGTGGAAGCTCTGAAGGTAGGGAAGAGCTTGAACGGCGAAGGGATGAGCCGGCAGCAGGTGAGGGACGCAGCTCGGATGCACGTCGGAGATACGGGGCTGCTCGATTACGTTCTCAAATCGATGAACAACGTCGCCATCGGGAATTCCGTCATCCGGCGAGCTGTCAATCCCAGAACCAGGACTCTGGAGTACTCCATTGCCGACCTCGGCCAAGAAGGATCCAGTTCCGCAGCCGAGAGGAAATTCCAAGAACAAAGTGGACTTCTCCCAGGAATCGATTTGTATGGCGACATTAGCTATCTGTACAAAAATGTGCTGCTTAACTATCCAGATTCGGAGCTAGTGGACACTGCAACATTGACTGTTCTAGACTCCAAGCACTTCGTCAAGGAGTGGCCGTTAAATGACAGATGCGACCAGCTGCTCAGATTACTGTGTCGGGTTGACGCCATAGATGCCGGGGAGCAGCGAAAGCCGGATATCAGCGAGGTAGTAGTACTTCCACCTGATGCAACCATGGTGGAGCTCAAACAAGCAGTAGAGGAAGCCCTGAGGGACAGCTACGCCATGCTGGAGAATGTGGAGGTGATAGAGGTTAAGGACATGGAGGATGTGGACGATGATCAATCGTTGGCCGGAGAAATGGAGTCCGGTTCAGAGATTGTGGTGAGGGTGGCCGTCGCAGGAGGGAATGAGGTGATGAGCAGGTGTGGTAGTAGCGGTGATGGCGAGTATGAAGGAGGGGCTGAAAACTGGAGAGTGAAGTGCGAGTGCGGAGCTCGAGATGACGACGGGGAGAGGATGGTGGCATGCGATGTCTGTGAGGTCTGGCAGCATACGCGATGTGTCGGGATCGATGACTCGGAGAAGGCACCGCCGTTGTTCGTGTGCAGTGGATGCTGTGTTGCTCTCGGTGGTGAGGACGGTGGTGGTAGAATGGAGATGATCGACTTTGGGACAAGCGTTGATGATATGCTGATGATGGGTGGTGGTGGATTTGAGTATGGGGGTTATCTCCTGTGTTGATCTATCTCTTCCTTCTGTACATGTACACAGTGTGCTGTTTTGTAGATTTTGTACATGACAAGTGAAATGAAACACTGAAATTGTTGTACTACTTCCAGATAACAAGGTCAAGAGCAGCAGACACAAAGTTGTAAGTTGTAACAAGGTTATGATTACATTTGTACATCATTTGCTCAGGTTAAGAAATGAAACATGCATCCATCTTGTACACACACAAAGGAATTGCAGCTGCAGAGAGACTGGTGAGGAGCAGCTAAGCATAACTGAGAAGTGAACAGTATGTGAGCCCTGTCAAGTTATAGTCTTTAGTGTCATACTTCCAGAGTTCCAGTGACTGGCTCCAAAAGAGTTAGCCCAGCAGCCACCACTGACCTAACAGGCACTGCAAATGTCTTCCAGCAGCAAGCAGCATTTGCAAGTGAATCCCTGGAGAAAAGTAGAGGTTGGGAGAAAGCTCGAGAGAAACAAAACACGGGGACCTCATTTTCCAATGCTTAAATGAAACTAGACTAATAGACAATCAAAACTTGTACAAACTCAATCCCAGGCATCTATTATCTATAACTTGCAGGGGCAGGAGATGATAAGATAGGGACAGAGAAATTTAAACCACGATGATACCAAGCCTGAAGGGAACAAGAAAGAAGGACTTCATTTTTTAAACTTAGAAAGCAAACTCTGGACTATCCAAAAGCAGGGAGCCTAGAGAATCATAGACAGATATCTTCCTTCACAACATGAAGATACGAAGATAACTTAGATAACAAGAAGAAACAAGAAATGTGAAGGAAAACTCGACCCATAATTTGGGAGAGGATGGAATTTAGCACAGGAGGAAAAGCATCCATCAGTTACTTATTCCAGAACTGGGAGCCATCGAACTCAACCCCATAGCATACAGAAAAACTTGCTTGCTTCCTTTGGTTACGAGAGCATGAAACAAAGAGAACCCAGTAGCAGACAAGCTTGCTAAAAATTCTAAGAGGATCAATAGTGGCAAGCCAACGGACTGCCTCCTGGAGGATACTTCCCCAGTTTTTTTCATTCTTCTGGCAAAATTATGCGCAGCTTAACCCTCGCCCTACAGCCCCAAAAACATGTACCCGTCTTCTCAGGCTCAACTTTTCATGGCCTTCGAAAGAACCCATCAGCTCTCCACTGTTTTAACCATTCCAAAGAGGATATGCATGACAAATAGTTCCGAAATTCATATGCAACAGCACTGATTCACTTTGTATCGAAGCTCAAGATTTTCGCAAAGCAGTTCATTGACATCCCTTAAAATACAGATTCACATACAAAGCCAACTCTATGAATCTCTCCACTACAGAAATCACAAGGAAAGGAACACAACTTACACATTCGTGAATGTTAAAGCATAAACATACCACCAGCTCTCGCTGAGATGAGAGTCGCACAAAAACAGAACCATCACTCCAAAGGCAATGCTTTTGCTCGAAACCCTAAAGCAATTTACCTTTGAAAGACGAAGAAATGGTAAGGTTAACTCTCTGGTCTGATGGAGATCACAATGCGAAGCCCTTCAAGTACTCAGGATCCCGCTTAGCCCTCTCTTGAAACTTCTTAAACCAACGATCCAATATATCTATCGGCACAATCAGCTTACTCCCATCCACTCCACAAAACGACTGCATATAATTGAACAAGTTCTCCCCAACCCTCATGGCTAACCTCTCGATCCTCTTCTCCGCCGCCACGTCCAGCGACGTCAACGACGCCAAGTCCACCACCGACACCCCTATCTTCGCAGTCAGGGGCGCAGCGTCAGCAGCCGTCAGCTGCAGCTGCCCGCCTGGCTCCGGCCAATTGAGAGATAGAACGGCGGAGGGACGAGCGATGGTGACGGCGCCGCAGTACTGGAACGCCGACCCGGGGGACTGAACGTAGACGGCTAAGGCTTTGTCCGGCGGCAAGGTGAAGTTGTTCAAGAGGAAGACGCATACCTCGCGGATTTGATCGTAGGCCTCGCCGACAAAGGTATTCATGTCGAGGATCCAGTGGAAGGTGTCGATTTGGGAGAAGGCCGCGATGTCCAGCGGGAAGCTTCGGTTGGGGAATACAACGCCGAACATGGCTGGTAATAGGTTCGCAGTCTTGTTTTCAATCTTTTGCTGATCGGCTTGAAGATCAGTCCGCTTATGCTTCTGCAGTAGCCTGTAATTACGGATTTCAAATGAAGCAGCGAGGTGCGGGCAGTACAGCACAGTAGTACTAGGGAGTCGGGACCGTAGAGGAGAAGAATGGAGGAGTCTAGAAAGGCCCGAGAAAGATCAGGGAGAGCGTAGAATCTACTAGGGCTGGGCATGCAGATGGATGACCAACGGATTTGGGCCGATCCGCTCGCATTTGACCCAACTTTTATTATTTGGGTGGGTGAGTGGTTGTGTTGAGACTTGAGAGTCATCCAACTGGTTGAGGGTGATTTGTAGGCGGGTTACCCGCTCAACCTGACAACATAAAGTCTAAAGCCGTTGGTGAGGGAGAGCGGGGACGGAAACTATCATGACTTTATTTCAATGAGAGATTTTTATTTTGCATTTTCACCAATGTAGTCAAATGCGCATTTCTACGCAGAAGCGGAAGAATGAGTAAAAACGTAAAATCGTAGCGTAAAGCGTAAGCTTTTGTGTAAGATCTAATTACTCTTCAACAAACTACTTATCTAATTTATAAACATCACTACTGACTCACTAAAACACAACACCAAACTACGACCAAGTGTAATTGCAGTTCGGAAATGCAGTAAAGTGGGTTCAGTTTTACTTGTCAACCTGGGTCCTAGGTGTACTGTCTACTCCGTGAACTTCTATTAACTAGCAATAAAAGTTGAGTGAAGATTATCAGAGTAAGCAAGTAACGGTTGTATTCAGATTATGAATGCTCACTCAGTTATGAGTCCAGCTAGATTGAAGTTAGGCCAAGTTGCAATTCACCTACGTCAAGTTATTTGATGTTCAAACTGCGGAAAGTTCTCAAATAGTCTAGAGTCTCGACTAAAGTGCTCCAGACCCTCTCAGCTTGAAGACCCGGTGGGTGACTAACCTACACCGACTAAGCTGAGGCAATAAGATTCAAACATCCTCTACTAGATTCTACCCCAGTACAGAGCAGTGAATCAACTTCTCGACTAAAGTCATTGGTTCACTACTTCCAATTCAAGATGCTCTATTGACCTATACCGAGATAATCTATCTAGGACAAAACATGAATCACTATAATTTGATCAAGACTCAAGCAATTCTTAATAAATACTTCAACTAGATACAAATCAATCATTCATGGCAAATGGTTCGTACAACTCTTTCTAACATACAATCTAGGGTTCTTACATACCCAAGTGATAGAGGAGATTACTATATAGAGAGAGAGGAAAGTTATGCCTGATGTAGAAATCATCGTATAGACGGAAGAAATCTGCTCCAGGTCGTCAATCGTTACTCTCGAGGCTTGAATTAAGCTCCAATGATGGGAAACTTGATCTAGGGCACTCAAGGTCTATCTTCGTCTCTTTCTCTCTCTAAACCTCTGTTTTCCGCTTCAATAATCGCATGTTAGATCGATTCCAGTGTTCAGCTTGTAACAACCCCAATTGGATTTACCTGGTCGGGTATTTGTGTGGCAGGCCGGGTATTAACCAAACCGACGCCAACAACTCATAGGCAAAAGGGGGAAATATCCGATCTCTGGGTAAAATACCTGATCGTGTATTTATGGCCCACGATCGTGAGGCTCCTGAGGAGATTACCCGGTCTGTTCTGATTATACCCGGTCGGGTGTTTGAGTAACCTAACAGGGTATTTTGCCTTCAAGCTCCACTCTTCGCCAACTCTCCGAACTCGAAACTCGCTTCCAAGCCTTCATTTCCACTTTCATGTCCTGAAATACGACATAAAAGTACAACCTAGCGTGAAATCAGGTTAAAACACGAGAATCGAGCCTCAAACAGTGTAAGAATGGTGTCCAAAACATGTGCAAATATCGGGTTATCAAGTACTCATACAAATTATCTAATTTGACAAACTTTTAATAGTGGAGCAAACATACGACTAAACCAACAATACAATAATGAAATAATGAGACTTCTTCATTCATAAAAAAGTATAACCAATTATCAACTACTCCTCATTATCCGCTGTTTTGTTTCAATCTGGATGTCAAATTAAACAGGATTAGTGAGACTTTTTTATAATGAGGTTCTTCATCCATGGACTGTGAGAAATCAGATTATTAGTAAATATTAATCACTTAAGTCGCACATTGAACAACAAAGTAATCACGTGATGAAGTTATTGTGTGACATTCTCGTCCCTAAACATGTCATATGTCATGCTTGCATCAAGGTGATGTGATCCCATTATTTAAACGAGTTTTAAATTATGAACCAACAACAAACCTTGAAGGAACCAGAAAATTTAGGGAAAATTATAGATGGGGAATTGAGAAAGAAAGGAGAAGGAGAAAGGAATAGAGGAATTGCATAATTTTTGTTTTGCAACAAGGCAGTTCGTTTGTGACCGTTCGGATCGTTGATATAATCTTTGATTCATCGAGAAATGTTGTTGTTCAGGCAACAAAGAACCTGCTTTTCTATAGCTGGGCAGTTTGTTTCGGGGAGCATTTCAGTGAAACCATCTGTTGGATCATCTTCAAAATTTAAGGACAAGTTCAAGACTTGTTGTGGATCGATTTGACCGTATGGGTCAATATTCAGACCACTTGTTTGTCGAGATACAATACTATACAGAGAGGGTGTGGAATTGGTTTAAACTCCTTCAAGTGGAAACGTACAAAAACGAATTATAAATGCGTTTTGACCTTTTTTGCCACTTTTTAATGCTTTTTTAAATGTTTTGCACACAATAAGTTTTTATGTAGAAAGTGAAACGTTTTGCCTCGACAGAAACGTAAAAACGTGCATTTTGCACTTTGAAGAGGCGTCTTTGACTACATTGATTTTCACATCAATAAGCATAATGTGGTGGGAAGCAAGCAACATAACTTATTGGAAGTTGTTGCATATCTACCACTGGCGGATCCAGGGGGTGGCCACCCCGGGCCCCGGCCCAGCCCTCTTCTGGATCCATAGTTAGTATAGTCCTTATGAAATTTTTGATTTTAGACATTTGACCCAGTGTTATTTTATGATAAGATTGGCTTTAACTAGAAAAATTATCAAGTTGAACATATTCAAATCACTACTCTAAATTTAGCCTAGAAATTTGAGCCCCAAAGATTATGCGTCTAAAAAAACAATGAAACCTAAAATTCTAAATAGTTTAAAACTTAAAAGACTAAAAGAAATATGAGGTTTGTTCTCTTAAAAATTTACTAGAGCAGCTGGTGTGCAGGGATGGACACACAATGCAAATTGATTAGTCGATTGATTTATCTAGTGTTGATGCTGCTCGTTTCAACAGCTACTACGAAGAGAACCTTTTCAACAATGAAACATGTGAGAACTGATTTGCTCAACAAAATGAGCGATGAATTTCTCGCCGATTGCTCAAGTATTTTATTTGAAACAGTGTATACTATTGGTATGGATGTAGACTCCATTATTGATGTATTCCCTAAATTAAAATACAATCGTGTACAATTTACATTGCAAAAAACTATAAACATTATATATTTTTTACAGTTCTAATTTTCTAATGAAATGCGGCCCAGTGCTCTTTTGTGCTCAGGATCCACCGGTGATATCTACTCATGGAATATATAGGAATTTGGCGAGAAGGAAGTAAGCACAATTTACTAGGAAGCGAGCAGTATGATCAAGGTTCAAAAAGGCATTAGGCGTAAGGCAGGCGTTGAGCCTTTGCCTAGTGTATAGCTTGCCTAAGTGTAGACTAAATGTGCCTAGGCGGTGGAAGAAAAATAGTTATTCGCACTGCATGATGAATGAAATAATAATCTACAATACTTCCTTATTTCAGTTAAAATGATTAATAACTTACTCAACACTTAATTACAAGAACATAGCACACGAATTCATAGAATCATAGCTCAATAGCTCACTAAGTTTTTGAGCTATCGAAAACATTGATATATAAAATTGATTTCTTAGTTGACGTTAATCTTCTCCTTTAATATTGACTTCTTACCTCCATCTAGTAATGTTTATGAGAGACATATGTCGCCTTACTCCATTGACGTGTTCTAGTATCTAATTAGGCGAGAAACCTCTAGGCGAGGCATTTTGCAATTGACTTGCGCTTAGGCGTTCCTAAGCGTAAAGTTAAGGTTACCTTTTTGAACCATGAGTATGATTATGAAATTCAAATGATTTATAGGGGGTCGGAGGGTGAATGTTTGTTTACAGGGGATTGGGACAAGGGCATTAGTATAAAAAGAATATAGAATTCCTTTGAATTTCATGCATATATAGATCATGTATCCTTTATTAACTCTATCAACAACTCTTGAAAAGTAGCAGAATCCCACCTCTTTGTTTATGAACATGTCAAGTTGACCCTTTTATATTATGTACATTGTGATGTAGGTGAACCCGCATCATTGATAACACCTAAATTGCCACGTGGATATTTACGAAAGTCCATGGAAAAGAGCTCACTCACCAAATTCGTTTAACCCAACATGTTTAGTCATTTACATGATAGAGGATAAAGCGAGGGTTAGTTCCCCAATGTACCTGCTATTATCCTTGTTTATTCTCTCCACTAGTTATTTCACTTAAATCGTCTAACACAACCCCTTAAATCGATCAGCTAGATAGCAACAACGTGGGAAGTAGGCTAGGGTTCCGGGGACCGAGTGAATACGACCTTGATTTCCACTATATGACAACACCATTATAGGTTAAACTTTGCATACAATAGGGTAGTTATTGATACGTGCAAACTACTGACAATTACTTGTTAGTTTATCCTTTATTTTCTATGTTTGTATTTATATTATTTTAGTATTTTTATCGTTTTGTGTTTTTTTATTGACTCGCTCCTAATGTCACTCTAGAAAATGGCCAAGTGTAACCACTTCCTAAAGCATAGTATAACGGGTTTGGGTTTTAATGTCAACCCGGGTCCTAGATGTGATGACTACTCAGCGAATTCTTATTATTTAGCGGTGAAACTTTTGTGCAGGTTCAAACAAGCAAAACAAGCAAAGCAATTAAATGGTTGTTTTCAAGTCGAGAGAGGTCACCCGGATATGGTTCCCCCTAGACTGCAGTTAAGCCGGATTGCAATTTACCAAGTTCAGTTTTAATGATAGTTATACTGCGGGAGGTTCTTAAACAGTCTGAAGTCTCGACTAAAGGTCTCCAGGCCCTCTAAATCTGAGTCCCCAGCGGGCGACTAACCTCCGCCGGAGTAAACAGATTGAGGCCCTAACGAACCAAACCTCCACTGCCGAAGTAAATTCGGTACAGAATAGTGAATTGGCTTCTCGACTAAAGTCGCCAATTCACTACCTTCAATTAAGGGTGCTCTATCAACCTAGGCAGATATTCTCTTTCTAGGTTAATGCAGAAACATTAGGAATTTGATCAGGATTCACGCCATTCAATAAATCAAACCTCAATTGAATATAATCAAATCATAGAATCTGTACTTGGGTTCATACAATCAGACCTAACATACAAATCTAGGGTTCTCCATACCCAGATGAATAAGAAAACTATTCCATAGAGAGAGATGGAAAATCTAGCTCAGATGCGGAAACCATACTGTGAAGGATGATAATCTGCTTCTGGCGCTCAATCGGATCTTCTCCAAGCTCAAGTCGGGCTCCCGTGGTGATGGAGATCGATCAAAGACACTTGAAGACTCAGTTTCGTCACTTTCTCTCTCTAGGTATCGCTCTGTCTCTCTAAAACTCGGAACCCCTTCTCCTTTGGCTCCAATCTGCTTAAAAGGCTGAACCTGGGCAAAACACGGTCGAGGGCACGGCCGTGCTTTGGCTTTGCCCGCCCGTGCCCTTGCCATGTGTTAAAAACACGACCACATTTTGGGGAAAACACGGTCGTGCCTAAAGTTGGACACAATCGTGTTTTGAGTCACTCCCGCCCATGTTTTGGGCCAGCGCAGGAAAATCTTGGATCAAGCCTCGGCAGTAAAAACACGGTCCAGGAACACGACCGTGCTTTGGTTTAGGCCAGCCCGTGCTTTGGCCCCAGCTCGACCGAATGACTTCCAAATGCCCCAAAACTCGTGCTTAACCTTTCCTTCGGCGTCTGGGACCTGAAATATGACAAAGTAGCACAACCCGGCGTAAAATAGGCCAAAAATACACGACTACGCGCCGCAAACGGATAAGAACTAGGGGTGCAAACATGTGCAATTTCATCGTTATCAGTTATCCAACTTTGTACGTCACAGGTTGTTTAGTTTGTGTCTTGTAGCACTCGTGTATGCGAAGAAGTGATTCTTTGGAGATATTACCTCTTTATACAGAAATTGAGAGAACCCTTCGCAATCTCAGAAGAGTTGCAAAGACAACAACCTCCTCCAATGGCGGACCAACAACATCAATCTCAAGTTCTACCAAGGCCTTTAAGCTTTGAATGGAATAAAAAAGGCAAGTAAAATATTAGCCGCAGAAACTCTGGTATTTTCTCGACGAGAAAAGAGAAACTGGCTCAATCCCGCCAAGAAAAATGATCCATACACTATACAATTTTGATCTGTATCATATGATATCAGAGCCCGGAATGGGAAACCACGCACAACGACTTGAGGCTCTCTGAACTGCCGAGAACAACAATTAACAAAATTTTCAAGTGATTCAAGATCAACAGGCTGCACTCCAACTCACCATGACTCAAATTGCCCAAGCCCATGCTGCCAAAAATTACAAACCCCACTCCAAGGAGGGAGACAAGTCCGTTAACAACGTTTCCCACCATTAGCATCCCGATGATCGTGGCAAACAACCATTCTTTGGTGTTAAGCTTGCCAACCTTGAATTCCCATCCTTCGCTGGTAAAGACCCGACAATCTGGTTCTCTAGGGTAGAACAATTCTTTGAGTTCCAAGAGATCTCGAAGTAACAAAAAGAAAATCTTGCACCATATCACCTAGAGGGCTCACTATCACATGGGACGTCTTCTCGTCCGAGCTCTGGAATTGATTCGGCAAAATAGGGGGTACCGACTTCGATGAAACTCTCTCTTGCATTCGTCAGACCGGTACTTTGAAGGATTATTTCACCAAGTTTGAACGATTGGGTAACCGAGTTCACAGGTGTACTCAACAAGCCTTCGTTGGGACCTTCTTGGGTGACCTCAAACCTGTCATTTTCGACGAGATCCGGAATTTCAATCCCAAGACTCTGAAAGAAGCAATCAGCCTTGCTCGGGCATGCGAAGAGAAATTAAACCGCCACGGCAATCCCCCATGGCAACCCTTCCGATCGGTTATGGATTACACGCCGTCGTGACCTAAGCCGAGGGCGACCAATAAACCACCTGCAAATCTGAATTCAAGACCACAGCCGTCGGGATCGAAGAGGCTGAGCTATGAGGTGATGCTCCGCAGTCATCAATTGGGTCTTTGTTTTAACTGCAATGCCCCTTACTCTTCTACGCACCGCTGTTAGGGTGGAAAACTTTAGATTATGTGGAACAACGATGATGAAGAAGACCTGAAAGAGATTGAAGTTTCGATTTAATCTTCACACTATTCCACTTTTTGGATTTGATATCATCCTTGGGGTACAATGGTTGGCTTCCTTGGGCACGGTCTAAAGTAATGGAGGACATTAGAGATGGAATTCTTCTATAATGGCAATCTCCAGAAAATTCATGACATCAAACAAAGTCCACCCAAGGCCACGAGCTTTGAGGAAATTTTCAAGGAAGAGCACGACCTCATGGCCCTCTGCCTTCCGCCAGCGGAATCCGACAAACTTCGCCGAATTCCCACCGAGTTATATGCTCCCATCCGTAAATTTGGGAATATCTTCGAAGACCCGGACTAGCTACCATCTGCTCGAGCAATTGAGCACAAAATCCAGCTCAAGCTGGAAGCCAAAGCTTTTAATGTGTGCATGTATCATTATGCCCACTTCCAAAAGGCTGAAATTGTATCCCAGCTGAACAAGACGCTCGTGACAGGACTCATTCAGCCAAGCACTAGCCCATTCTCCTTACTAGTGCTTCTCATGAAGAAGAAAGACAGAACTTGGCATTTTTGTATGTATTATAGAGCTCTGAACTTGGTCACCATCAAGGATCGCTTCCCGATCCCAACCGTCGATGACATGCTCGACGAGCTCTATGGGGAGCCTACTTCACCAAGCTTGATCTGTGAGCGGGGTACCATCAAGTCAGAATGCACGTCAAGGATGTGCCAAAGACCACTTTAAGAACACACAATGTGCACTACTAGTATCTCGTCATGGCTTTCGGCCTTCGCAACACCCCCTCAACATTCCAAGCGATTATGAATGAGATCTTCCGACCCCTTCTCCACAAAACCATCTTGGTATTCTTCGAAAAAATATTGGTTTATAGTCTGGATAAGGAGTCAGGCGTCAACCATGTTTTCCAAGTCTTCCACATCTGCAACACCATCAGTTCTTCATTAAATTCAACAAATGCGGGTTTGGTTTGACGGAAATTGAGTCACTGGGGAATTTCATTTCCGCTACAGGTGTCAAGGTAGATATAAGGAAGATAGTCACCATGGTTGATTGCCTCAACCCACAACCATCACCGAACTCTGTGGCTTTTTCAGACTTACCAGCTACTAATGAAAATTAGTCCGCAACTATGGCATCATCGCACGAACTCTCACTAAGTACTCAAGAAGGGAAAATTTTGTTGGTTAGAGGAGGTGAATGCAACATTCCTAAACCTCAAGTAGACCTGGCAATCGGGTCGGGTTGGGTAATTTTGGGTTGGAAACTTTGGTTACGGGTCTGGTCATGGTTGGCTTATTTCGGGTCAAATATTGACCCAACCCATTCGGTTTCGGGTCGGGTTACAGGTCTTTTCGGGTTATGAGCATTCTCAGAAACAATATCAAACATGCTTCATATTTTCTTATATGCATGACAATAGTTTACCTAACACATGTCAATTAACATATTCTCAAATCCTCCCACGCTAATGAAATGAAATATAAATTGCACAAATCTTCAAAAAACAATCACAAGAGTAATACTACTACAAGAAACACATGATATTTAATTATCCTTAAACTCCAAACATGTCATTCAAATCCTTGTATTTTTTTAAACATCTCGCCCTCGATTTTTCCCAACCTTTCATGGTGGAAACTGATGCCTCTGACTACAGAATTGGGGCAATTCTGATGCAGCAAGATCAATCGATTGCATTATTCAGTCACGCGTTGGGAAAATTACAAGAGTCTCTCTCCATCTACACTAAACAAATGCTTGCGATTGTCATAGCAGTACATTCCTGGCGTCCATATTTATTGGGTCGGCGTTTCATCATTAGGACTAACCAGAAAAGCCTCAAACATTTTTTGGACCAATGGATCACTACCCTCGAACAGAAAAAGTGGATCTCTAAGCTACTGGGCTACGATTATGAGATCATCTTCAAGCCCGGGTCCAAAATTAGGCCGCCAATGCCCTTAGCCTCCGACCCAATGACGCGACTTTGTTTGCCCTATCCATGCCATTCACGTCTCTTTGGGATTCCGTACAAGCTACAACAGCTACTCACCCATACATGGTCCAATTACGACAGTGGGCGACATCTGCTTCTCCCAGCTCCTTTACCATTCACAACAACATGTTGTAGCGCCGCGACAAGCTCATCATCCCTCTCTACTCCTCCCATGTCGGGCAGCTCCTCCACGAGTTCCATTCCACACCCATGGGCGGCCATTCGGGGGTTACCCGCACTAACAAAAGGTTAGCTAATCATTTCTATTGGCCATTCCGGGGTTACCCTCACCCTAATGTTAAGTTCAACATTCAATTCACTTAAATTCTCCTCACTTCACTACCTAATATGATTCTCCCAAATTAAATGAGGTAAAGCTGGAAAAAAAACCTGGATACTTGATAAACCGTTAATTGCACATGTTTTTACCCCTATTCTTGAGTCGTTTGAGATGTTGATTCTCGTGTTTTAGGCCGATTTCACGCTAGGTTGTGCTTGTTTGTGATATTTCAGGTCCTAGTACGTGAATGAAGGTTTGGGAGCGAGTTCGGGGTCGATTGGACGAAGATAGGACGTGTGGCGAGTCGCTGAGGAAGCCACACGGGCACACATAAAACCCACACGGCCGTGTAAGGAACCAATGTGGCCGTGTGGGATTGTGCGAGCCTTCACACGGGCATACTGGAGGCTCCACACGACCGTGTGTCCCTGGCCGCGTAGGAAGCCTGAAATCCACTTAATCGGAACGCCGCGTTTTGGACCTCACACGGGCATCTGGGTAGATCACACGGCCGTGTGGCTTGCCCGTGTGAGTCGGGAATTCTGGTTTTTACCCAATTTCGAGCCACAAGTGAGAGAATCGACTTTTCAGAGCAAAAACAGAGCCCTAGAGAGAGAAAGTGCGAAGAACACATCCTAGAAGCGATCTTGGAGCTGGGTTTCGTCGAATCGGGCTTGGAGATCATCATAGGAGTGGAAATCATCATCCCAGAGCAGATTCTTTCCATTGTTATGAGTATGACTGGACTGCTTTGTATTCTGTTTTCCTCTCTCTCTCTCTCTATGGAGTAGAACCCTTCTCTCACTTGGGTGTGAAGAACCCTAGTTCCATGGGTTAGGGATTTGATTGTAATGACTTGGGATGATTATACTGTTTGGTTTTAATCGAATGATGCATGTTTCATTGAATTAATTGAAGTCTGATCAGCTTTTCTTGATTTCTGCTACAACCTGAGATAGATAGAATCTGATTAGGTTGTTAGAGCCTCTTCATTCGGTAGTAGTAGATTGGCTATACGAGAGTTAGTCAGTCCACTGCTTTGTACTGGAATCCAATTCCAGTAGTGGAATTCTGTGCTTATTGCTTCAGCTTTCTATTCCGGTGAAGACTAGTCGTCTGCCGGGTAGTTAGACTGAGAGGGCTTGGTCAGCTTAAGAGATTCCAAGCTACTGTCGGATCTTTCGCAGTCTAATCAACAGTAAGTCAACCCAGGGTAATTACAACTGAGACCTAACTAAGGAGCTAGGGGGACTCATTCCCGAGTGACTCTTCCTTTGCTTAAGAAAACCGAATCAATTCCTGCTTTCTTTCTGCTTTCAGTTAAGACAAAAATCAATCGACTTAGTTAGCTAGATAATAGATAATCACGGAGTAGGCAGTAGATCTAGACCCCAGGTTGATATTTAGAACTTGCCACTTTACTGCATTCCCGGACTGCGATTACACTTGGTCGCAGTTTGGTGTTGTGTTTTGGCGTGTCAATACTCAAGTAGGAAGGGTAGGGATGTGAGGAGAGGGCGAGGAAGCCGAAAATTTGGCTGAAAACAGACTGGAGGAAGGTTGTCGAAGCTTCGTCAGAAGCTCGTCGGAGTCTCGCCGCCGGCGACTTCACCTGAAAAGTACCCCAAATTTCCCTAAAATCTCAACGAAGGCTGCTTTTGATGAGGGGAGGCTAGGTCTGGTCTTGGTTTTGGGTTTGGATCGCCGGAAATGGGTAAAATGGGCAAAAACCGTCAGATTTTCGCGGTTTTCCAGTGAGATTTGAAAGATTACGGCGAGATTTTGGGTCGTGAAGTGAAGAAAACCGTTCACGGCCCTTTTATAGGCAGACCCTGCAGTTCACGGACGCGTTTTCCTGTTCACGGTCGTTAAGACTGTGAACACTGCAATCCGTCTGTGAACGCTGACAAATCGATGGGTTTGACACATGTGGAAGCACCCTGGTTCCCGGACACGTTTTCCTGTTCACGGTCTTATAAGACCGTAACAAGCCAATCCGTCCGTGAAAACAGGGCACTTCCAAAAAAATATTACTCGACCTACTCCACCATGCCTACTATCATTCACAACACAACTCAAAACACCCAATCACAAAAACCTGGCACGGGGATACCACTCGACCACTTGAACACTTCACTCGACACAAACGAAAAATAAGGAAAAGAAAACAAACCTTAGTTGGGTTGTCTCCCAACAAGCGCTAAGTTAATGTCACTAGCTTGACGTTGCAAATCTATTACGCCATTGAACGTGATGCCGTCGAGAGTGGATCTGCCACGTTTTCGGGGTGAGGCATGTCTCCTATCAACTTTCTCTCCATTGGGTGGCCTTCTCGACCAATGACTTCCACTTTGCCCTTCTCCTTCCACCGGGTATTAGCGTAACTTATCCTCTCTCTCCAAGCTCTTTTCCTTCCTTCTTTGGGCGAGATGCCCTCTTTGCTTTCCTGATTCCCATAATCACAAGAGCCAACAGTAATAGTGGGGTTCGCCTTGCAAGACTCTCCTCCACTTGCATTCATGACACGCTATGACACAACACCTAACAATGGCCAAGTGTAACCAATGAAAGGGACTGCAGTATAGTGGCACAAGTAATAAATATCGAATCCACGGGTCTTTAGAGTTACTATTACTCAGCTTCAGTTCATTATCTAGCAAACTAGATTAAGGATTGATTTACTAAACTACTTTACTAACTACTCTACTAATTACAAGTTGGGAACTCACTTAGGTATGATTCCCCCTAGCTCCTCAATTAAGTCCAAGTTGCAATTACCTTTGGTTGATCTACTGTTGATTAAACTGCGGAAGATCCTAAATTAGCTTGGAATCTCTTAAGCTGACCAAGCCCTCTTAGACAGAATACCCGGCAGGCGACTAGCCTTCACCGGGATAGACTGCTAAGGCGATTCACACAGATCTCCACTACTGGAATGAATTCCAGTACAAAGCAGTGAATTGATTGACTCCCGCACAACCAATTCACTACTATCAATCAAGGAAGCTCTCTTAACCTAATCAGATTCTATCTATCATAGGTTAAAGCAGAAATCAAGAGAATTTGATCAAGATTCAATTGACTCAATAAATCATGCCTCAATCGATTATAATCAAACAATATAACATCCAAAACTTCATACAAGAAAGATCCTAACACATGGAACTAGGGTTCCTCAAAACCTAAGTGAAGGGAAGTTACTCCATAGAGAAGAGAGAGACTGCAGAAATCTGATCTAGATCTTCAATCTCCATCTCCAAGCTTGATTCCCGAGCTCCAATGGCGAAGAAATCCTCCAAAATAGCTCCAAGAATGTTCCCAAGTCGCTCTCTCTCTAGGGTTCGTCCCTTGGGTGTTTGGGAACCAAAACCCAGCTCTCTCCTTTCCTTTTGCTGAAAATCGGGTTTTAACCAGAAATTCCCGATCAAACGGCCAGGCCACACGGCCGTGTGACTTTCCCATATGCCCGTGTGAGGGCTCGGTGATTTCCACACGGCCACATGGCCAGATCACACGGCAGTGTGGGTTTTTAGGCGTGCCCGTGTGGCTTGCTCAGCCTCTGTTTAATGCTTCGTTTCTCCCTCGTCCGGACTCCGAATCAGTCTCCGTTTGATCCCAGACGCTCGTAGTCTCGTCCTCTTTCTTTTCATGACAAAATTCCATGATTATTTGTCCATAATATGAGGTAGAATTCCATTATTCCTCAGGTTATGCTCGTGTTTCTTCTCCCGAATTGCCGAATGATCTCCGATTGACTTCAAACTTGCGCCTATGCTTCAATTTACATGCTAGGACCTGAAATGTGACAAAGAAACACAACCTAGCATAAAATAGGCCAAAGAAGCGATAATGCAAGCTTAAACGATCAAGAAACAAAGGGGAAAACATGTGCAAATATCGAGTCATCAATTCACATCACCCGGTTCCACTTACTTCACTTCCTCACTCCTAGGCTTAGGATAAATTCCAAGAGTAATTCTCTCCTCACCATCCCTCAGAATCAAAGTTCCCTTATTTACATCAATTAATGCCTTGGCAGTGGCAAGGAAAAGGTGTCCTAGTATGAGTCGCATATCAAAATCCTCACTTATATCCAGGATGACAAAATCTTTCGGATAATAGAATTTTCCCACTCATACTAGCTCGTCCTACACTATGCCCCTAGGACTAATGACAGAACAATCGGCCAATGTAACACTAAGCCTCATGATCTTTAGTTCACCTATGTCTAGCCTCTTAAAAAGCTTAAATGGCATCACATTTATGCTCGCCCCTAAGTCCGCCAAGGAATTTTCTATGTGATGAGAACCGATGCAAAGAGGTATAGTGAAACTACCTGGATCGGGTCGCTTCTTGGAGAACCTATTGAGGATGAAGGCTGAGCACTCCTTGCCTACGGTGACATTGGCGAGGTCTTCTAACTTCGGCTTCTTGGAGAGAAACCCCTTGAGGTATCTCGAGTACCTTGGCATGTGGGCCATTGCTTCAAGGAAGGGAATGTTGAGGTGGAGCTTTCGGAGCATCTCCATGAAACCTCCACATTCCTATACAATCTTTCCTTGTGCACCCTTGTGGAAAAAGGTAGGGGTGGCGTGTAATCAGCCACAGGTGGTGGCGTCGGCGATGCCTTCCTCACCACTCATCTTTTTTCCCCCGAGGTTTCCTCTTCTTCACCCTCGGGTAGAGGGTCTTCCTTCACATTCACTTCTTTGGAAACGACCTCCACCTTCCCACTCCTCAAATGAATTGCATTCACCCCGGCATGATCCTTGGGGTTAGTAATGGTTTGAGAGGGTAAGGCTCCCTTTGGTCTCTCGGTGAGGATCCCGTCAAGATTGCTAATTTGTACTTCTAAGTTTTGGAGACTTGCTTGATGGCTTCGGAGTCCCGCCTCAACTGAGGTAAACTTGGTGGTTGCCGCATCCATGAATTTCTCAATCTTCTCGAACTTCTGAGAGCTTGTACTCACAAAGGAGGTCAAAAGGTCTTCAAGCTTAGAGAACTTGTCAACTTGTTGTTGTTGCTGAAACCCTTGACCAACTTGTGCTTGGTATGGTTGTTGGAAGTTCTAGCTTTGGAATTGAGGCCTTTGTTGGATGAATGTTGGCCAAGGTTGATAGTTTCCCGTTAGACCTTGGAAACTAGGAGGTCTTGAATTGGTAGGGGAAGACCAAGCGAAGTTTGGATGATTGGGCCACCCGGGGTTGTCTGTGTTGCTATAAGGTTTGTTCCCACTAGCATTGGAAATGAAACTCACTTGCTCCTCGGGGGTACTTGTCTCCTTCATCGCTTGGCAATTCGCGATTTCATGATTAGTGCTTGAACATCAATCACAACACATCACCGCTCTCTTTCCTTGCTTCTTATCCTCAAGGATCACCTCGATCAACTTGTCAAGCTTCGCTTCAAGTGGAGCGCTTGATCCCACACTTCGCACTCCTCTTTCGGTGCTTCTCTTCCCACTTTTTTTAAGCCACAATCATATCCCTTAAGAGCCATATCTTTGAGCAACTCAGTCACTTGAGGAGGGTCATGTTCATCAACTTACCTTGGCAAAGAGAATCGATGAGGATGTTGTCATCTTTAATGAATCCTCCATAGAAAGTTTCTATCCGAAATTGCTCCTCAAATCCATGGTGAGGGCATTGGAGGAAGTAGTCGGAGAATCTTTCCCATGCATCCCTCAGATGTCTCATTCTCCTCTTGCTCAAAGTGAGTGATCTTCTTCCTCCACTCGGGTGTCTTGGAAGGAGGACAATATCGGGTCATGAACTTGTTGAGTAGGTCGTCCCAAGAGATGATGGAATGAGCCGGACGGTCGTTGAGCCATCGAAGCCCCTTTCCCGCCAAAGAATGGGGTAAGAGCTTCAATCGAATGGCTCCTCGGGGACACCATTTATCTTCAAGCTTCTCGCTAACTCAAGAAAACTATAGACATGCTCTCGTGGTGATTCATGAGCAAGCCCGTGGAAGTAGGCGTTTTGTTGAATCATCTTCACGAGAGAGGGCTTCATTTCAAAGTTGTTGGCGTCCACGGGTGGATATAAGATGGGAGATTGGATATCCTCCGCCCGTGGAGCCATGTAATAGCTCATAGTCCTTGGTTCTTCCTTGGCTCCCGCTTCCACATTTGGGATTGGAAGCGGATTAGCCCTCGGTGTTGATTCCCCGGCATCTCAAGTTCAACTTCTCCTTCAATTCCTTCAATTCCGGGACCAACTTGTTGTCCCCTTTCTTCACTTCTCCTTCTTACCTCCACTTGCTCCCTCTCTCGAGCTAGAATTCAGAGAGTCCGGTTGATGTCCTCGTCCAGTGGTGTTAAAGGCGTCGGATTGTTTCGGGTCATGCACCTCCCTACATACACTTAAAGAACACAACACGTCTAGCGCAAGAAAACTTCACACTTAACAACACCGAAAATAAAGGCTAGATTAATACCAAATAATCTTTTCACAATAACAGACCGAAGTCCCAGGCAACGGTGCCAAAAACTTGACTCGCTCTGACTATCACAATAAAATCCCACCTAAGGCCCAAGTATAAACGTTAGATGGGTGCAATATATGGCAAGTATGTTTAAATATCGACTCGGGCTGGCCCATGTACCGCTACTTCGATTGTTTGAAACATTATCTAGCGGATTAGTTTGGGTGAAAACAAAGGTCTAAAACTAAAGTACTTTGCAAAGGTAAGATGAATTTGACACTAATTGAGAAGGCTTCACCCGGGTGTTGCTCCCCCTAGCTAACCATTACGACTTGAAGAATCGAACGATCGTGTGTAGTTAGGGGGTCATAAATAGCAGGTAAGTCTAACAAGTAACCAAGGATACCCTCTTAATCTCAAGGTCGAGGAAATGGGATACGATCCAAGCCCGCTAATGCGACCCTCTCGACCTATTGACTAAGGAATGCTTGTCCAACAAGTAGCCAAAGCTACCCTCTTAGTCTCTAAGTTGAGGAAATGGGATACGGTCCAACCCGCTAATGCGACCCTCTCAACCTATTGACTAAGGAATGGTTGTCCAATAAGTAGCTTAAGTTACCCTCTTAGTCTCTAGGTTGAGGAAATGGGATACTATCCAAGCCGCTAATGCGACACTGCCAACCTATTAACTAAGGAAAGGTTAGACTTACCCTCGAATTGGAATTCAGACGGCCACCCACAACCAAACCCTAAGTGCTAATACGAAATAGGAGGTTTGCCTTGCATTAACCTAACTAGGAGGCAACGAATTACCCAAGAAAACCCAGCATTCAAGCCTCTTTCAAAGAAAGGAAGATGGGTTTTCTCTCTACCTAGGTTAGAATGGAAATTAGATTGATAGGCTTTCACACAACACAACAAAATCATTCATGAATAATACCTTCACATTGACATTAAACACAACCACACACAAAATCTTTCGATTCATACAAGCATTCACATAATTGTATCTAGGGTTTACAAACACCCAAGTGAAAGAAGGGACTACTCCATGTTAGAAGAAGGGAAAACACAAGAGAGGGAAAGGAAAACCATCTAGAAGATGCAAGCCATCTAGAAGATGCAAGCCTTGCTCCTTGTGTTGAAGAGATCCTCATTTGGGGGAGGAATTCTCAAATCCTTTCTTGGAGATGAAACCCTAGCTTCTCCTCTTCTTTGGTTCGTCACTTTCTCACTCTAAAATTTCAAGAAGAAGAAGTTTCTCGCACTAGGTCTCCTCCTTCTTCTTCCTTTCAGCTGACTCTTTAAACTAAGATCGAGCCCAGTTCACGGCCTGAGTTCATGGCCGTGAACATCAAAACACGTCCGTGAACACAACATGCTGGATCAAAACACACCGCTTCACTTCCTGGGTTCATGGTTTATGGTTGCAGTTCACGGTCTTAGCGACCGTGAACAGCCTTGGCGTCAATAACCTCAAAACTCTATCTGGACGCTCCTTGGTTCACGGATTGTGGCTCCAGTTCATGGTCTTAGAGACTGTAAAATCCAATGGCAGACAGTGAACTGTGGTTGTCTCCTCCTCTTTGCCCGGTCTTTGCTCCTTTTCTTCCAACTTTTGACTCCGAGGTTGGTTTCACCTGTTAGGATCTGAAACACACTGAAACACAAAAAACCTCGCGTAAAACCGCCCCTTTTGGATCTCAATTGCAACAAACATCAAAGAGAAACGAGGATAAATAGTGTATAATTAAGCCCGAATCAATCCCCCTAATATGCATTCTACAGACAAGTTGAATTTAACATAGACGAGTGTTTATATCTTAGACCGTGAAAATTCCCAATTTAGTGTTAACCAGTTTGCACATGCATTAAAACCCTTTCGACTTAAGAATCAAGTGAAACCGTGGCTTACAATATTCTTAAACTAAAGCATTAACCAGACTTGTGAATTTCCGTATTAGGTTTTTAAGCTAATCTAGAGGAACTACGTGACCCCATCGCCGGTGGCGCCGATCAATTCCTTCTTTTCACAAGAAATCTAACATGCAAATTTAACTTGCAGTCTCATTTACATGTATCAGACAAAATATACAATAGATGCATGCTATTGATACTTGCACGTGATAAGTCGACAAAAGATCGTAAGAACGAGAACAACACGTTTATATCAAAGATACCACTCAATCCATGTCAAACATATTAGGATTCATCAAATCCAGAACAACTAGAAGATTAGCTGGATATGATAAAGCTTAGAAAGATGAGGATTGAGAACATTACTATGATGACGACGAAGAACAGAGGGTTCGAGAATACGGTATATATATTGAGTTAATAGATTACACCAAGCAAACTTCCGACGGGGGGATAATCATTGGGAGAAGACAGTGGAACCTGACCAATCTACCACCACAAATGATTATTAAAACCCCATAGAAAAGAAGCTTACTTCGGTAATCTCAATAACGCAATATACCACGGTATTCCCATATACGAACACTAACATGAGAACCACGATGGATGAAATACGAGATATGATTAACGAAATGAAAGAAGTAACCAGAGTTTGAAATGGAAGTGGACAGAATTTCGGCTAACTTGAAACAAAAGAAAGGAAGAACAAAGTATGTGTTAACGTTGACATGGTCTCAGACATGGCCATGTTGATGCCCACGTGGGCTTTTTTGAAAACTTTTCCTTCACTTTAGCAGGAGGTAGTTTGACTCTGGAGTTTTCGGTTTGACACTGCATTGTCAATTACCTCTCTCTCCATGATTCATCACCATAATACGAGGCGGGTTTCGTATGTTGACACCAAAAGGCGACGCGACCTAAATGGTACGACTCTTTTCTCTCGCCTGGGACATCACGGGCTCAAGTTCCACCGACACCATATTTCAAACCCTAACCATCTTTTTATCATCCAAGCACCAAATTAGTTCATTCTTTCTTCTTATTGGATGGAATAACCTGAAACATCACTTAAACACAAAAACAAGCGTAAAATCGGGAAATCAAACGAACTTAATACAAGCAGAATATTAGCAGCTGAAACTCTGATATTTTCTCGTCAAGAAAAGAGAAACTGGCTCAATCCCACCAAGAAAAGGAATTCATACACTCATACAATTTTGATCTGTATCACACCATGTTTTAAAGTTTCTATAACCGCAAAAATTATCCAAACGGGATAAAGGTTGATGGGAAAGTGTGTAAAAGAACAATAAGAGTGATTGTTCCTCGTACCTACACCAAGAACCTAGTTTTGCACCTTGTGCCTATCTTCCTTCACTTAAAACATTATATTCATAATTGGTCAAGTAATTAAACTTGAACGGGATCCCTAGGATGTGATTTAAGTTCATGGGCATTGAAGAGTGTCACGACCACGGTCTCTTGAAAAAAAGAGAGGGCTAGAAGAAAAAGTGGGTCTCACGACTAGCCTTGCGATCACCAAAGGTAGATTACGACATCAAGTTCACCCCAATGAGAAAATGTCACGGTCGTAATATCTCAAGTGTTCACGACAGAATGAAGACACAGCAAAGTTCACTGGCTCTTCTTAGAGTGCACGATCGGAACTCTGCCAGTGAACTAGCCCAAGTTGCAAAGGCAAACATATCATATCTTGAATTTCCAGCACAACCTTGAGAGAGAAAGAGTTAAGGTTTATTTGGTATATTAGAGGGAGCTTGGAAAAGAAGGAGAGGTCGAGAGCATGGAGCTATTTTCTATATTGAAGCAGTGAAGATTATGTCTCCTTCTTCCTTTCCTTGTGTATTTACTCCCCCTTTTGAAGCTATGAGCCCTATTCAATATTTATGACTATTTGATGTTTGATTATGCCAATTTGTTACTTTAGATTAAGTGATTGATTACTTTGCTTTTGACATAAGCTAGTGACTATCTAATTAGGTCAAGACTAGAACCCACATCAAGTAGTATGAGATTTTAATTGCATAGCGATTGAATCGAAGGGTCATTTTCCTTCGGGTCTATATACAATTTAAGAATCTACATGTAAAGATCTTGTGATTAGTTGGTTGTATGACCATTGAACCAACTACGACTTAGAAGTGCATCCTATGTTAACGACCGTTGGCTTAGATGATAGTTTGATATACTCATGCATAATAAAAGAGTAAGGAAATTGCAGGGGCATTCTTTTCCATTGATTCCATGCTAGAACTATGGAGATACTGATCCCAAGAACCTCATCATATCTCTCTTGACTCAATTTTTTTAAAAAATTTAGCGTAGAAGAAATGAGTTCTCTGGTTTAAAGCTTTAGCCAACTGCCCAAGCCACCCAAAAATGACTAAGCTGGACTTATAGAAAGAGAATAATAAAAAAATAAATTCAACATCATTAAGATGCTAGCAAATATTTTCTAAATTATTAAAAAAAATGTTATATTGAGGCAATTAATGGAAAGATTGGTGGGTGAATTATTGAGGTAATTATATTAGAAAGTTCAGTAGATGACGTTGTCATGGAGTTGGTTCCAAATTATTTTACAATGATTATATATTTGATGAACAAGCCATACTTTTCTTAGGTCTGAATAATGAGGGTTCATATAATTGCTTGAATAATTAGTAGAATAAAGTGATTATTGAACAAATCATGCAATTCGGGAATTAGAAAATAAGAGATAACATGTAACTAATGGAAAATATATTTATTATCTTATGGAAAAGCTCTACATCACTTTGGAATTGAACTAGTTGCACATCAGTTATAGTTACAAACACATTACGCATACATTCACGTCATAATTATGTCATATAAATAACATAAGCTAATATTAAATCGATAATCTATATAAGATGATCGGTACTTATTTTACAACAAGTGCATGCATTGTTGGCTTGCTATTTAGGGTTCATAAGTGGGACATCCTGGAATAGTTTTAGCGTACGGGCCTTGGCAAGGATCAAGGACTCCGGGATGAATGAATTTCTGATCTTTCTCCTGCGACATCACCACTGCGGCAAACATTGCTAGGAAGAAGAAGAAGAAGAATACAATCCTTGCGTAATTCATTGTTAAAGAATGAGGTGAGAATTTTTGTTGGGTACTCTACTACTCGATGGATGTTTGGTTATTATATTCAAATTTAGACATCTAATGTTGGAAAATCTAACAATAGTTTGGGGTGATTGAGTATTTATAGCATGTTCTTTCATCGTTTCTTTTCCCTATTTTTTGGCATCAGATTTACTCGGTTGTCTATGATTGGCTTCTATTTAGCTTGTAAAGCTATCGCAAAAGTAGTTTATCTTTCAAACAAAGTTAATTAATGGATTTACATTTGAAATGTGTAAATAATTATAATGAAGTAAAATGTCAATTACAAAAGGAGATTAAAAGAGGGAAAGTACATTATATAATTGTTTTCTTTGAATAATATAAAAATCTAATAACGACTAACAAGAACGGAGGAAAATATCTACCTTATTCGTGGAATAAATAAGATATCATGATGGATGTCTAGATCTCGGGACTTGAGATAATGTGGTCGAAACTCTCAAGTGGGAGGCCTAATTGAGCAACAATTATAGGAATATGATAACACCCAAAATGGTGTTATTTAGCCTTCATATTTAGGGTCATTCAAGTCATTTCGTGGTCTTAATGGTTCATATATCATCAAATACATCCCTCTTTCGTTCCTTGAAGAGAATATTTTCATATTAGGATGTTTTAGATTATATGAACGTTTTTGTACGAAATGGGGTCACACATGTTGAAGAATGGGCCAAAATGGTGTTTGCGTATGAAGGAGTGAAGATCACGGCCGAGATGTTGGGGTGCGGAGTAGAGCATAAAGATCACGACCTTCAAGCCAAAGATCGCGGCCTAGAAAATGGAGCTTCGGGGCAAACTTGAAGATGCAGTCGTCAAGGGAGGACCAGAGAGTCTCGATAGTCAACTCATGACTCCTATTGTCCCAGCCTCCAAGAAAGATCACGGTCGTGACCATAAATTCAGGCCGTGATCTCCAAAGCCAGACGGACCGAAGTCACTGTAGTTAAGATCAGAGCCTCTCTCCTTCAGATCACAATCGCGATATCCTGCCCCGTGCTCGTGAACTTGCCTGTGTCCTCAGAATTATATAAATTGAGGACTCCTCCCTTTGAATAGATGGCTTTTGGAAGATTTCTTATTATAGAGTGAGGCTAGAGAGAGAAGTAGAAGCTTGGAGAAGAAGAGGAGATAAGAAGTGGAAAAGAGATTTGGAGGAGGATTTCCAACAATTGAAGACCCCTTCCTCATGATTTCTTTCCCTCTTTGCATGTCTCTTCTTCCCTCCTTCATGGGGTAGTCCCTCAAGCTACTTTTGGGCTTCATCCCCAAACCCTAAACTAGGGTTTGGTATATAATAGGATGCTTTAGGCTAGATTTGTGAATTACTATGAACATATTTGCCTATGTCTATTTCATGATCGTCTTTCTCTACATCAAGTAGTGTGGATTGTCTTTATCCCATTAGCCCTAGTTTCAACTTATGTGATAGGTGATATTCATTCTCATTCTTGTGATCTATGGATGAATTGTGTTTACCTAGAGTTTTGTGCTTCATCTATGATTAATTGTGTTTGGCCTTGTCTCTCCAACTATTTTCATTTAGCCTACCACTAAGTCAATGAAAAAGTTTGGAGTTCATGAATTAGACTAGATTCGATTTTACCCCTTGAAATTCCAACCTTTCATTTTACCCCTTGACATTCCATCCATTTTCTCTGGTTATTTGATTTAATTAAGATTAATTAATAGGGATTAATTTTAAAATTTAAAACCCACCCAATAAGTACAGGTGTTACCCTAACCAATTTTGGATCCGACTCATTCATTTTTTACGGGTCGAATCTAAATCCAAAAGTCTGGGCTTTATGGAATCTGCTGCCATTGCCAATCGGTCCAATCCAAGCCCAAGCCCATCTCCAAATTGTTGTGAAGCTCCCGCCCGAATATAGAAACGGAATTCGAACACCATAAAATTCAAATTTTGGAACCAAAGAGAGAGAGAGAAAAAAAAAAAGAAGGTGAATGCCAGTCGCCAGAGGGCCGAAGGCAGATCTATGACTATGAGTGAAAGAGAGAGATGTCGCAACGACTCTAGAGTAGCAGAGACTGAGCGTAGATATATGGGAGAAATGGAGGCTGACAAGGAAGAGAGGCAACTCCGCAGTAGAATCGCCAAAATCTTCGACGAGGCCAAGACCTCCAACGCCACCCACATTCGGAAGCTCAAGGACCTCTCTTCCGTCCTTGCCAAGGCCTCCTCTCCTCGCCAGTTCGCTGCCGCATTCTGCAGGGTTTTGACTCCTCTTTTCTGCATCCAGCGCCGGACTTCTTCCGCTGAGCGCATCGTCCGCTTTGTCTCAGCTTTCGCCTGCGCCCGCGCGTCTTCCGGCTGTGACCAATTTCTCGAAGAGTTGGTCCAGTTCTTATTAGTCGCTTCTGCCGCTGCAAATAAGACTGCAAGGTTTAGGGCTTGCCAGATGATTTCTGAGGTAATTTTACTTGGTGAATTTTACATTTAACATTAGGGATTTCTGCTTCCCAGCTGGTTGTTGTCTCGTCGTCTTTAGTTTCCGCGTTTTGCCCTAGTTCCTTAGAACTGCGATTCAACCTGACTGGCGAAGTGACATCCCAGTTCCCACTAGTGAATGCTATTATAGAGTTTTTAAGATAAACAGTAATTTATTTTTGGCAAATCTGGAAGCAGGGCTGGTGATAAGTCTTCTCTTTTTATTTTGAAGGTTGGAACACGGGAGCATATCTTTCACTTTTCTGAATGCTTAATATATGGTCTTAAATTTGCAGATAATCATGAGGCTGCCTGACGATGCGGAAGTGAGTGATGATGTCTGGGATGATGTGATTGAATGCATGAAGCTGCGTGTTCGTGACAAGGTTTCTTTTATTCGCACATTTGCTGTTCGAGCTCTTTCCCGATTTGTGAATGATGCCGAGAACAGTGACATCCTTGATTTGCTTCTGGAAATGCTTCAGCTGGAGCAAAGTGCAGTGAGTATCCCTATTATTGGTTCAATAGGACAACTTCTTAGCTTTAAATACTGTTGGATAATTTTTTTCTTGTTTATTCTGTTGACACATCATTTAGAAAGCTTGTGCTCCAATTTGCTTTGGTACTGACTGCTGTATTAATACATCTATTAGCAGTTGTACCTAACCTGAAATGTTCCAGTAAGTGAATCGATTTAAATCATGGTCAGAGCTTACTGCTTTGTTTTCTTTTGATAGTTTCTTTGAAACAAGGTATGTCCTTTTACCATGATTTGACTTTTCTCTTCAGTAACTGCTTTTGGTTGCCTATGTTCGAATCATACTATTACAGCCTATTTCCCTAGACTGTGAGAAGTGTGTAGTTCCACTTCACTTAAAGATGGCAGTATGACTGTAGGAGGGGAGTTGACACCCTTGAGTTTTGTAGTAGAAATGAATATTTGATCTAGCAATCACTAAAAATGCCTTACTGGTACATTCTTGAAGAACATAAATTTGCACGATAGAGAAGTGAATGTAAAAGGATTCTTGCACTTTCATAAAAAATCGTCAAATTGTTAAATATTATATACAAAATTGTTTTTGTGGTTTGAAATAATTTGTAATCTTTTACCTTTGATTTAACGATAGAGGGTAATACTGTGGATTGCTGGTGCATGTTGCAGGAAGTTCGTAAGACCATTTTGCTAGCTTTGCCACCAACAAATGCCACCTCACTTCTGATTATTGATTGCACCTTAGATGTGAGCGAGGCAGTTCGCAAAGCTGTGTACTCTGTTATTGCCAGTAAATTCCCCCTAAAAAGTCTCAGGTGATTTTAAATTGTGGTTAATATTACTAAACTGCACCCTTCACCTGGACCACTTTTATGATGTTTTAATTTCAGGTTATGGTGAATATTTAAGTCATTACCTAGGTTCAGTGTTTTTTTAGGAAGTTGACTTAGGAATGTCGTGTTGATCTGGACATTTGATAATATGACTTACTCTTCATCAGTTCTTTTTTTTTGTGGCTGCCTTATTAATTCAGCATAAAGCTGAGGACACTTATCCTTCAGAGAGGACTTGCTGATCGTTCCATTATTGTCTCAAAGGAGTGCCTGAGGCTGTTGAGAGATGAATGGTTTTCTAAGTCCTGCAATTATGATCCTAAAGAGCTTTTGAAGTATTTGGATGTTGAGACTTACGAATTTGTTGGAGAAGCTGTGATGGATGCTTTGTTGAAAGATGGCTCGATAAAGTTACATGATAAACAAAGCATCCAAGAGTACATCGTTTCTACTGTTACTGAAAATGAAGGTTGGGTTCAGCTTTCAAGTTTTCTGATTGTCTGGTTAGAAGAGAAAATTGATTCTCAATCCCTGTAGTAGTTGATCAGTTACCATTTCTGGTTACTTAAATGATGATTATTCTTGGGAACCGAAGTGTAATAATGTTCCCCCCATCCCCTTTTTGCTGATTAGGTGCAATTAGTGTTTTGTTTGTAGGAAATTGAACATGAAACTTTATGAACATAGGATAGGCTTGCATCAAAAACAAAGTTACACATCTCCATGATGATGCCTTCTGTATTGCTCCTCTTTTGTTGACAGGTTTTAGGTTCCTTTACCAAAATTTCCCAAGGAAACTCATTTGCTTATCATGTCATGCTTAGTATATTCATATAATGGTTAAAGAGTAATTCTTGAAGAAGTTTTGGCCATTGATGTGTTTGGTAGGTGTTCTGTAAAGTTTCTGCTTGTTGCATCATGTTTTTTAAATTTGGTTTGTTCATGACAGGAGATCCAGCAGATTCACCTCCCAGTATTCAGCTTATGGAACCAGAGTCTGCTATTTATTGGAAAACAGTGTGCAGGTTCTTACAAACAAAAGCACAAGTATGCTTTCCGTACTGCCTTTGATCTTTTTCCCATTTGGTTTTTGAATATTTTTTCTCGTTCTTTTTGTGATGTCCAAACTTTGTGATTGGAATGAAGTGTCGGGTAGAGACGCTTGTGCCACTTCCCTTTGCTAAATATTAAGTTGGACACTTGATAGGTTTGGAATTTAGTTTGTCAAGGTGGCTCATCCACTTACACAGATCACGCGCTGGAAAAGCATGAGATTTTTTACCATGAATTTTAGTTGTAAACCACATATGAATCGGTCCGGAAAAAAGGAAGGGATCTGTAGATGCTCACAATAGAGGATTTCAACGAGTATAGTAGTACCTGTTTTTTCTGGATATCTTGCGTTAATTAACCTGCGGCCTTTTGTAATGTCATGTTTGGGCAGGCAAAAGGCTCCGATGCTGCTGTAACAACAGGCACTGAAGCTGCAATGTATGCAGCTGAAGCTTCAGATAACAATGACTTGTTGGACAAAATACTTCCGGCTACAGTTTTTGATTATGTAGCTCTTGTCAGAGCTCATATAGATGCTGGTGGGTTGCATTCTCTGGGTCACAGTAGCGATCATTCTACATATTCTAATTCTATCTTCATTAATTTCCAGGGGCAAACTACCGCTTTGCATCTCGGCAACTGCTACTACTTGGTGCCATGCTCGATTTTTCTGATTCTACAAGCAGGAAAATAGCCGGTGCCTTCCTGCAAGACCTGCTGCGTAGGCCCTTAGACTTTGAAATTGACGAGACTGGGATTGAAGTGGTCATTGGAGATGGGTTAAACCTGGGCGGTGACAAGGATTGGGCTGATGCTGTAACCAGTTTGGCAAAAAAAGTCCATGTTGCAATTGGAGAAATCGAGAGTGCTGTTCTTGGGGTTGTAGAAGAACTTGCCAGGCCTTGTCGGGAGAGGACTGCTGATTTCAAGCAATGGATGCACTGCCTGGCTGTGACAGGTCTTCTTTTGCAAAATGTAAAGTCGTTTCACTTGCTTCAAGGGCAGGCTATCCAACCATCCGAGTTGCTGCAGTCTTTGCTGCTTCCTGGGGTATGATATAGAACCTTGCTGTTTCTTTTTATTCTGTTGTACTTCACTTATGGCACTTACAAAATTTTCAAATAACGAACAATTGGACCTGGCCATATCTAACATGTGGTATGGTTGTTATGGTTGAGAAACTTGTCAAAACTGGATTTTCTACAACGAAATTCTGTCAAATTCCATTTTATCAGTAGCACTGCGTTATACCTTTGTCCCTTTCATATAAGAGAGACTGCTTCGTGGTTATGAAACTTAAAATTTCCATTATGATTTGGTGCTTGTTTCCCTGAAAAATCCAGGCCTATGAACCACTTGCTAAATTCTAGAACTCAGATCTGCTGGGTGCATGTTTGATGAATAGTTGTGCTCTAATAGCCCAAACTTCTGTTCAATGTGTCAATAACTAAGGGAGTGCATGTAGTTTGCTAAATACCGTTTCTGACGATATATTTAACACCTGACATGAACTACTTAATGCAGGCGAAACATTCTCATTTAGATGTGCAGAGGGTTTCTGTTCGATGCCTTGGTCTTTTTGGCTTGTTAGAGAAGAAGCCAAGTGAAGATGTGGTGAAGCAGTTAAGGGTTTCTTTCATAAAGGGTCCAGCTCCTATCAGTACAATGGCATGTAAGGCTTTAATAGACCTTGTGCTTTGGCATGGTCCTCTTGAAGTCGATAAGGCATTGAGGCCGGGTGATGCATCTCAATTGGAGCAGATCAAAATGGCATTTACTGCTTTAAACTTCCTCGATGCTGATGATAATATGGACGCTGAGTTTCTGGACCTTTTGTATGCTGGTCTTGACAGAACTGACTGGGGGAATTCGGTAGAAAGTGATGAAAGTGAAATTATGCAAGCAGTTATCGGTGAGGGATTGGGGAAAATTCTTCTCCTAAGTGAGAATTATACAAGCATACCAACTTCTTTACACCCTTTGCTCTTGGCCAAGCTTATTGAGTTGTATTTTAGTGATGAAACCAGTGGTTTGCAGAGGTAAATTGCCAAGTGTCTCTTCCTTTTTTTTAATGAGGGTGACATAAATTAGTTCATTCAGTGCTATTTAAGGGATTCGAACATGAGACTTTCAGATTGAAGATCAGTGGTATTACCTCCTTTTTAGGATATTGTATTTTGCTTCTCCCTAGGGGTGGTCTTCTCATTAATGTTTTTGTAACCCATGGTGCAGGCTGAAACAATGTTTATCTGTCTTCTTTGAACACTACCCTACACTTTCAGCTAATCACAAGGTAAGTGTATGGCAACCAATGTTTCAACAGTTTCTGTTATGTGGAAATTTGAGTCACTTTTGTTTGTTGACTTAATAGAATTTCCTTTCGGTTAATGCAGAAGTATTTGTCTAAGGCGTTTATTCCAGCAGTGCGTTCAATGTGGCCGGCAATCTTTGGAAATGCTGGAGGAACTGCGGTCGTAGTGTCTAACTTGCGCAAACATGCAACCCAAGCATCCCGGTTCATGGTCCAGATGATGCATGCTCCATTATATGCTGTGCATGATGAGACTGAGAATGCAGAGAGTGGTACTGGATCAGTGGAAAATGCAAACCATTCATCAGGACCTTCACTTGAATGCAGAGAGGAAGGACTTGCAGTACGCATAGCTGCAGAGGTTTGCAACACAATCTTCTTTTGCAATATTCTTGAAAGTTGCATGAAATTCAAAATATGAGGACTTCAATTCTGTTTTGTCATGGCTCATAGTGCATTCTATGGAGTGAAGGAAACATAATGCGGGCAATACTTAATTTTCTTAATTGTATATGTGGGTAGTCTTGCTCACTGTCTCTTTTGCAAGGATCAGAACTAACACCTGCGTCATGAAAAAACCTCGCCCAGGTTACTATATATGTCTTTTGCAAGGGTAGTATTTTCTGACGCAGGTTCTAGTCTGATCCTATATGAATTTCAAAATTGCATAAAAAGGATTAGACAAGAAAAGAGGGGCTCTATATCCTGTACTTTCCTTTTTTCTTCCAGTGTGGAAACATATTACAAACAATGACTTAGACCTTAAAAGACATTTTTCCATTGAGTATCAACAGAAATGTTGTATTTCTGCAACTCATGCTCTACTTTTACCTTCTTCCTTTCAGCTTGCCAGCTTCACAGGGAAGAGAACAGCTGCAGAGAGGTCATACATGTCAGCACTCTGCAGAACACTAGTCCTGATCCAGTTTCATCCATCAGAACAAGACGCGATAAGGCTAATGAGACGTCTTTTGAATCATCTGTCTGCAAATGTACATTTAGAGAAAGATGCCATGAAAGAGTTGAAGCTGATGGCTGAACGTCTTGAGTCAGTTGACAGTCGACCAGAGGAGGCACTTGCGCTGGATCAGGCCAATCTTATATTTGGTACAGCTCTAATTTGTCCCTTTGAACTTTCTGGAGGCTACTTAAACTGTTTGGAAGTGCCATTTTACTTCCCATCTTCTTTCTCCATTAGTTCTGTCAAGTGGGTAAGCTTGAGGGTGGTTTATACTATTACTGTTGTTAGAATAGAAAGCTGGAATGGGTTCCATACCCAGTTACTCATGGTTAACGGTTTTGGTTTCAATGTTAGATTATGGTTGGGTAGCGATTTTCAGAGTATAAACGCGGTTGTTTGTCTTGTGGTTCGGTTAACTGTACTTAGGTAAGCTGGAGTTGGACTTCAACTTGGATGTGAACGTTCCTGCTGCTAGTTGTACGATCCCGCAAACGCCAGCTCGCCCTCGACCAGGTAGAGGAGCAAGCCGGTCGAGGAGGCGAGCGAAGGACGATGAAGAAGAAATGTCTTCGGAAGAAGAAAGTTCGCCCGTGTCAGTTCCGGTAGCTGCAGGGAGTAGCCGGTCGCAGAGGGCGAGCAAAACTGCAGCATTGACCAAGATGATGAGTACTGCCAACAGAGTTGCTACGGCAAGAATTGAGGAAGACGATGAAGATGAAGGAGAAGAGTCGGAGGTGACGTCACAAGATTCTGATGACAGTGACGAGGAAGAGTTCTTCTAAGCGTTTCCCTTTTCAGACACATGCGTATAGGTGCTGTGCTTCCTCGGCACTAGTTCCATTGCATAGACGACATTCCAGAGTTTAGTTTCTGTTGTTTGTTATTGTTATTATGTCCACTACGAAATGGGAGCAACTGTGTATCGTATGTGCTGTGTGTTTACAAGCATGTTAAGGCTATTCCTGCTAGGTATTTCAGCAAGCTAGCTGCAGTTTGAAGGATACAATAACTGTAGTTCGCTATTCTTCCAGCTTTACCGTCGGCCTCTGAAGGGTTCCATTTCGAATCAGGGTAGCAAAACCAATGGGGTTTCCGGATCCACTATGTTCCCAGTAGGACTGCAAGTGCAAATGAGCCTGAGTTTTACTCCAACTTGAGCTTGATTCGTTAATAAATGAGCTGAGTTTGAGCTCGAGCCATTTATTAACGAGCCGAGTCGAGTTCGAGTTAGACTTGTTTACTAAATTCTTAAATCGTATTTGATATATGAGCACTTCTACTATGCTCTAAAGTATGAGTGTTTTAATGTACAACTTGAAGTTGTACCATAACGTTAAATGTATAAGTTTAGATTGTACCAATAAGGAATTTGTACCCTTATGTTATGGTACAACTTTACAACTTAAAGTTGTACAATCACATAAATGTACAAGTTCAAGTTGTACCATGAAAGAATTTGTACAAAAGAGTATAGGTACAATCTAAAGTTGTACCATAACGTTAAATGTACAACCTCAAGTTATACCATAAAGACAAAAACCTATAGCACCAATGCTATATAGCATAGTAAAATTCCTCTTGATATATTCATTTTGTATGTCGTGGATGGTACATGTAAGATGTAACAATTAAAAAAATAATCAAATGTTCAACATTAATTAATCTTATATTATAATTTGTAGGTGTCATTGTTTAGTTAATAAATTTTAACTAGTTCAAATCATGTTATTTCATAGTATCGAAACAATTTGTACATAATTTCTTTATAGAAATTAAAAATAAGGCATATTTTCTTACATGTTCAACATGTTAAACTTTACATGATGTGAGATATATAATTTAACAATCCTATGAATTATAAAAATCCAAATTAGATCGATTCGTCCATAAGTCTGTGATCTAGTTGACCCTCAAACCACAATGTTGAGACATCTCATAAGCTCAAAATGAGCCAACTCACGACTCACTAGTTGAGCTCAACAAGTCACCGGGTCGAGCTAGCTCGAGAGCTTTGTGAGCTCAACAAGGCTAAACTCAAGCTTGGCTCGTTAGTAAATGAGTTGAGTTTCGAACGAATTTTTCCGGATTCGAGCCTCGAGTTGCTCGAGAGTAGCTCAGCTTATTTGCAGGCCTAGTTGCCAGTTCCTACAAGAAGCTGTCAGTCATGTGTTACTGAGAAATGGAAAGCACGCCATAAATGGAAAGCAGCTAAGTGGGGTAAAATGTCATTACCAACAAATTCATACGAAGAAGACAAAAATTGAGTATTGATTATCATTACAATCTTTGGAAAGGACACGACAACATGAGCATATACACCCTATTATTATTAGGGTTAATACATTATTTTGGCCCAAAATTTTCACAAATATACTATTGTCTCGTATTTTCCGAAACTCCTATCTTACACTAACCTATGCACCATCTAAACTAATTTGATCGAACACGTGGATTGACCGTCAGTTGGACGGTCAACAATGTTGACCGTTAATGAGTCAGCGTATATGGCTTACGTGGATCCCAATATGTCTGAAAAACTAATAAAATAATTTAAATAAAATTAAACATGTTATGAATAATTATTCCGATTATGGGAATAAGCAACACCATTAACATGAAACAGAAGAGAAGGAGTAACACCGCGTTTATTTCATACTCTCATAGAGTGATTACATTAGGAGAGCACATATATACAGAGAGGTGAAGGAGAAGAGAGGTTGTGTATCTCCATTTGTCTTCTTTGCTTGCCTTTTATAGGCAATTGAACAGATGCATCCCAACTCATTTCCTTATCATAAATGGAATAGGTGAGAGGTTACGAAGGTGGTGGTTTGGGATTGAGTGCAGGAGGAAGGACTTCCACATACATATTCTATAATACTCCCCATTGGATGTCCATTGATCAAGAACATGCCTCGTTAAAATGTTACTAGGAAAATCCAGTGGGATAAAAACCTAGTGAAGGAAAAAGAGTACATGATTATTTTGTTACGCCTTTGTTACTGCCTCATTAAAAACCTTACCAGGAAAACCCAGTGGGAAAAACCTTGGTTAAGGGAAAAAGAGTGCAGTGCGTAAAGTCTCCCCCTTATGGAGAAATCTATCAACAGTTTGAAGTCTTCGAGCTCCAATATATTTTCACATGACGTTGTGGAATATAGTATTTTTATAGACAAATCTGCTGGATAATCATTTAACAAACTTTGTTGTTTCCACAATTTTTCATGAAGTTCGTTATTGAAAAACAAACTTCGCTAAAAATATCCTCATATGTATCTTTTCAGAAGATACATGTAATATGACTTTTATATATGATCGTCTAGATCAATCTTTGAGAAATATGTCAAATAATGGATAACTATATCAAATAGATCATTATTCTCATAGTGATATTAATCATCAATATATCTTACTCATTCTTATCATTTGTGCATTTTTTATATATATTTCTTGATGCACACGACTTTCCCTTGCAAATATTTGATTTGCAATCCAGAGGATAGTCTAGTTCTTTCAAGTTATTGGTTTCAATTACTTTTGAATACTCTTCTAGAGTTTCAAGTCATTCAATAACTTCCTATGTTTGAATACTCTTCTAGAGTTTCAAACCTATTTATACCTTCAATCTCAACTTGAGATCATTGTTTATAAATGTGTCGGACACCCCAAAGGTGGCAAAGAATTTATCAACACATTGTTATAAGACGTTTGGTACCTTTAACCAATGACTCTTTGTCAGAACACACAAAACTGTCATTGGAAGGCATTCTAGGTAAATATATTCTCCTGTCTCGAATGTATTATTTCCTTCTTGTAGGAAATTCATTGATACTGTCATTTTAACGATGCTCTTTCGATTTGATTTCAGAGTTTTAATGAGTTGGATAATGTTCCCCAGAACCTTAATATGTTTGCTTCGAGCAAACTAACTCCTTCAAAGAGTTTCGTATCGATATCATTTATCAAGCACATGCTTAATAAGTGCATTGTAACAAAATTCATTAGACGCGTAACTTTATAAACTGCCAAAAGTCATATCCACCATATGAAAATCTACTCACAAACAATGCCAACTATTTTGACAAGTCGAGCATGATATCTCTTAATTTCTCCCCCTTTGTCTTGTCTTCGTAAAACATCACATGAGTTTTACTGGCAGTGCTTCTATATAGCTCTTATGACCTTTTATTGTCTAGGCTAGTTCATAACTGCCTCAAATGCGTCGTTACAACTTGGTCTATAACCTTTTTAAGGTGACCAATGGATCTAACTTCACGATCCTCATTCATATCATATTGCGCGCTACAATATATAAAAACTCTATCGTCAAAGTTGACTTTCTTTCGATTCCATTGAATCTCATCCAAGATATAATTTATTGGAATTTCTTTCATAATCCCGAAATAGGTACCTGTGGTTCTTCCAGACCAATGTTATAATACTTAGAGATTCAAATAAGCTTGCAATATCCTCATCATAAAGACCATTTTTATTTTGAGCTCCTTTTATTTTTCGAGGACTTGTATTTCCTTGGAATCGATAGTTCAACACATTACATATGTGTGTGCAACATATCCTTCAGGGATATAGTTCTTAGGAGCATTAGCAGCTTCACTCCTTTGTGATTATTAATTATGCTTGGCAGTAGGCTTACTAAACTTGGCAAATGAATTATCATTGAACTTCAAGTTCACATTACAAATGTGAGGATCATAATTCATTTCAACCAATTTTAGAATATGCTGCTTATTTTTCTCCCCCTGATATTGGAAAGATCGAAATAACGATTTCAACAAATATCATACAGTTGATTTACTAATCTGCAAAATAATGGAGACTTCTTGCTCAACATTAGTTTCCAATATCCTTTGAAGAACCCATTAATCATCGAGAAGTATTCTCTTCATATTGAACATTCGTTCATATATGCCCGTAAGTGAATCAATTGTGCAACCAATCTCGCAAACTTCAGGTTGCAAGTGGAGTGATCATTTAGACGATGCATCGATTAAAACCATAAAATAACTAAATGATCAATATGGTGCGTTGATCCAATAGTTTCACATTGTATATATTAATTACTTCTCACTTTCACAGGTGATCTCATAATCAACTTTTCTTGAGAATATACAACACAAAAAAACCCTTCATTGTGGAATCTTCATAATATTCTCAACAAAGATTTTCATAAATCCTTGATTTTAATTTGCATCATAACTGATATGGGATGGCCCAACTGGTCATGCCAAGCAATCAATTTATAACAAACATAAACCTCAGGTTTATGTAGGGATGGCAAACGAAACCGGTAACCCGAGAATCCGCCTGAATCCGACCCGGCCAACGCGGGCAAAATCCGCTTTTGACGGGCGACTCGTCGGGCTCGGATTAATCCGAATTGCCGTGTTACGGGTGATGGATGAGGGTCGGATTCACTACTATCCGCCCCGACTCCACCCCTAACATATATATACCCCCTTTCTTCCAGAATTTCCCCTAGAAGAAACCCTAACCCACAGCCGCTCTCTGCCTCTCTCCCCTGACAAGCCTAATTTCCCTCCTCAAAAATAGAAAGAAATGGTTGTTCGATTGCTTCGTATGCCTAATTTATCGTGCCTGCTGCCTTATTCCACATCCCCACAACGATCCCTCCTTCCTTCCCTTAATTATCTTCTTTCCTTCCCCATGGTGACGATAATTACTTTCCTTTTGCCGAGAAGAATCGATTCGACTGGATTGATGGAGCTGCATATAAATAGAAGGTGAGTCTTTTTGTTCATTCTTGTATCTTCTTCCAAAATCCAGAATCATAGTTCAAGCTCTCTGTTTCTCGTCTTCTTACCGGTTTGATCTTTGGCTTTGATATGTGCATGCGAGATATTGTTGCTGGGTTCAACAACAGACATGGGCAAACTTGTTTATCGTCGTTGCTCTCTCTGTCGGTTCAAGGTAAAATTTCCTTCTGCTGAGATATTGTTTCTGGGTTCAACAACAGACCTGGGCGAACTTGATTATCTTTTTGGCTTTCATTCTGTGTTTGTTGAGGTTCATGATTAATTGATTATTGATTTATACTAATCTTCCTAATCTGTTTTTTGCCAGCAATCATGTCAACTGAAGAAGTGCAAGGGGCTGTCGTTTCTCAACAGAATGAACATGGTGCGAGTGGACCTGTTCTTGCACCTGCCATCAGTGGAAACAATGGCAACGTGGAGGCTGCACAGGCAGCACCTACGAGCCAGCTGAATCCCAATGTTGTTAATGGTAATGTTGAGGAGGTAATCGATCTTGGTAGACTTAAAAGTCCTGTCTGGGGTCACTATACCAAGGTTCGGGTTAGTGGTGTTATCAAGGCTAAGTGCAACTACTATAAGAAGTTGCTAGGTGGAGAATCTAACAATGGCACTACTCATTGAAAGAATCACACAAAAATCTGTGTTCAAAAGAAAATTAAAGATGGTAGTCAAAAGATTCTTGGCCCTCATTATTTGGCTCAAGGAAAACAAGACATGGTTGCTACTGCTTTCAACTCAGAATTTTCAAAAAGGGAGCTTGCAATTGCTATCACTATGCATGAGTATCCTCTGTCAATTGTTGAGCATTTGTATTTCAAGAGGTTCATGTGCTCTCTGCAGCCATTGTTCACTGTACCATGTAGGAACACTAGGAAAAAAGAGGTGTTTAAGATTTTTGATACAGAAAGGGGTAAGATTCAAACTGTGCTTGATAACAATAAAAGTAGAATAGCAATAACTACCGATATGTAAACTGCCACAACTCAAAAGAAGGGATACATGGCTATTACTGCTCAATCGACAACTCTTGGGTGCTTAGGAGCCACATGCTTAGGTAAGATTTTGATAACTTTCTTGATTCTGTTTCAAACATTATAGATTGTTTGTGTTGGAATTATTCCTAACTGTTTACGTTTGTGTTTCTTGTGTAGGTTTATGTATGTTCCATCACCCCATACGGGTGAAAGGCTTGGTAAAGTGCTCTTTGGTTGTTTGGTCGATTGGAATATCGACAGTAAGGTATCCGCTATAACCTTGGACAACTGTAGTACTAATGACTCTATGATCCGAGTCATACAGTCAAAATTAGTGGATTCATATCTGATTAGTGAAGGGTCCTTGATACAAATGAGGTGTTCTGTTCATATCTTAAATTTGATTGTGAAGGAGGGATTGGATGTTGTGAAAGAGGGAATAGAAAATATCAGGGACAGTGTTTTATACTGATGCGCTACCCCTAAAAGGGTGGAATTTTTCAAAAAACCGCAAAACAATGGAAGGTGAATACTGATAAGGGGTTAGTTATGGATTGCCCTACAAGGTGGAACTCCACCTTTAAGATGCTATCTGCTGCTATGCCTTATAAAGAAGTTTTCACTAGACTGAAACAATGTGATTCTCAATACAAGTGTTTGCCATCAAATGAGCAGTTGCAATTTGCTGCACTTGTTTGTGAGAAACTGGAAGTGTTTTGCTCGGTGTCTGATCTGTTCTCTGGTTCAAAGTATCCAACTACAAATTTTTTCCCCCTCGTATTTGTGATCTGAGAAAATTTATGAATGGTGTGTTGATGCTAACGAAGTGATAAGGGAGATGGCTGGTTCGATGTTGGAAAAGTTTAACAAGTATTGTGATGAGATCCACAAAATACTTGCTATTGGTGTGGTGTTAGATCCACGATATAAGCTGGCTATTGTAGACTATTATGATGAAAAGTTTGAAGATGATAGTTCTTGTTTGGCATCTGTTAAGAGTATCTTGTCTGATTTGGTTTTAGAGTACCAATCTAAAATGAATGAGAAGAAGAGCTTGAATGTTGCTGCTGGTATTGAGTCATCTACTCCTACCACAACTGATTTGGACTTTGAGATTTTTGTGAGTCAAAGAAAAAAGGCAAGAGTTACTGCTGTCCAGACTGAACTGGACGAGTACCTCATTGAGGAGATTCTCCCTCGTTCAGCTGAGTTCGATATCTTAATGTGGTGGAAGGTTAATGGTCAGAAATATCCCATACTGCCAGCTATTGCAAGGGATGTTCTTGCTATTCCGGTTACCTCTGTGGCGTCTGAATGTGCATTTAGCTCTGGAGGTCGTTTGTTGGATCCTCATAGGAGCAGACTAGATTATGCTACTGTAGAGAGACTAATGTGCACAAGGAGCTGGTTGCAGAATGGTCTTAGTGAAGGTAATCGATAAAGCAAATCTGGATTAGTCTGCTTTTTCATTTCGTTTTTAACCAAACTTGTTTTAATGTCATTTGTTTGCTCTTGCAGAAGCTGTTGCTGGAACAGGAGAGTCTGGAAGGATATTTCTCCACCCCAAGGGAAGCCAATTTCGGCCAACCTGATGTTGAAGTCGAAGGTAACAAACTAAAACCTATTCTACTGAACTTATAAGTTGTTTTACATATGCATATGTTAATAATGTTTAGTTTTTAAATGTGTAGATCAAGTTCCTGGAATCAAACTTCTTGATGATTAAACAACCTTCTTACTGATGTCCTTTCTAGTAAGTTGTAAGTCTTAACTTACAAGTCTGAATGTCTAATATTCTTTTTCTGAGTTAGTTGAATTGTTGAATATCTTATATTCTTACTTCTAAGTTTGTTGAATGTTGTAGGTTGTGAAGGAATGGTGGTTCTGCTGCTGGATGAGCTGCTGTTGGAGATGAAGTAAGCTGCTGGAATGGTGGTTCTGACTTGCTGTTGCTGCACATGGAGATGGAGAATTGGATTTTGCTGTTTTCTATTCAGTTTAAGAATCAGGATATTATTTTGCATGGTTTGGATTGCTACAATGGGTTGTCTTGAATGATTTCTTTTGGTTGAACTTAGGACAAGTCACAAGTTCATGTTTTGTTCAATGTTTCGTTGTTGATTGTTGTGCTACTGCCGTTGTGGCAGTGCCTACTGTTATTTTGATTTAAATCTATCTATCCAGACTCCAGTAACAAGTTTGTGTTCATGCTCAGTGGATTTTAGGCTATTGTTTCTCTAATTTATGGCTAAATTCGGATCAGTTTGGGATCCCCGATTAACCTGAACCCCGAAGTCGGGCGGGGCTGGTAATTGGTTTTCACCCGAATACTTGTAACGGGCGGGTTTTCCCCGAACCCGAACTTCAGCCGGGCGGGCAACGGATCCATGTAAATCTGGGCCCGATCCGCGCGAATGCCAAGCCTAGGTTTATGGTTTGTTTCATTACCTTTTGCTTTAGGAAGAAGGACTAACTAAGAGTAGTAATTCAACATAATAACATGTATTACGCAATACGTTAAGAATGAGGATACCAAAAGGGGACGCGGTCGAAGTGGTACGACTCTTTGACCTCAACTGAAACGTTGTAGGTTCGAGCCGCATTGACGCCAGATTTCGAATCCTAAAGATTCTTTTAATAAACCATATCACTATATGTGGTAGATATGCTTCTAGCATTTTATGTGGGTTATACTTATGACATATTACCCTACCAATGGAAAACTGTTGGATACAACATATAACACAATATATCAGTATTGTCGCCTGATAATTTTGCTATGTTTCTGGCATTTTGTGGGTAATGTCGATCGACATATTACCTTACCTCTTTTGTCTCTTTCCAAAATTTCAAACCAAAATCTACTCAATATTATCCGAAATCTACCACATCAACATCCTTATCTTATCCCCTTTTTCGGCTATAAAACAACAATCTTCCTCCTTTTTATTTCATTCAACTCAAGCCGAAAAATTCATATATCATCTCTCAATTCCATCATTATTATTCCCTTCTTGGGAAATCTTCTCATTATAAGTTGCTTCAGGGATCTTATCGAGTTTGGGTGAAGCAATGGCTGAAGATATCTTTTCCGCTCTAATCTTGCTTTGGGTGTCATGGATCTTTATGATTTTATTTCTCATTGCAATACTTATCATGAACACTATGTTTAGATACACAAACGCGAGGATCATAAGCATGATTAGATTTTTTCTAATCTTTGACTTAGATCTCAAATCACGTATGATGTATGAATGAAGTTTAAATACTTCCCTTTATCAATAAATACAAACTTTTACTTCCGGAAAGTTTGTGGTATATACTTTATACTATATTCAACATCATTTTGGAGTCAAGTCATAAACTGATCATTAACTTCATCGGATCATCTTATGAGTAATACCCCATGAATCATTATATCAAATGGGCCTATAATCAAATTCGGTGTGTCCTACTTTGGATAAGCCCTTAAATGTTTTGCCATAAAAATCTTCAGGATATGATCACTTTATTCAAATAATTCTTGATTAAATCCATTGAACGATTCAACGTACAAATGGTACGTTATATGGACAATATCTTTGTCCCTTTTAATAAATCGTTGATTCAACTAATGAATCTATTTGACGTACAACTGGTACGATACCGTTCTTGCATTTTCAATCACTGACCAAATAAACGTTTCACTTCTGGTGAATGTTATTAATTATTATGGTTGGTATTCTATAACCATTTTACCAATCGACATTTTGACATCGTCGTTTTTCACATTCACTTATGGGAATGGAATTAAATTTAAAGAGATTTTTCATATCCCACATATCTTGTTTATCCACGGATCTTTTGATCTTAACCCTTTTCACCATAGTTTCCATTATTTATAAATTTATCTTACTTGCTACTTCTGGAGCATAGTAAATGATTGTACGTACTACATAGTAGTAATAAGGGTTAATACCATTAGGAAACCCGAACTATTGACTTTGTGTCCTAAAGTACTCGATATGACAATTGTGTCCCAACGTTTGGTAATTTTGTGTCATTTGTATCCTGACAGTTTCGTTAACCGTTAAAAGTAACGGTTGACCAGACAGACGACCGTTTGGTCATCTTCCGAAGCTTGCGTGGCACACTCATGTTGGCCACGTAGACGACACATAGGCAAACACGTCAGATTTGTATTTTTTTTACCATTCTAATTTAAAATAAAAACCCTACCTTTTAATCCTCTTCATCTTCTTTGTAGCTCCTCCTCTATTTTTCAAATTTCTTCTTTGCGAGAGCTGGGTCGGTGCGAGCAGAGGGCAGAGGAGAGACTGCGATAGCTCCATCGCGTCGGAGTGGCGACGACGTTGGGTTTCAGTAACCCAGAGCGGCGCCGGTTCGTGGTGACTTTGCTATTCATTGCGGAGAGGATAGTGGTGCGACGGCGTGCTTCGGGAAAAATTTGTCGAGGAAACCAGGTGAGTATATATGTTGGGTTGTTTTAGGGTTTGATGTACTTGGTTCTCATTCTCCATAATGAATGGGTTTTGTGGCAGCAATTGAAACATGTCGGGAAGGAGATTCGGCCAAATCACTTGTGACTCCAATTCTTCCAACTCTCGAATCGTGAAGTGTGGGCATAATATACCAGCAAAGTCTTATGTTTCAGGGACAGAACTCAATCCGGGGAGGGGATTCTTCTGTTGCCCATATTGGAAGGTAATTTAGGCATTATTTGTTTAGTTGGGGGATTTTATTCGCGAAGAACAGCTCACTTCATCTTGATTTATTTGTCAGGAGCCTTCAAAAAATTGTCTATTCTGGCGTTGGGTGGATCAGCGTAATGATGAAGAGGAAACACCTAGCTCTAATGTGATTGTGGCAGATGATGAAGACATTAGGACGAAGTATGCTTCGATGGAGATTAATGTTACGAGCTTGAAGGAGAGCTTGAAACTTGTTGAAGAGAAAGCTGAGCGAAGGAAGCAGGCTAAAAAATGTTTGTTTGATGATTTAGTTAGCATTAGGGAGGAAAACACTAGGCTGGTAGGGGAACTGAAGTTGGCCAATGCTCGTTTGTTGTTTGTTTTGTTCCTTTTCGTAGGACTGCTTGTAGGCATTGCCATTGCAGGACTGAAATAAAGTCTGCAAATGCACATCTATTCTGTAACTTATTGCTCGAGTTTATTTACGATGTTGGCAAACAATAATGTTTCTGTATGTTATTGAATCTGACGTTGAGGAATTCCCTTGTCTTTATGATATAATTCTGACAGTAAGTAAACAACGATAGCGTCATCTTACAAACATACCATTCAAACATCCTGAAATTGTTCGACAGAAGATGATCAATATCATAGTCTGAAGCATACACATAATTGTGTTGGTCAGTTACAAAGGCTGCCATTGTCTAGTTTTCCAAAATTAATCCAATGTTTGGGAACCTTACATGATTTCCTCAGGATATAAGGCA